GGCACGAACCCGTGTCCCCTGCATCGGCAGGCGGACTCTCAACCACTGCGCCACCAGGGAAGCCCCCTATCACTCTTAATATGGAGCCCACACCCTTGACACTACCCTGCGTGGCCCACCCTCTGCAGCGTCCCTGGCCTGTCTCTCACCCTCATTCCCACCTCAGCGGGTGTGCCTTTGCCATTCCCTCCTGGAAGAATGTTCTTCCAGGTTTTCTTGGGGCTGACTGACCTCTCAAGTCTCCATCCGACCCTCATCTCCTCTGTCGCCGCCCAATCCACAGTGCCCCCGCCAATCTCCCCACATCTCTGCTCCCACCTGCCACCACCTGATAACGGCACTTTGATTTCCCGGTACTTACTGCTATCTGAAATCCTCTTTTTTTTCTTTTTAAATGTATCGTCTCTTCCCTGACTAGATGGAACACGGGCTCCATGAGCCCAAGCCTTTATCAATCTTGCTGTCACAGTACCAGAGCCAAGCCAGCAGCCCGGGGTGGCCCTCAGGGGATTTGTGGTGAACAGGTGGCTGAGCACAGGCCACGCCATCATCTACAAGAGAAGAAGTCGTGCTCCTAAGGGTGGGAGGGGCTGATACTGCTTGAGATCGTAACGGAAATTAAAATGTATTGATATTTCCTTTGAGGAACTGGCACTCTGCCTGGGATTCCAAAAGGCAACACACATTTTGTTTCTCAGATACCAAAGTGCTGCAACGGCTTCTACGGGCCCGACTGCAACCAGTGTCCAGGAGGCTTCTCGAATCCATGCTCCGGGAATGGGCAGGTGATAAAGACTGAGGCTTACTTTTTCACAAATGCTGAGGTTGACCTGTGTTAAGTCGAAAAGTAATTTTTAAAACCACTAAACCAAGAAATGGTACAATGCCAGTCACTGTTCCCAGGGAGTAAAAGAAACAGATCAGTTGCTAAAAGAAAAGAGGGTGTCTGCAGGAGAAGGAATTTTGCCTGGGGGAGTGGCAGGGGGCAGGGTGTCCAGTGATGTCGCTTCTGGTCTGCTTTCCTACTGCTGATGGCGTGACTTTGAGCAACTCAGCAAGGCTCTCTGGACCCCAGTTTCCCCGTGTGGGAGATAGCAGGACTGGCCTGCATTGATCTCCAAGTCTTTTTAGGGCCGAGATTTTACTATTCTTAAGGAAAAAAAAAAAGCACTGCCCAGTGAATGCTTTCTTTAAGATTTTTTTTTTTTTTTTGGCTGCCTCGGGTCTTAGTTGCAACACTCGGGATCTTCATTGCAGCGCATGGGCTTCTCTCTAGCTGTGGCGTGCAGGTTTTCTCTCTCTAGTTGTGGCAGTCAGGCTCCCTGGCGCGTGGGCTCTAGTTTGTGGCACGCAGGCTCTCTAGCTGAGGTGCGCGAGCTCAGTAGTTGTGGCATGCAGGCTTAGTTGCCCCACCGCGTGTGGGATCTTAGTTCCCGGACCAGGGATCGAACCCATGTCCCCTGCATTGGAAGGCGGATTCTTTACCACTGGACCCCCAGGGAAGTCCTGAATGCTTTTTTTAGCCCATCTGCAAAACCTATGAAATGTAAGAGCCAAAACTTAACTCACCTAGCGTGGAGGCCAGGGCTAAACATACAAAGGTAATAGTAGCTGTGGTTCATATGGGGAAATTATGGATCTGCACATATAAGGAATCCACATCGAAAATATGCCCCTTTCAAGGGGAAGGAAAAACTGCATGACCACCAAGTGGGGACACCACACAGGCCAGGGGAATAGGGCGAAGCTGCTACAAATTAACTACTGTACCTGGGTGTTCCGGGACCCAAGCCCAATTCTGATACGTGTCAGTCAATACAAATCTAACCTTGAAAGAGCTGGGGAGATGAGGGGTAAAATGCTCACACTGAAGGGAAAAACGCTGCCGTTTGGAGTCACATAGCTGAGCATGTGAGCATCTGGAGAGAAAGGCCTGCCTTCAATCTGATTGTCAGTGGTTTATCGGGCTGCCCCTTAAGCATTGTTTAGAGGTTCCATTTCACCACTGTGACACCCCCCCCACCCCCGACCAAATGACTTCCTGTGAAGTTCTGAATCCTGGCTCGGGACACCCATATGTCACTGTCTTAGCTTCCTACCCACGACTCCACTTTCCACAGGGGTTCCCAAAGAGTCATTTCAAGCAGAATTGAATCTGAGTCAAAGAAGCAGGCCAGGAAACGAAAGCATCTGGGACTCCTCGCCTGGGGCGTGTTGTCCTGATGGCCAGGGGCCCTGCCTTTGTTTGCAGTGCGCCGACGGCCTCGACGGCAATGGGACATGCGTTTGCCAGGATGGCTTCCAGGGCTCCCGGTGTCAGTTCTGCTCGGACCCCAATAAATACGGACCTCGGTGTGACAAAAGTAAGTGTCGCTTCCTGAGCTGCCTTCTGCTCCTCACCCGGGGTCCCTGCAGCACTGCAGTGCAGTCCTGGTATCAGGTGCCCCTTGGCTTGGTGGATGCCCTTATCACAGGGTATTTCTTAAGCACTTGGGTCCCAAACAGTGCACATACCAGGTTGCTGGGCCCCACTCACAGAGCTTTGAGATAGGAGGCCTGGGTGGTACCTGAGGATTTGCATCTCTGACAAGTTCCCTGAGATGTCAACACTGCTGGCCCAAGACCACACTTTGAAAACCAGTCTTTTAGGGTTTCCCCACATACCTGAAGTGATTGTGGGCTCCATATCAGAAAACAGACTCCCCATCTTTCAAGCAGTCCTCTTCCATCAGCTCCTCCCTTTGCTAAATGTGTGACCTTGGGTTAGTTACTACACCTCTCTAGGCCTCAATTTCCTCATCTATAAAATGGGGATAATAATAGTAACTACCTCGTAAGGCTAGTACAAGTTATAAATGGAAAGCACTTGCCTTAAAACAATGCCTAGCGCCTAGTATGCACTACCAATATTATTATCTGTTATTGTTATTATTATCTATTATTGTTGGTACTGTTACTCTTATGCTGAGTTCAGTGATAGAAATGTCCAGAAGCTCATAGAACGTGTAGGAAGTTCCACAACACTAGGCATTGAAAAAAAAAATGCAGTTATATAATCTTAGAAAACACATTATGTTCTTAAAAATAACACCATGTGAATATTTAAGTACATAGATAGAAATATACATCTATCTATCTAAGCTAAGATTAGAACTTGACAGAAAAAAAAAAAATGAATAGACCAGAGCTTGCTGTGGAGTCAAACCAACCTGAAGTTCCGTCTTCACTCTGCAACTTACTGGCTCTACGACCTTGGAAGAAATCTCTCATTGAAGCTTAACTTCCCCATTTATAAAATGAAGACAATATTGGTACCCACTTCATAGGTTGTTGATTAAGTTAGATCATAATTTAGGACTTTAGCCCAGAGCATGCACCTAGCAAATAATCAATAAATGAAGCCATTCTTATTACTATCACTACTAACTCCACTCATCTGTTACAAAACACACCACCCCTCTCCTCTCTTACCTTGTCTGATCTTCATGGCTACCTCTCAAGAAGGACGGGACACCAGAGCCCAGCAGATTTGTGGCTGCTGATCCTAGTCTGATGCTCTTTTTGCCAAATAAGGTTTCTGAGGGAAAAAAATAGGAGTTTATTCCAAAGCCTGTTGACATAGGCATTTTTATGAGGCCAGTAGTCACGATGCCGAGGCTGGGGCAGCAGTGGTGGCTTCCCGCTCCAAAGCCTCTTGTCCAGGTCTGTTGCTGCCCACCGCCTCATGCAGGGGAGCTTCCTCTTCATTCTGGGGTCTTGTTCCTTGCTAACCAAGCCCTGACGTCCTTAAAAGTTTATGAAAAGTTTTCTTTGTTTTAAAACCAGCTGTGCTTTGCCAGCCCTCACTGTGTTTCTCTTTCCTGGATGCTGGCTCCAAGCCCCGACACAAATCCCTTTCCCATCAGTCCCTTCTGGGGCAAAACCACACATTCCTTCATTTCTGATCACATTTAAGCCCCCAAATCCTTGCCACCTGCCTTTGAGAGTCTCCAGAATGTTCTTTTCACTTCCACATGCAGAGGAGCCTGAGTCTGATACGCTGGCTCACATTGCAACTTTTAAATACCTGTAATCAAAAGCAAAGTTAGCAGCTAAAGTTTAAAGTTTAAGATGATAACAGACAGTGGAAATGCCAGTCGATATACTGATCGCCTGGTTACTCATGGTCACTAACGGAAATGGAATTTGAAGGTCTGAGTTCAAGTCCCTGTTTGGGAACTTGCCAGCAAGTCAGGCAATTTGTTTTACCTCTCTGGGCCTCAGTTTCCTCATCTGGAAAATGGGGATGGTAAAAGTATTGATACCTATCTCCTGAGGCTGGTGACTATGAATGAGAGGGTACAGGATAAAGGCTGGCCCAATGCCTAGAACAAGGTCAGTGTGCAAATATTGGGCATGAGTTAGCATTGGTTTGCTGTGATGGAGGGTGAAGTGCAAATATGTAAGCCACACATCAGAGGCTGTGCCGGCAGGAGAAATCACTTCCAGAATGTCTTCAGGAAAAGGTGAGAAATTTCCAGACTAAACTCTCCTACCATGAAGTAGGTGAAAATTGAGCTCCTTGGCCTCTTTCACACCATCACAACCCACCCTCCCCCTGCACCCCACACACAGACACACAAAGCATCCCGAAGACCAAGCTCTTCTCACCGAGAGCTGTCCTGGCACACGAGAAAGACGCTGAGAAATAGCGTCCAGAGCCTTCCGCGTCTCAGCCCCGGGTTCTGCACCTACAGGAGTGAGTGCGGGGTGAGGGGAGGGTCCCTGTCCTCCATGACCCATGTGCCCATTGCTAAGCTTGTCCCCAAGCCCTGAACGGCCCTCTTCCTTCCCTTCCAGGGTGTCTGTGCAGTTTCGGAACGTGTGACAACAGAATTGACAGTGACGGTGCCTGTCTCCCCGGCACCTGCAGGGACGGCTCCGCCGGGAGATTCTGCCACAAGCAGACCTCAGCCTGCGGGCCCTACATGCAGTTCTGTCACATCCATGCCACCTGCGAATACAGCAATGGGACAGCAAGGTAGGCCGGTCGGGGAGGGGGGATTGCCATCCTTAACGGCCCATGGCCACCGTGTTACCTGTAGACACACCCAACCCATATCTAAACTCTTCATAAACTAAGCCCTGTTCTCTTCAGCTGCCAGTATGGCTTTTGTGGAGAAAACCTCAGACTGAGCTGGGTTCAAAGTTTGCAGCATGCCCTGCTTTGAAACTTACCAGCTGTGTGACCTTGGGCAGTTACTTAACCTATCTGAGCCTCACTTTTGTCATCAGTACAATAAGCGTGATGTTGCCTACCTAGCAGGGCAGTTGTGGAGATTCGAAGAACTGAATGCCAAATCATCCAGCCCCAGGGCTAGTACATCATAGGTGTTCAGTCATGGAAACTGCAGTTATTACCATCACTCATGTGAAGGAAATGAAGATTTGCCCACCAACTTTCCAACCCTTTAAAAACGCCTTTACTTCCTAAGGTCATTAATAACTACTCCCCTGTTAAAGGCATCTTACAAGAAATTGGATCGTTGGTCACTGGATCACCATTTGTTTTCTTAATGCTATCTAACATATGAAGTGGGCTTGGGGGGAACATGTCAGAGGAAATTTTCCTCTCTGGGAATATCTGGTTCAAAGGCAGTAACCATGCAAAAAATAGCCTGGGAAATGCAGACATACATGTAGAATTCTTAGCCTTATTTTTGCAGCACTTTTCTGAATTTGTAATTACCTAATCATTTGCTTACCCGTTTGTGACCTGTCTCCCCCACCAGTCTGCAGGAAGCATGGGGCAGAGACTGACTTTGCTCTTCCATGGTGGTACAATAGGAATGCATCCTCCTAAGGAGTTCGTATATACATCAGTGCATAAGGCGAAAGTCGCAAGTCACCGAAATTGCCCTTAAAACCTCCTAAGGGAATTCCCTGGCGGTCCAGAGGCTAGGACTCGGCGCTCTCACTGCTGGGGCCTGGGTTCAACCGCTGGTCAGAAACTAAGATACTGCAAGCCGTGAGGCACGGCCAGAAAAAAATTAAAAGTAAATAAATAAACAATAAATAAATTTAAAAACCTCTAATCACCCACAGGGGATCATCAACATGGGTCTGTATTTACTATATAAACTTAGGTAAATCAATGTTGAAACAGATCAATCTTTTTTTTTTAGATTAATCTATCAATCTATTTCTTCATTTGGGGACCACCTAAAGTATTTAGTTCTTCTAGGATTCTTGATGCATGAAAAATAATTTTATTTAGAGTTTTGTGAAGCACGTATGACTGAATCTGCAATAGTGACGTGGGCGTGTGATAGGTGTCCCAGCACCTATCACAGGGCACTCAGTAAATACTGGTAGACCAAACAAATGAATGAATGAATGGTCCTATTTTACAGCTAAAGTTTCAAGGTGGAGCATTTTGAGAGGAGTGCCTGAGGGCGTGATGGATCATGGAATCAGGTACCTGAGAATGTTGTGCTCTAAAAAAAAGAACATCTGAGAGATCAGAGAAGGGAGAGAGGGGAGGTCTCACCTGATTGTCATGTTCAAATCACTGAACTGTCACACAGAAGAGAGTGTCGTTCTCTGCTGAACCAGAGGTAATGACTTGAGGTATAAAGGGACAGATTCCAGCCCCATAAGAACAGAAAAGCCGCCCAGTGTCGAGCCTGAGAAGGTGCAAGTGTGAGCAAGTGCCCTGCTGAACGCCCCATGTGCAGTCACTCTATACCACAGCTTTATGAGGGAGATGTTAGACCCATTTTCCAGGTGAGGAAACAGTCTCCCAGAGGTTAAGGGACTCGCTCAGGGTCACACAACTGCTAAGAGGTGGGGCCTGGATACCCACCCAGGTGTACCTGACTGCAGACCCAGGAGTGCTGGTGGCCACCATGGTACATGGCTCCCCCAACAAGGGCAAAGTGTCAGGCCACCTGGCCGTGAACACGTTCACCCCTGGCTGGCTGGTCTTCTTGGGGAGGGGTGGGATAGTTAGTGCTTATATTTCTAGGGCTGACTTTGTGCGCTCACTCTTCTTTGCAGCTGTGTTTGCAAAGCAGGGTATGAAGGGGACGGAAGCCTCTGCTCAGAGACGGACCCTTGTTCGGGATTAACCCGAGGGGGCTGCAGCCGCAATGTGAGTGTTGGTCTTTATTTCCAAGCTGCCAGGTTTTTTAGGAAATCCTGAGGGAAGACCTTCCAAGAGGCAGTGTCAGATGACTTCATTGCATGAGGCACATTTGCTTGAACCCTGCATTTTAAAGATGGTGCCAGGTACCTTCTGTGAGCCTCCACTTCCTAAGTTCACGTGTGCTGGGGGAGCCCCAGGTTCACATGTGCAGGGGTATTGGGCTTCTAAAAACACAACCAAAGGATCAGATACTGGAGATCATTAGTAATAAACTTCTGATTCAGACATTACAGCTTACAAGTGACTTTCATGTATGTGATCTCATTTGCTCTTCCCACCAACCCATTGAAGCAGGTGTTGTTTATCCCCATTTTACTGATCAGGAAACTGAGGCTCAGAGACTTTAAGTGACTTGCCTTAAGTTCTATTAGTGTCAGGGGTATAGCCCAAGCTGACTGTTGCTTTCATTAATACCTTCTGAATATCACCACCACCACCCGGCCAAGGTCACCTTCATTCCTTACCCACAGTTTAATAACTGTTCTCCCTGATGCTCCTCTTGGCTATAGCCACAGCCAGAGTGGATCAGATCATGTTTCCCCCTTGCTGAAATCCCTTTGGGAACTTCCCCTGGCTCTGAGGATGACATCAGATGCAAATGCCTTGCCCAACCCTCCAGACTGCGCCTGGGCAAGCCCCACCCTCTCAGCCTCATCTGGACAACTTACCTTGCACCTCTCACTCTGTCCTTCAGCTTCCTGGTGTGGTCATCCTGAAAGGCCTGGAATTGGTACAGGTAGGAGCTTGGGCTAAAGCATCATACAGACCTGGGTTCATGCCTCTTTACAGCTGTGTGATCTTGGGCAAGTCACTTACCTCCTCTGAGCCTCAGTTTCCTTATCTGTAAAATAGAGATAATCACAGTACCTTCCTCAAGATGATGGCTTACACCTACAAAACATTCAGAACAATCCCTGGCTCAATAAATGGCAGTGACATTAGTGATGGTGGCCATTAGCTGGCCAAAAACAAGCAAATGTGTTCTTTAAGTCATCTTATCTTTTCCATTGATCTTAATGCAAATGCGTGTTTTAATCATTTCCTTTGCACTCCATGTAAATATAAGCTGCTTCAGTGCACCTCTGGAAATCCTTGCTTTGCACTTGGAATCTTGCAGCTGGACTGGGGTTTCAGAGGTTTTGCTGCTGCTTTTCCTCCTGTAGGCAGAATGCATCAGAACTGGCAGGGGAACCCACATCTGCATATGCCGTCAGGGATGGACGGGGGACGGAAGGGATTGCTCAGAGATCAACACCTGCCTGCTGCCCAGTGCTGGCAGCTGCCACCACAATGCAACCTGTTTGTACATCGGCCCCGGGCAGGTAGGTGTGATGAGCTGGAGAGCCAAGAGGAAGCAGGATTCCTGGAGTAGATTGTTTTTTCCCCTAGACACAGAAGTACTTTGGCTAGAATTTACTGCAGCTCTTCTATCATTTGTAGCAGTGGGAAAGGGTTAATTGTCACAACAAACCTATGATGTAGGTACTGTTTTTTTTCACCTTTTGACCCCATTTACCCTCACCACACCCCACCCCACCCAACCTCTGGCAACCACCAGTCTGTTCTCCATATCTATGAGCTTGGTTTTGTTTTGTTTTGTTTTTGATTTCACATATAAGTGAGATCATATGGCATTTGTCTTTTTCTTACCTATTTCACTTAGCATAATGCCCTCAAAGTCCATCCATTATATTGCAAATGGCAAGATTTCATTCTTTCTTTGGCCAAATAATATTCTAATGTATACGTAGGCCACATATTCTTTATCCATTCATCTGTTGATGAGCAGTTTGGTTGCTTCCACGTCTTGACTATTGTAAATAATGCTGCAATGAACATGGGGGTGCATATACCTTTTCGAGTTTTTTTTTTTTTTTTTTCAGGTAAATACCCAGAAGTGGAATTGCTAGAACATATGGTAGTTCTATTTTTAGTTTTTTGAAGAACCGCCATAACAGTTTTCCACAGTGGCTGCACCAACTTACATTCCCACCAACAGTGCACAAGGGTTCCCTTTCCTCCACTTCCTCTCCAGCACTTTATTATTTCTTGTCTTTGTCTCACTGTGGTTTTGATTTGCGTTCCTCTGATGACTAGTCATGTTGAGCAGCTTTTCAAGTACCTGTTGATTATCTGTATGTCTTCTTTGGAAAAACGTCCACTCAGATCTTCTGCCCATTTTTTTAATTGGATTGTTTGTTTTTTTGCTGTTGAGTTGTATGAGTTCTTTATATATTTTAGATATTAACCCCTTATCAGATTATGACTTGTAAATATTTTCTCCCATTCCATAGGTGACCTTTTCATTTTGTTGATGGTCGCCTTTGCCATATAGAAGCTTTTTATTTTTTTTTATTTTATTTTTTTTTGCGGTGCGCGGGCCTCTCACTGTTGCGGCCTCTCCCGTTGCGGAGCACAGGCTCCGGACGCGCAGGCTCAGGGGCCATGGCTCACGGGCCCAGCCGCTCCGCGGCATGTGGGATCTTCCCGGACCGGGGCACAAACCCACGTCCCCTGCATCGGCAGGCGGACTCTCAACCACTGCACCACCAGGGAAGCCCCCAGAAGCTTTTTAATTTGATGTAGTCCTACTTGCTTATTTTTGCTTTTGTTGCCACATAGGTACTATTATCATTCCATCTTATAAAAGAGGAAACTGAAGCATGGAGAGGTTAAATACTTTGCTCATATCACACAGAAACCAAATTACGGTGTGAGATTCACACCCAGACAGTCTGACTCCAGAATTGTCCTCTTGGTCGCCACCCTTGACCACACTCTATTTCTCTATAACACTGTGTAATACTCTACAGTTTGTGGGTCACTTTCACTTAACCTCATTTAAGGGAGACAGAGGCAGAGAAAGCTACTTCTTAGGAGTTAATCAGCTCCAGGGGAGGTGATGACAACTGTCCTAGGACTGTAGCCATGAAAAAGTCCTAGTCATGAAAGAACTCACTGCATTCTTATGTCTTGCCAAGCAAGTACCAACAATTCAATTAGTTTTTGACTCACCTGAGTCGCCACGTCACATTTGAGAGAGAAAAACAATTTCTTGGTGTCAGTATCAGTTTGCTAAGGCTGCTGTAGCAAAGTATCACTAACTGGGTATCATAGAACAACAAAAATGTATGTCTCACGGGATTGGAGGCTAGAGGTCCAGGATCAAGGTATCAGCAGGTTTGGTTCCTTCTAAGAGCTATGATGAAGTGTAATAAACGAAAGACATTAATGGTGTTCTCTAAAAGAGCCAAACAGTGAAGGCTTCCATACTTCATTTTGTGGTACAGTGTGAGGGCAGGGCATGCAAGGCAGTTGTTTTCAATAATCCGTTTGACTTTGCTCTTGGAATTACAGAATGAATGTGAGTGCAAGAAAGGATTTCGAGGCGATGGGATTGACTGTGAACCAGTAACTTCATGCTTGGAACAAACTGGGAAATGTCATCCACTGGTGAGTTACTTGATTTCTTTCATTAATCCTTAAAACAATGACTTGAGAAAGAAAGAAGGTTGGGTTATTTTTTTATCTGGGCCGAGTAATGAACAAAATCTCTCTTACTCCCAAAGGGGGTCCCTGAGCAGAATGTGAGTAATTATTGCAACCTTCACTCCATTCTAAAGCTCGGAAGAACCAACATACAGTTGCCAGATAAGATTCCCGGTTAACTCTGAACTTCTAGTAAATGACAGATAATCCTGCAGCACAAATATGACCCAAATGTTAGGACAGATTTAAACAAAAACTTCTTCATAACTTAGCTAAAATTCATACTTGGCGTTTTTATTTGCTACATCTGGCAATTCTAAATCACCAGGATAATTTAAAGGGTAACTAGACTCCCATTTTGAATGTCATGACAAAATTTTACCCAAATTATTAGTGAAAATGCCCATTCAAGGGTAGGTTGAGCCTTGTGTCTAAATTATGGAAGAGCAGGCAAAGATGTTAGAGCTGGTCGTGTTCATGTTTTTAAAAGATCACTAAGCACCCAGCATCAGAACCAATGAAGACGACACCTTAGTCACAGTGCTTTTGCTTGCAAGGAACAGAGTCCACGCAAATCCGCTTAAGCTAAAAAGGAATTTGTTGGACAGATGCCGCCAGGGTAGCTCCATAGTCAGGAATTCCAAAACTTCCCACGGGCTTAGAATCGACATCAAGGCAGCTTCTTCCCTCGATCCTCTGAGACCATGCAATTTCTCATTTTGCTACTCCCTGTGCTTGTACTTTCTCTTTGTCTTTGTCTCCCTCTCTCTCTCTCCCAACTTTAAGTGCAGTTCTGTGCATCTTGGGGTAGATGACTCCCTGTTCTTAGAAAAACGTCTACCCAACTACCAGAGATGGTAGTTTTTCCACTAACTTAACAGCACTCTGTGTCCCCATTCTAACTCATAGGAGAAAGGATCTGACCAGCCCAGCTGGGTCCAAGTGCCCACATATGAGACACTCAATGATGGCCAGGGAGTGGGGTGACATATCATGAACAGGACTGCCAGACCCACGCCTAGTAGTGTGGGCAGGTGGGTAATATTCAAAGACAAAAAAAATGGGAGGAGATGCCTCTAAAGCAGCCGTTACCCAAGAATCACGAAAGCACTTCATAAAGCTGAAGAAGCTCCAACACTCTTGCTTAATTTAAGCCCAACCAAGCCCTGACATTCCACACGTGAGAGGTTATTGGAACTTTCACTTCATTCCAAAGCGTGGAAGAACCAGCATAGGGTTGCCAGATAAAATGCAACACACCCAGTTAAAATTGAATTTCAGATACACAGTGAATTCTCCTCTGGCACAAGCATGCCCCCAAATACTATATGGGACATACTTATACAAAAACCTCTTGGTTTATCTGAGATTCACATTAACTGTGTGTCCTGATTTCTGCTTGCTAAATCTTGGCAGGGATGAAAGGAAAGAATCTAATTGTGATTCCATAAGAAGTGCACCAAACCTGCAGAAAGGGCTGAGGGCCTGTGGGTTACTTCCACCATCTTTCAGCCCCAAATTTGCAGTTCTCACTGTAGAAGGAGCCTGAGGATTCACAGGTGTACCTCATACCTAATGCTTTAGTTGGGAAAGCAAATCGTTTCTCTCATTTTCTTTGTATCAGGCAACCTGTCAGTTTACTTCTTCTGGTGTCTGGAGTTGTGTTTGCCAAGAGGGCTACGAAGGAGATGGCCTTCTCTGCTATGGAAACGCTGCAGTGGTAAGTCCTCTGAGATCAACTCCAGTACAGAATAATAAAGACAAAAATCTTCAAATTTAAAAGAAAAGAAAAAGAGTGCTCTTGGCTAGGATGGCTTTAAAGTGTTCTACCAGTCATTTGCTCCAGGTTTTATCTGAAGCAAACTGCTTCTCATAAATGGCATATGTGCTCTGTGGGCCACAAATTTTCTACAAGGTGAAGGGAGGTAACTTTTATTAGGCACCTTCTGTGTACCAAGCAGTCCTGGCTTCCCTTTCTTGCCATTCTGCCTCTTGCTAGTCCCAGACTTCCCAGATGAGCAAATAACTGGTCCCTGCTGAGCTCTCGGGCACTCCTGTCCGGGCTGTGTGCCTCCTATAGGCACCCAGAGCACCCTGTGCTTACCCCTGTCTGGGGGGGGGTGTGTGTGTGTGTGTGTGCACACACACACGCGCACGCATGCGCGCGCACCTTCTGTGTACCAGGCATCTTACTAAATCCTTAACATGCTGCAGCACCCCCTTTAAACCACAGCCTCTGGGCTTATGCTATTTTTATGCCCATTTCATAGATGAGGAAACTGAGAGCCTAAGCACACTTGCCTAAGGTCGCTCAGCTGTCTCCGTGCAGAGCCCAAGCACTTAACCGTTAGTATGTTCTATCAGCGTAGGGCACGGCCCACCTAATTGTCTGTCTCCCCACTGGACTGTCAACTCTTGAGGGCAGGTCTTTGTCCTTGCTTCCTACTTCACTCCTACTGTTCATAAAGATTTGCTGAAATGAGAAAGTAAATTGGTGAATTTTCTCATCACTCACTTTTTGTTTAACTCACTGGAGTTTGGTTCCTACCCCTCCTCTCAATGGAAACCACTGGCGTAACAGTGCCCAGGGCTGCACCTGCCCTAACGTGCTCCCTGCCAGCTGCAGCCTCTGACCTTGGCCTCCCTGCCTATCAGGGTCCTTCCTGCTCTTTACTGAACCTGTTTCTCCTACTCATCCCATCAGGCCTGTCTCCTGACATTCAGACCGTGGAGCGTGGACCCAACATTTTCTCTGCACTGTCCATGGGCCACATTTCCTAAAACCTTAAAACCCTAACACCCTGCTTTCACAATGCCCCTCACCTCCCACGGAAAACAAGATCAAGTCCAAATCCTCGGCCTGGTAACTCCGAGGACTTCACATGGACTCAACTCACTTCAACCAGCTTAGCTGAGCTGTCGCCTTCCCAGCTGTCACCTTCCTGGCTCCGTTCCCCGCCCCCACGGACCCAGCCTCAGGTCTTTCTGCCAGCAGTTCAGGTCCAGCTCACGCCCTCCTCTCCTTGAAGGGATTACCCGAGCATCTCAGCTCTTGTACTTATCTATTTACTGATTTACTTTTTAACCGGTATTTACTAACTTATTCCATAACCTCAACCACTTTCAAAAAGGAATTAAGACAGCTCTGAGATGTATTGCCTTTTGGTAAATTTGCACATAATAATTGTTGTTGCCACTTTCGTGGTGTTTAATAATTTTTAAAATGTTTTCACATACATTAATGCATGTAATGTTCATAATCCCAGGAGCAAGGCATCATCATTTTCATTTTTCAGGTGAGGCACTTGAGTTCTCAGAGAGGTTAAGTGACTTGCCCAAGATCCCACAGCTGGTAAATGGCAGACCCAGGAATTGAACCCAGACTTTTTAAACTCAAAGTCTAGAGCTTTCTTTAATCTATCACACCTTCAGACATCACTGATCTACCAGCCCTCTGTGTTATTTTTTCACATCCTAACATCCCCCAAACAACTGTAAGTTGCATAAGCTCAGGGGCCATCTTTTCTCTTTCATATCTTATATCCTCCCTCACTCCAACTTGGTGCCAATTGCGATGGTTCAGCGTGTATGTTCATTAGCAAACCCCATGGCGGATAAGTTAAAAAGAATAGTTGCTAAGACCTACTGACTGTGTCCTGCGTGCCATCCTCTATTCTAAGCACTTTAGAAACATTAACTCTTGCAGTTTCCACATCAGCACTATCAGCTGGAGCTTCCATCATCCCTGTTTTATAGCTGGGAACATTGAAGCCCAGCGAGATGAAGGAACTTGCCTAAGGAACTAGCAAATGGCCAAACCAGAAAGAAAACCCGAGTGGTTTGGCACTGTGTCCCAAGCCCCTGCTCAATGCTAGCTCTGAAAGGGGACCGTTTACTGAGTTCTGTGACCCTCCTTTAGGGCTGGGTGGCCGTGTTCTTACAACATAAATTCTGATTTGGACGAATTCGACGTTGTTGTTTCATTTAACGTTTCTGGAATTACTCCTTTACCTCGAATATAGAAGATAATTCAAGCCATTAAACATGAAAGAAATGCATGGCTCTGGCAACATGGGGATTCATCCAGCCTGGGCATCATTCATGTCGGCATCGACAAGGCTGGCAAGGACGATGCCCAGAGATGCCCTGTGATTATGCCTCTCATTGATCCTCCTCTGTGTTCTCTCTCCTCTCTCCTCCCTCTCTTGCACGAAATGAATAAGGAATTGTCCTTTCTCTCTGCAGCAGCTATATTTAACCAGTGGATAAATGTGAGTACCTTTGTTGGAATTAGGATTGGGAAGATACAATAATTGTAGATATTTGGACTACATGTAACAGAAAACTGAAAATGCAGCTGGTGAGGGGGAGGGAGGGAAATTGTCTAGAACAGTGGTTCTCAGCTTTGATTCCACTTTAGAGCCACATGGAACAGATGTTTTTCAGTAGCCCTGCCTAGGCTCCCACCCCCAGACTCTCTGATTTGATTGGGTAGAGGTTTGACCTGGGCATCAGTGTATTTTAACACTTTCCCAGGTGATTCTAACATGTAACCAGGGCCAAGAGCTTCTGGTCTCAGATAAGCTGGGGTGGTCGACTTTTCAACCAATCCAAATATATATGTATAACTTCATTCATCAAAAGAGGGATTTTTGAAAAGTCAGCATAATTCATCACGGTAATTCACCAAATTATATTTGGCATTTATAGTTGCAGTACTATCATATTTCATGTGTGTTTAGCCCTCAGCCCAACATGCCCAGAGGAGCTTTTCCCTCTCCTTTGGAAAGTTCTATAACAAAGAGTCTAATCTCCACGAACCCCAGTTGTCTGAGTCTCTGTCATCTTTGCCTGAGTGGCCCAAGGTGGCAGGTTCAGCCAGCCATCGTGACAAGTGGTTTGTCCCTTTTAAGAAGACAGATCCCAAGATACGCAGTGTCTGGTCAGCAGCCACTCCAGGACGCCTTCCTGTTGCTTCCATGTGGGGTCCCTCTGACCCCCATCACACGGGACAGCAGGGACTGAGGGTCCTATAGCAGGTGCTAATTTTCATACAGACCCACCCCACACTCATAAGCTTGCCCTGTGGTGTGCTAGACCCACTCGTCCTAGCTCACAAGAGCACAGCTTTCCCAACTCCACTTTCTGTGCTGTTATGGCGGTAGCTTGGAATCAGCTATGATGGGAGAACTTACGCCACAGAAATCAGCAAACACTACGAAGCGGGGCTTTTGTTTGTTTGTTTTTCCTGGAGAGCCGGTTGTGAAACATAAACCCACCACCGCTTCTACCCAGAAGTAGCTCTAGGTGAGTAGATAAAGGTTGATTTCAGGCCTCCAGTCTCTCTCTCATGCTGAAACTGTTCCTGTAATCTTGCCACCATCCTTATTCCAAAGGCGTCCAAGGATTCTCAAGGTTCTCTGTACACACGTGTGCACACACACGCATGACACTCTCAAGACTGTTCGCTGCCTCTTCATTTAGACTAAAGGGTGAATGACTGATAATGGCTCAAGTGTGACCTGATCAGGAAAATTTGCCTTTTGTCAAGGTTCACACGTTTCAATAAAAGGAATGAGTCTCAGAGGGAAGAGGAGGCATCAGCCAGTAGGTGGGATCGATTTGGGAAAGGGGTCCCTAGGACCTTCCCAGTATCTCTGAAATTATATCACATGGGAAATTGTCATCTCTGCCAAGCAATAAGTCAGCATTTGTCCTCTGACATGAGTCAGGCCAGTTTCTTTTCCTTCTGCGATTCAGAATGCTTCCCTACAACCCATGCTGTCAGCCGCCTCAAACCTCACCATCCTCGTGCCTTCCCAACAAGCTATTGAGGACATGGACCAAGATGAGAAAGCCTTTTGGTTGACCAAGAGCAATATTCCCACCCTCATAAAGTAGGTATTATGTGTGTTTTATTCTTCATGGTATCTTACTGGCATCAGTGTGAATGAAGTTCAGTGAAGGGAGGCCACGTGGTCCTTCAGATCCATGCAACTGACCATGTCCCAGGACCCCCTCACCTCCTTACCCCAGGATGGAAGTCGTCAACATGACTGACAGCCAATTCTGTGCTAACTGCTTTATGTACAACCTAGTTAATCCTCCCAAGGACCCTGTGAAACAGACAGAATTATTCCCATTTTATAGATGCGGAAACCAAGGCACAGGGTGGTTAATTAACTAACCCCAGGTACCATGGCTGAAGTTGCAGGGGAGATTTTGAACCTGGTAGTCTGGCTCCAGAAGCTACTCTCTTAACTCCTCACAATGCCACTGCCTCAAGCATTGATACCTCATTACAGCCCTTATGGACTGTTGTTGTAGGTACCATACGCTACTGGGCACGTATGGAGTGGCCGATCTGCAGGCCCTGTCACCTTCTGACATGCTGGCAACGTCTTTGCAGGGCAGCTTCCTCCACCTGGCGAAGGCAGATGGGGTAAGAGAGCGTCGTGTTGTGTCTGTTTAGTGGAAACTTGTGACCTACGTTCATAGTGTACTTTTAGTTTTTTTCTGTTAGGGAAATTTCCAAACGTGAGCAAAAATAAATGGAGAATAAAACCTCCATGTAGGTATCACCCAGCTTCAACACTTAGCAACCTGTATTGACACACACACACACACACACACACACACTCTCTCTCTCTCTCTCTCTCTCTCTCTCTCTCTCTCTGTAGCAGGGATAGTATAAAATGAAGCTCTCTGCCCACTGGTTGGCCACAGGCTCTTCCTGACAGACAACAGACTGATCCGGAAAGGCAGTCCTTTCATTTCTTCTGGGTGAAGGCCGTGCAGTTTCACAACTTGGATTTTTATGTGTGGTTAAGAGCTGGTTATTGGAAACCTACTAATTGAGTCATTTGAGATTACTACAATTTTGTATTAAGCTAGGGTCAGTCAACAGATATTTATTGGGACTTCCCTGGTGATCCAGTGGTAAAGAATCCGCCTTCCAGTGCTGGGGATGTGGGTTCGATCCCTGGTTGGGGACCTAAGACCCCATATGCCACGGGGCAACTAAGCCTGCACGCCATAACTAGAGAGCCCGCCTGCCTCAAACTACAGAGCCCACAAGCTCTGGAACCCGCACTCCACAACTACAGAGCCCATGCACCCTAAAACCCAAGCACTGCAACTAGAGAGAGAAAACCTGCACACCACAGCTAGAGAAAAGCCCACGCACCACAACGAAATATCTCGCATGCCTCAACGAAGACCCCGCGTGCCGCAACGAAGACCCGATGCAGCCAAACAGATAAACAAACAGATACTTATTGAACACCTCCTATGCTCCAGGAACTGATCTGAGTGTTGGAGACAGGACAGTACACAGGAGAGCAGAGCCCTGTAGAAGCTCACCTTCTGGCTTTTTCTATAGTGTTTCAAGGACTTGGATTCAGTTTTCTGTGCAGAAGTCTGGCTGCCCTGCTGAATGAGGCAGTGTTTTAAAGTTCTTTCTGTGAACTGAACAAGATGAAAATGGAGACTCTACTGGGAAATGAGAACTGCCCCATCAATGGAGCATGGGCCAGAGTCAGAATATTCTAGAACTGCAGCTCTAAAGCATTTCTGCCTACCTACCCATCAGTGGTGGCGCTGTGAAAAGGCTCTATGCCTAGTATTACCTAAATATATGTGCTTCATCAGATCATTCCTTTTAGAAAGCAGAAAAGAGTTACATAAAGTCCCATGGACTCTTTACATTTTATTACAATAATTCTAGAACGTTACATGCATGTATCAGACAATGGGTGGTTTTCCATTGGTGTTTGAAATCACTGATGCTCTGAGCAAGCATTAGTTGAACACCCACCCTGGGAAGGTTCATCCCAGGTTCCGTAGATTCAGAGGTAAATCAATCAAGACCTGTGAGCTAGAGCAGCTAACCATCAAAGACACAGTTGTAATGGGTTCTTTCATACGCCTGATATAAATGTCTCCCTGTAACCAGAAGAGATGTGCAAGGTAGCCAGGAATGTTTGTTTCAGGACCTCTGCTGATGTGCTCAGGGTGAGGCAAGTCCCCTCTGCACCCAGGGTTCCCAGGAGGAATTTCAGACAAAGGGCAGTGGTGGGAGAAGAGGAGAGGAAACCAGAGAGAGCAGAGCCCAGATGTGTCATGCTTGGTTGGTGGCTGCGTGAGCGGGCATTTGGATTTACTTAGCTCCTTTCAGTGGCTGCGTGAGAGGGCATTTGGGTTTACTTAGCTCCTTTCCCCGTGTAATTAATATTCTTGAAAAGTCAGTAACTATTAGTTTGCTAGGCCTACTATAACAAAGAAGCACAGGCTGGGTGGCTTAAACAACAGAAATTTTTGTCTCAGAGTTCTGGAGGCTCGAAATCCAAGGTCAAGGTGTGGGCAGGGTTGGTTCTCTCTGAGGACTGACGTCGGGCTCTCTCCTTGGCTCGTAGATGACCGTCCTCATGTTCACATGGTCTTCTCTCTACATAGCTGTCTGTGCCCAAATATCCTCTTCTTATAAGGACACCGGTCATGTTGGATTAGGGCCCACCCTAATGACCTCATTTTAACTTGATTACCTCTGTAAAGACCCTGTCTCCAAATAGGGTCACATTCTGAGACACTGGTGGTTAGCACTCCAGCATACGAATTTTGGAGACACAATTCAACCCACAACACTATTTGTGGTGTTTTTCCAACTGCAGGGTCACTTTAGTGAGCCTCAGCCAGCACTTTTTTTTTTTTTTTTTTTTTTTTTTTGGCAGCGTTGGTTCTTCTTTGCAGCACACGGGCTTTCTCTAGTTGCAGCGAGTGGGGACTTCTCTTGTTGCGGAGTACAGGCTATAGGCGGCACGAGCTTCAGTAGTTGGGGTGCATGGGCTTCAGCAGTTGTGGCACGCAGGCTCAGTATTTGTGGCTCGTGGGCTCTAGAGCGCAGGCTCAGTAGTTGTGGCGCACCGGCTTAGTTGCTCTGTGGCATGTGGGATCTTCCCGGACCAGGGATTGAACCTGTATCCTGCATTGGCAGGAGGGTTCTTAACCACTGTGCCACCAGGGAAGTCCCCAGCACTTTTTTAATGAAATAGAATGAAATAGAGTAGAATCGATGATCAGGTGCCTACCACATGATAGAGGAAAGTATTATTTCATTTCAATTGTGTGTGTGTGTGTGTGTGTGTGTGTAATATCAAAAGGCTCTCAATTTAAAAATTTCTGACTTTGTGTCATGGTCCAAAAGTGAGAAGGTCACTACTACTCAAAAAGTGGGAAACCCAGAAATAATTCAATCCCTGGGTGTACTCTATAGGGACTCACCTTCTCACTGTGGTGCATTTACAGAATATCACAATCGAAGGAGCGTGCGTCATTGATGGTGACAATGCAGCCACAAATGGAGTGATACACATCATCAACAAGGTACAAAATCGCTTCCTCCCGCACATGTTGAATCTCTTCTTTTGTTATTTATCCTCCTGTGCAGTATCTTTTTTGGGAAAAAATACTTAGCCTTAATATAAAAACAACCTGTATTGTGCTTCATTATTTTTATTTTAAAACAATTTTGAGGCTCTACTCATTCAGTAAGACTCAGTTACTATATACTCAGCCTATATCCTGCAGTGGGTCCTGTATAATGTGTGGCCACATAGATCATATTTCTTAGTTATCAGAACATCTTACAAGGCACACGGGAACCTTAGTATTGGGAAGTCCATATGCCCAGATTGGATATAATCAAGAACTGGAGGAGAGGCAACTGGCTATGTGTCACTGGTCCTCTCCCCTCTGCATTATTGTGCCCTAGAAAAAAAAATGGAAAAGGGTAGGAAGGGTATTGTAGAATTTTTATTTTCTTCTAAGATGCAATTCAACAGTATTCAAAGGTATGAAATAGGAAAAAAAAGTTTAATGGGAAACTAGCTTTTAAACTATCCTATAATTTTCAGTTACTATATTAATATCTTCATTTAAAATTAAAGTTCGAATTTAGGGTATATTGGGAAATTCTGAAAAGCGGAAGATTAGAAAAGACAATTAACTAATTGCATTTTAACTAAAATTATTCTCACTTGGCACTTACATACTTTTCTATTTCAAGTTACAGAACACATTAACTGTTTCTGTTCAGAAAAGAGAGGCTTCTTATAAGACTTCTGAGTGCAACAATTTGCAAAGACCTTGCAATTCTCTTGTATTACCAAGAGGCATTAAAAAATACACCACTTTTTGAGCAAGTGATAGGTCATTTGCAGGGAACTATACTGGGCTTATGGCTTCATTTATCAGAAAGCAATATTACTTAGAGTATTTTTCTTCTCCAATACTGGCTTTTCAAAGTACTAAAAAAAATTTTTTTTTAAAGTGTAAAATTACCTCTTCTTCTCATTTACATTTTTGATTAACAAAACCTCATTAGTAAAATGGCACCTCAACCCATGTCCTGCACTGAGCGTTATTATCACGGGGGTCAGGTCGAGTCCCACCTCCTCTGTGAAGCCATCCCTGATCCCTGCAGCCCATATCACCGAGGTTGACATAGTGTCAAGAGGGTAAGTTCTAGAATCATACAGCATCTCGTTCAGGCACTTAACTAACTGTGTAACCCTGGGCAAGTTACATAACCTCTCTGAGCCCCATTTTTCTTCCCTGTGAGTATTAAACAACACCTTCTCTCTCACTGCTGCCTAGGGAGACCTCGATAAATGTCATTTTTATTCCCTTTTCCTTCCTCTGAAATCCCGTGGGATTTCTCAGTATAGAACTCATTTGGCATAACTGTGCCCCCTTGTTTTGATAGTTCTTTATGGAATAGGTCATGAGCCCCCATATAATGGCATGTCCCGGAGGGGTGGAGCTGCATCTCTTCTCTGTCCCTCATCAGCATTACCACCCCACCTTGTGTGCAGTAATATTGGAATGATGGACAGCCCTCTAGGTGCCAGGCATTGTGCCAAGTGCCATGTATTGCATTATCTCATTTGATTTTTATAACAACCCTAAGAAAGTATGTGCCATTCTCCTCACTTCTCAAAGGAGGCCGCTGAGGGTCCTCATGGCTAGGTAGCTGGATTGAGGAAGAAGTTTATGTGGACACAGAGATCCATGGCTGTGCGTCAACTGATTCAAGTTCCCTGCTTAGCCTCTGGGTTGCAGTGGCTCATTAAGGAGCTTCTTTTCTACCTGTCCATTGGGCGCTGTGGTCCCCTTTGTTAGGGCCACCATGAACAGTTGTGCAGGTTGTTCCCTGCCTAGAGGTACCTGGTCTGGTGGTGGAGTAGGGCTGAAATCCAACCCACTTCACTTCCCAAACTGTGCACCTCTTTGGTCTTGCAAACGATCAAAGGAAAAGGTACCTTGTTCTCTGTTTGCAGAGGCTTCATGATCACGTATTGTTATGTGACATGAACCTATGTACTAGAGAGCAGCACGTCCTACCAAGGCAGGCTAACAGAATTTTGGGGCTTCCTTTCCCAGGTTCTGGTTCCCCAAAGAGGTCTAACTGGCTCCTTACCAAACCTACTCACCCGGCTGGACCAGATGCCTGACTATTCCATCTTCCGGGGCTACATCATTGCAAGTACCATGTCCTCTGCATGACCCTCTGCTCGGGTTACCTGGGAACAGAAGTCCCTCACGCGCTCCTGTCTCTTTCCATCACAGCAACATAATCTGGCAAGTTCGATCGAGGCTGCTGACACTTACACGGTGTTTGCTCCAAACAACGACGCCATTGAGAGTTACATCCGGGAGAAGAAGGTCACAACTCTGGTAGTATCAGCAATAATAACCTGGGAAATTATTTCCTGGAAATTCAAACACTTAAAGGTTTTCAGTCCATCAACCATGTACCATTTCACTCTTTCATCAAAACTTCTTTGTCGATATCCAGATATTTAACATAAACTTCAGCAGAGACTCTCTCATACCCGAACCTCCCCCAAGCCAGAGCTACTCATATATTGAGTTCGTACCCCTGGAAGCACACACTCAGGCTCACATACACAAGGATGAAGGCATCCCAGGAACCTGGAAACATCTTCATGGCCACCCCTCCTCCCCTCCCTGGCTTCTCCCTGGTCCCATGCAGTGAGCTGTCAGCAGCTGGGACCTAGAGGGAGTGCACTGTCTCTGTCTTCCTCCTATTCTCCCCGCCTCTGTCTTCCCTGATTCCTAACATCTGGGGCTGAACAGTCAGAACTTGTCAAAAGACTTTGTGAAATAATAAAAAGCTCCAGTCCTGTCACTCTCTGGCTCAAAACCCTTGGGTGGATCTCCATTTCCTGAATGACTAAGTCCAAGCTACCTCCCCAGGTTCTTACGGTCTCCATAAACTGGCCACGATTACCTTCTATTCAGTGCTGGCGCCAGAATTTCCATTTAGAAGGATCCCAGGGGTGCCCCGCACCCAGCCCCACAGTGGCAGGACAAGTTTAAAGCTGTAATTGCACAGCAAGCACGCTGTTTTCACTTCTCTCTTTATATAGGGTGACTGAGATGAGGATGCTAAGGAGATGGGGGCTGATACTTGAAGTCCCGCTAAGCCACCCTTGGGCCCACTGCTTTCTCCCATCCATTCTCTGCAGATACCATGTGGTCTAACCAGAGTGATGTCATACAGACCCTAAAGAAAGCAAAGGCATGTTTAGTACTTTGCTCCTATCTACACACACAAACACACACACACACACACCCGCCCCCTCAATCAGGAAGGCTGCCCTTCCTCCTTCGATGCCTCCTGAAACCTCCCCACCCATTCTTTTTTTTTTTTTAACATCTTTATTGGAGTATAATTGCTTTATGATGGTGTGTTAGTTTCTGCTTTATAACAAAGTGAATCAGCTGTACATATACCCATTCTTCAAGTCCAGTCTCACCTCCTCAGACAAGCTGGCTCTGGCCCCTGAGCTGCAGAAAATCTCTCCTGCCTCTGAATTCAGACCATTAGTACGCCCTTCAGCACTTACACACCTGGTATAAGGAACTGTCTTTTCAGGCGGGTGTGTCTTAGCTCTCCAATTGGATGAAAACTCTGTGAAGGGAGGAACCGTGGGTTAGACTTTTGTAACTGCCGTGTTGAGCAAGCAGGACTCCTGGGATGGAAGTGGAAGTCCTCTTTACTGTGTCTCCTCACCCCCAGCCCTCCCCCAGCCCTTTGAACCTGTTCAGTGGGGAATATTCTTCTCCTGCCCTGGGATAAGCCCTCAGGCAATCCCGCAGCCTTTTTTTTTTTTTTTTTTAACATCTTTATCGGGATATAATTGCTTTACAATGGTGTGTTAGCTTCTGCCTTATAACAAAGTGAATCAGCTATACATATACATATGTTCCCTTATCTCTTCCCTCTTGCGTCTCCCTCCCTCCCACCCTCCCTATCCCACCCCTCCAGGCAGTCACAAAGCACCGAGCGGATCTCCCTGTGCTATGCGGGTGCTTCCCACTAGCTATCTATTTTACATTTGGTAGTGTATATATGTCCATGCCACTGTCTCATTTTGTCACAGCTCACCCTTCCCCCTCCCCATATCCTCAAGTCCATTCTCTAGTAGGTCTGTGTCTTTATTCCTGTCTTACCCCTAGGTTCTTCATGACATTTTTTTTTCTTAAATTCCATATATATGTGTTAGCATACGGTATTTGTCTTTCTCTTTCTGACTTACTTCACTCTGTATCTAGGTCTATCCACCTCATTACAAATAGCTCAATTTCGTTTCTTTTTATGGCTGAGTAATATTCCATTGTATATATGTGCCACGTCTTCTTTATCCATTCATCCGATGATGGGCACTTAGGTTGTTTCCATCTCCGGCTATTGTAAATAGAGCTGCAATGAACATTTTGGTGCATGACTCTTTTTGAATTATGGTTTTCTCAGGGTATATGCCCAGTAGTGGGATTGCTGGGTTGCATGGTAGTTCTATTTATAGTTTTTTAAGGAACCTCCATACTGTTCTCCACAGTGGCTGTATCAATTTACATTCCCACCAACAGTGCCAGAGGGTTCCCTTTTCTCCACACCCTCTCCAGCATTTATTGTTTCTAGATTTTTTGATGATGGCCATCCTGACTGGTGTGAGATGATATCTCATTGTAGTTTTGATTTGCATTTCTCTAATGATTACTGATGTTTAGCATCCTTTCATGTGTTTGTTGGCAATCTGTATGTCTTCTTTGGAGAAATGTCTATTTAGGTCTTCTGCCCATTTTTGGATTGGGTTGTTTGTTTTTTTGTTATTGAGCTGCATGAGCTGCTTGTAAATTGTGGAGATTAATCCTTTGTCCGTTGCTTCATTTGCAAATATTTTCTCCCATTCTGAGGGCTGTCTTTTGGTCTTAGCCTTTCTGCTTCCCCAGAAAGTCCTATCATCACTGTAAGTCACAAACACAGTCTCAATTAAGTAAAAAGAAAAAAAAAAAAATCCAGCTCCTTGTAAAAATCAACATTTTGAATTGGATTTAGAATTAAATCTTCTTTCCTCACTGCTCCATGCTGGGCTTTGTCCAGAAAGGAAGCTAGAGGAGGGGGTTTGGTCCTTGAATCAATCAAGGTCCATCAGAGGGTGGCAGGAGAGATAGATTGGGAGTTTGGGATTGATATGTACACACTGCTATATTTAAAATAAAATGCCTTTCCATGAAAAAAAATCAGTATGGAAAGGTAAAAATGATTGCTAAAAAAAAAAAAATCAAGGTCCATCAGGAGACGGAAACCACATCAGAGAGAATTCAATATTATGAATTGTTTATTGGGTATAAAATTATATAAATATAATTGAAAGGTAAAAAAGAGATAGCATAGAAGCATCTATAGCCCCAAAGGCTGGGAGAACAGAGGAAAGAGGTCAGAACAACTAAAAGACAGAAATCTGGAGGAGGCTGGAGGAGCTGTACCGCAGACCTCTGAGGACGGGGTGCCATTCTGCTTGTGGCTCTGACATTGGAGGAGGGTCCCTGGGGATCCAAGACCCAGGCGTCTCGGAGATGCCATTGCCCAGCTGGTGCTGGCGTCTTGGGGGAAGGGGGACATGATAAGGCCAGTCTGGGAGTGACAGGCCTCTGCCACTCGGATCCAGCTGCCGCTGGCAGGGCGATGAAGTGCAGCTGGGGTGATGCCCCCAGGACCAGGAATCATGCAGGAAGAGGAGATCCCTCTAACAGGCCTCACAGTCTCCCTCGAGCACTTTCCACTGGCGGCGCCAAACAGGAGACCTGGCAGAGGAGAAGTGTGGGCCGTGGTCCCAGCTCCACCGCAGAAACAGTGTAGAGGGTGATTTGGAGCTGAGACAGTAATTCACCATCTCTCCTTCCCCATATGACGCTTCTATTTCCTTTCCTGATCTCACTGAATTCAGCTTTGGTCTCACCAGATTTGCAGTTAGGACCTGTTGATGGTCGGGAAGAGATGTTAAGAGGGTAGGAAGTTCTTATTTAACTGGTACCGTCTTGAGATGCCATTGCGCTCTCGCTCTCGCTCCCGCTCTCTGATGGTTCTTTGGAGACCCCCCCCATCCCTGGTGGTCTCTGACTGCAGTCCCCCCACCTGTGTGCATGCCTCTCTTCCTGCAGCCACTTTTTTTCTCAGTGGACCCTCAGCATCCAGAGGCCACCTCCAGCTTTTCCCTTGGGGAGGCCCGCCTGCCCTTCCAGAAAGCCATCTAGGATAGGACCTAAGGCACCAGCTCTCTCAGACACGGCCAACCCTCTGGTCCACAGGACACCTGTACTCTCTTGTCCCACGTCAGTGCTGGGAGTGCAGGCCTGTCTCCGTGCGGTGACAGCCTGCCCCCTCCGCTGGGGGTCAACCTGCCAGCAGCAAGATTGCTCAGGCCTGAGTGACACCCCACAGGCTACCCTGTCTGCAGAGGACACAGATCAAGCCCTTTGAAATACCCCATTGAGCCTCCTCTCATGACCTCTAGGTGAAAGGCAGGCTGGGGTGTGAGGACTCTCTTCACAGCTGTTCTCACCAAAGAAATCAACTTTAAACCCCCCCCCAACCTTTTCTGCCCTCACTCCTGGTTTTAGGGTCCCATAGTGAGTTCCTGACCATCCTACATGGAAAGTCTGCAGGTTCCCCAAGGTGATCTGTCTCGGGTTTGGTATTTATTATCTACTGTGCCCTGATGCCTCGGGTGAAACTTCCAGTTCAACAAGCTATTGCTCTTAAACCCCGTGGTGCCTGGACATCAGGGCAGCCCAGTAAGTGCCCGGGGACCGGCTGATTTGTAGGTTGACTTTCCCTTCTGTGTGTTGTCCAGGAGGAGGACGTACTCAAGTATCACGTGGTCTTGGAGGAGAAACTGCTGAAGAATGACTTGCACAACGGCATGCACCAGGAGACCATGCTGGGCTTCTCCTACCTCCTTGGCTTCTTCCTCCGCAATGACCAGGTGCGATCCTTTCCATTAAAACCCACAGGCGGGTGTCCTAGCTCCATGTCCGTCATCACTTTTGCGTTGCATAATCTCCCCAGCACTTCCTAAGCCTTCTCTACAGAAGACGGTTGTCTGTGTTTCACCATAAAGTAATGACTCAGCCAGACTGGGAAGCTCCCCTTCCCCCTCCCTGTCACCAAATCATCAGTGTGGCCTGGCTGACGATGGGATTGAATCCCAGTAGTCACAGGTGCCCTTCAGTTCTGATTCCTAACAAACAAACAGCCCCCAAGCCACCTCCAAGAGGGAAGGGAACCCGGCAGCAAAACCTGACGCTCAGGAAGTGGCACTGGCCCCAGGGTATAAGGAGCCTCACGGACTCCAGCAGCTAAATGAATAAACATTATTATCATTGCTTGATCATACAGACTGCAGACCTCAGACCAACTGACCCCTATACCAGTATTCCAGTATTAATCTCACACAACCCCTAAGTACTTAAAGTGTTTAGAATTCGTAGAAAGAACTGAGACTAAATACATATTTTAAGTATTTCAATATAAAATTCTTTGTACCTACTTCAAACATCAATCAATCTGAAAATTCAACAAGAAATTCACTACGTAACTCTAGTATACGTTCTCATAAGAAAAATTAATAAAAACAAATGATTAGGATAAACTCAGCACTATATTAAAGTAAAGAAAGTTTAATTGCAAATTTTTAAGCAATAATAATTGGTCCCAAGTGCAGTTTTGAAAATAATTTTCTCAGTGTTATCATCATTGAGGTACCAGTGAATTTTGTGTACAGGTTTTCTTTTAACATGCTTGGGTTAAAAAAAAAATCTTCATGGTTCTTCATTACTTAGGGAATAATCTACCTCCAAATATTTCCCTCTGACTCCTATAAATAATCATACCTATTGTGCAATAATTTTGAGGAGATCCTTTTAAATACATTTTCTTTTTTTTGCAGGTAAGGCAATTTTTGTTGGTAAAGACCTTACATTTTTGTTTTTAATCTATGTCATCTTTTATTTTCATCATGTAGAAATGAATATTCCAATGCAGTTAGTTGAATCAGTTTTGATTCTGTCACATTTATTTTTCATGTGTTTGGAAAGTCTTTGATCTAGAGCTTTTTTTTTTTCCTTTCTACAATAGAGGCTTTATCTTACAGTAAACAAATAGTTCGATCTTACAATAGAGGCTTTGCTTTTATTGATAACTCATTTACTCTCAGGACAAAGAAGATGTAGAAAAATGCTCTCTAAATGAGTAAACTTGTGTTCAGATCAAAATTTTAATGCAACCTGTAATTCTTCGAATACATCTCACAATAAAAATGATTCAGACGTTTTCTAATGCCAAATCAACAGTATTACAGCATCCGAAGTTCTGCCATTTTGATATTTTTAAATAGCTCAACATCTTGGAATTCTACAAATTTGTTTTGCAATCACCGTTTGACACCACAAGTAAGGCCCCCTGCTTCTTTTCCAAGTCTACACAGACCCTGGACCACTTCTGTGGACCTCAGCCGTGATTTATCCCAACATCCAGTGGAAATTCACTTGACTCCAAGTAAATCATCAGGGACTTTAACAGTCAGTGGAAGTTCAAATTTAAACACTTAGAGTCATTTTAATCTTGATGCAGTGGGGAGTTTGGGAGATGTTAATCATTTTTAAACCCTTATGAGATATGAAGTTGACATCTGTTTAGTACAATAAAGAATTCCCTCTTCTCCCAACCTCAGCCCTGCTACACACACCCCCACACACACACACCACCCCCCAATTTTTCAAACAACCATTTGTTTTCAGTTATATTAGTTATATTAATGAATGAATTAATGGCTTTATTTATTTTGCTAAGCAATCATTAAGGTATGCTCCCATTTAAAAAAATCAAAACAAAACAAGTTACAACTCAAAGTTGAATTTAATTTGGCAACATTTAGAAATTTAGTTCCCATGTCTTGGATGCTTAGGGACACACAAGGCAAAGACAGTACAAACATACCATGAACTCCAAAGAAGCCCCAAGGGAAACATGGTATGGTAATGCAGACCTCTGAGCAGTCTCCTCACACTGGGAAGTAATGCTATCTGGTGCAACACTTTTTACAAACTCTAAAACACTCAAATATGCTAGTTATTTTTATTCTTATATAACAGCCACTTAGCCCTACTTAGAGGTGCTTGCAAATTAACCAGGAAGTAGAGATATGCTAGAAGGACACTGAGTTTCGTTCTCCGTGTCGTGGCTTTGGAAGGCATCCACACCTCCTGGACCACCAATAACCAGCACAGCCAAGCACATCCGTCATCCATGGAGCCATTTTATCAGGGGCACTAACATAACGATCATGACTCAGAATTTTTTAAACAATAAAAACCGACCATTTGAAGGGTGGAGAGAAACCTTGGAGATTATCTAGAACAACCTCTTCCTTTTACAAAAGGGGAAATTGAGATTCACAGAGGAAAAGCAACTAGCCCAAGGTCACACAGCTGGAAGGTGTCAGGTGCAGGACTGTCACTCAGACTCCCCTCTCCTAGGGCAGAGCTCTCTCCACTACACCGTGCTACCTGCCCGGTGAATTTTGGAATATCTCCTAAGCCATTGTCATATTGATATCCTCCAATCCCCATCGTCCTTATTTCCCTTAAAATCACTGTAGTAAAAACTTACAGTTAACCCTCTGTTCACAGCTCTACGTAAATGAGGCTCCGATAAACTACACCAATGTAGCCACTGACAAGGGAGTGATCCATGGCTTGGGGAAAGTTCTGGAAATTCAGAAGAACAGATGTGACATTAATGACACTACTATCCTACGAGTAAGTTCTATCCGAGGCCAATGATGAGCTAAAGAGTGCTGGCTTATTTTTTATAATTTTGAGCATAGGACTCATCTATCAGAGTATCTCAGTTCAGTTCAAAACACACTGCATGCGGGCTTCCCTGGTGGCGCAGTGGTTGAGAGTCCGCCTGCCGATGCAGGGGACACGGGTGCGTGCCCCGGTCCGGGAAGATCCCACATGCCGCGGAGCGGCTGGGCCCGTGAGCCATGGCCGCTGAGCCTGCACGTCCAGAACCTGTGCTCCGCAACGGGAGAGGCCGCAACAGTGAGAGGCCCGCATACCGCAAAAAAAAAAAACCAGAAACAAAAAAACACTGCATGAACGTCTCTAAATGCCAAGGAGCATACTTGGCTGTGGCTCCACAAAAATAAATAAGACATGACCCCTGCCCTCATTGGGCTCACAGTCTAGTGCCTTGAAAGGCTGCCTGGAGGGTTATGTTGTGGAGGGAGGAGGCTTCTGGAGCCACCGGCCTTCCTCAAAGGGAAAATGTGCCACACCCAGCATAGGCACGGGAAGGGGGGTGGCGGGGTATGGTGCACCCATGACAGGTTTTGGCCAAGCCTGGTCTAGCAAGAGAGACAATATGGAAATGAGTCACTTCAGTATAATATAGGATGCAGTAATGGAGACTTTTTAGTCCATGAGATGGTGTAGAGTCTCTCAATAATAGTAATAACTGCTGAAATTTACTGGGCACTTTTTCTGTGCCAGGCACTGCTCTAAACATTCTACATGTATTAACTCAGGTAACCCTCACAACACCCTTCAACGCAGGTACTATTACTCCGCCCATTTTTCAGATGGGGAAAAATGAGCCCCAGAGAGGTTGAGTAACACCCGCAGGTTCACAGAGCTAGCAAGTGTCAGAGAAGGCGTTCAAATCCAGGCAGTCTGGCCCTAGAGCCAGAACTGTGAACGACAACACAATACCGTCCAGTAGGTGCCAAGTTAAGAACTAGTCACATTGGTCTCCTTCTGTTTTAGGAACAGGCTGCACTTAAAAATGCCTGTCATTCTTGTGCTCTTTTTTTCATGATAGTGAATGTTATCTCCACGCGGACCCCATGGCTGGGCGCTGCTCGTGATGCATCCTTTAGTCTCAGAATCTGGCCCAATTCACTGAGTAGTGGGTTTTCAATAAATGACAGTTGTTGTTAAAGGAATTAGGATTTAAGTGAGTTAAGACCCCCTCCACACAGGTTACAAGATTATGAGCATCTGGAGTGTATAGTAGAGAAAGTGATGCTCCAGTGTCCACAACCCAAAGTAGTTGAAGTGTTTGTCTCAAAGGACATTAAAGAGGTTGACCAGACGAGCTTCTGGTTTTCAGTTTTATAGCCTAAAACGTCCAGCTCCATGTCGGGAAAATATTTGTAGCCTCATTTTGCACTAAATGTAATAACCATGAGATATTCACTCTGGTTGTGTTTTACTAAGGGAAAGTGTGGGAAGTGTCCCCAGCAGCCGATCTGCCCGTTTGGAACTAAACCACTAGTAAGTATTTTGTCTGCTTTGATAAAACTGTTTCTGGATCCCAGGGAGGTCCAAATTAGAAAATGAGTCTCAAGCACAACTCATTTCACTGCTTTCATTCCTTCACTTGATCTTAATTTAACCTTACCTTCTTACCTTATATGCATCTTTCTAAAGTCTTAAATCCATTTTTTTTGGACCAAAGCAAAAATTTAATTAATACATAAATAGAAACAGGGGTTCATCTCAACCAACACCCAGTGCAGGAAGGGATTTTTCACTTTCTACATCTTTCATATTCCAGTAGCTGGTTAAAGACAGGAGCAAGAAAGCTTATCAAAGGAGGCAAACTCCATATCCAACTCGGTATCCAACCTGGAGGAGTCCCACCTTCCCGATTCCCTTTACAGTTGAAGTTACAACTAACTTTCTCTAAGAAACACATGACAGACCTGCGGGGAGGTAGACATGTCTTTGAATTAACTACCCATCTATATTTCTTATAGCTGTTTATTGCAAAAGCTAGCTCTGATGATGCTCCAACCATTACATGTACCTTCCGTTGCATAATAGTAATTTATAACTAACAATGCTGACTCTTCTCACTTGAGTTTGCATTTAATCTTGTATATTAGAAGTCTTTGTAAGCAGCCTTAATCTTGTCTCAGACCAAGGCAGAATATCAACCAATAAATAAACAGAAACCAAGCCGCATCTCAATGTGGAATGTTGGAAGGATGTTTTCATCTGATTGACTCTGTGATTCTTCCTAACTTGAGCTAGTTCTAAAGAAAAGTTCTTTTTACATAGTACTACCATAAGGGATAATTATCTGAATTTTGCCACCTGGTATTCTGGCAGCCAACATTGTGATTTTGCATTTTCTTTCTTATGAAACAGCTCCAAGAAGCCAACACCCTCCTTTTCCAGAACATTTCAGTTAGAGAGACAGCAATGTACCACCCACCTACTTGCTTTTAGAGATTGGAAAGCTTTGTTCTAACTGAAAAGCTGATATAATCATTATTATTTCATAGGGTGCAGAGATGAAGAGATGTCTCTATACCATTTATTTCATGGGCAAGCGATCCCTGTTCATCGGGTGCCAGCCAAAGTGTGTGAAAACTGTCATTGTGAGTATAATGATTTAATAAGCCTTCTAACTATTGCAGCAGCATTGAGAAATGTAATCATGTGTTATACTTTTCAAAGTGCCTTTCCATGTATTCTTTTTTTTTTTTTTTTGGCCGCTCGTTGCTGCACACAGGCTTTCTCTAGTTACAGCGAGCGGGGGCTACTCTTCGTTGCAGTGTGCAGGTTCTCATTGCGGTGGCTTCTCTTGTTGCGGAGCACGGGCTCTAGGCATGCAGGCTTCAGTAATTGTGGCACACGGGCTCAGTAGTTGTGACGCACGGGCTTAGTTGCTCCACGGCATGTGGGATCTTCCCAGACCAGGGATCAAACCTATGTCACCTGCATTGGCAGGTGGATTCTTAACCACTGTGCCACCAGGGAAGTCCCCCTTTGCATGTATTCTTTCTGCCACCTCCCCTTCCTCCTTATCATCTCCATTACCACTGTCATTCAAAGTAGTAGCGGTAGCACTAAAATTCAGGACAGCCCTGCAAGTCAGCCCATTGGTGAAAGCTGCAATATTCTGTTGCATGATGAAGAAATAGAGGGGGACTTCCCTGGTGGAGCAGTGGTTGAGAGTCCGCCTGCCGATGCAGGGGACGCAGGTTCGTGCCCCAGTCCGGGAAGATCCCACATGCCGCGGAGCGGCTGGGCCCGTGAGCCATGGCCGCTGAGCCTGTGCGTCCGGAGCCTGTGCTCCGCACAGCAGTGAGAGGCCCGTGTACCGCAAAAAAAAAAAAAAAGAAAAGAAAAGAAATAGAGGGACTGAGAGGCTAAGAGGCTCTCCCTGTTCTCACAACAGAGGAAACGCCCCGTGAGCGAAAGAGACAGGAAATGGGCAGCTCTCCAGAGAAAGAACAGGTGCACCTGGTCATTTAGAAAGCGGGACCCCAGAGCTAGGCATCTCTGACCTGTTACTTTGGAATCTGCAGGAAAGTCCTTTATAACGTCCTGTCCTGCTGCTTTCGCAGAAGACTAGACGCAGCCTCTGCCTGTCCCGCAGAGGCAGTTGATTTGGCCCTTAAGTTGCGGAGCCTGCAGCTGCAGGAGATCTTGTGTTTTAATGCACTCAAGAATAAAGGCAGGCGCAAGCGAGCAGATATCCTGCAGGGCTTCCCTGAACCCAAAGAGAGTATTCATAGAATGTCAAAGGTCTCACCCACCTCCCAACCTTCAGTACCAGGTGAAATAACACACAACGCAAAGGTGCCAGGTTTGGGGATGCCGAGGGCCCCTCTGGCATCACTTGCATTGTTTTTACTTTGTTCCTGCTGCCCCTCCTTCTTTCTCGCTTTTCTTCGTCCTCTCCCCCTGCTTGCCTTTTTCCTTCCCCTCCTTCCTGCCTCCTCGGCAGAAGCCTCCACGCTGCTCCTGGCACGCCTGGAAATTGCATAGCCTCACCTGGTTCTCGGGGGCTGCTCTCCCCATCCCTCCCAACCCCTCCATGAGGGGTCAAAGCTACGGACACACATCCGGTCCCACCTGCAGGATGTCCACACCATGGCTGGACAAAACCAAAGGATGGAAGTGTGGCCTTGTCCAAGCCCAGCCTGGTCCTTCTGTTTCAGACGAGAGAATGCTGTGCGGGCTACTTTGGTCCCCAGTGCCAGCCCTGCCCAGGAAAAGCCGAGAATGTCTGCTTTGGGAATGGGATCTGTTTGGACGGAGTCAATGGCACGGGCATGTGTGTGTGTGGAGAGGGCTTCAGCGGGACAGCCTGTGAGACCTGCACGGAGGGCAAGTACGGCATCCACTGCGACCAAGGTGCGCACCCTCCCTGACCCAGGCAGGCTGCCCAAAACCAGCCGGAAATGCAGGAGAAAAGAGTGATTCGGCACGTGTTTCCTCACCAGCCTGTCTCCGGGGCAGACTGGAATCCCCCCCATTATCATGTGAATTACAAGAACTTCTGTGTTGTGTAATTTGCAATGGGCAGTGATTCCAAACATTTTCAGTTACTAACCTAGATTTATCAACCCTCCCCAATCTGCTCACTGACATTCTCCAACCCACCCACATTTCTGTATTTGCCTGCGTGTGCTGGTCCTCTGTGGGTACGCTCTGTTTTGGACATTGCTTGATCGTGTGAAAAGCAGATCTGTGCACATCATCTCATTTAATCCATACAGGAGCCATGTATAGTTGAGTATTCGTATCCCCGTCTTACAAATGAGGACTTAAGGCAAAGAGGTTGAATGACTTCCCCCAAGGTCACACCTGATGAGATTTGAACGCACACCCTGCCTCCCTCCAAAGCTTTGTTCTTGAATCATGTCCCTTAGGTGAAGGTCACTCTGTTGATTCATCCTCTGCCAGCCACATGCTTTACGTTGTTTTCACAAAAATCATGATCTGTTTTAGCCGCGTCGTCTGCATTCTTGTGCCCAGGGACACACACCTCTGAGCGGGCTGACGTGGAGAAGGGGTTTCCTAATCCATGATGGGAAAACGAAGCATTTTTTTTTCTACTTTGTATTAAAAACGACATATTTGACCTGGCTGTTGCTGTTTTCTCAACGGCTAGTCCAAGCCAAACAAAATCAATATATAATTGAGTCATTATAATTGGACCGTATAATATATAATTGGCATTATAGTGCTGATTTTTTTCTGTGTTATATGGAAGAATTATCTGCTTGCATTTATGCAGGATTTCCTAACCTAGGATCCACAGATGACCCTCATGGGGTCCAGCACACCCCCAAGGCTGAATGCTTTTTTCTGAGGAAGGCATCCTTAACTTTCATCCAGTTCTCAAAGAGGTTCACAATGTTGCTGCGTAACCAAGGAATCAGCATTTCTGTGTTGTCAAAGAAGGTGGTGCCACACCGGCTTTATAGGAACCGAGTGGGCTTCTCTCTGAAGTCTACTCTTAGGGAACAAACACGGCTGTGTCCCAAATGGGTCCCGTATAACCATGATTCCTCAGATAACCTCAGCCAAAAACACTCTCACACTGCTTGGGTCACTGCCCCACAGTGCTACACGGTCCCCAGACCTGTTAGCTCCCTCCTATGCCCCCGCCCTTCCTGGGAATCCACCCCCCAAACCCATGAGCAACAACGATCATCTAGAACCAGGCAGCAGAGTTACATGCACCGAAGTGAACCTTAGTATTAGATGTAAAGTGAATTGTTGAACACGGGTCAGAAGTCTAACAATGTGTGGGTGTTTTTCCACTCAGCGTGTACTTGTGTCCATGGGAGATGCAGTCAAGGACCCGCGGGTGACGGCTCCTGCGACTGCGATGTGGGCTGGCGAGGAGTGAAATGTGACGATGGTAAGAGCCAGCCTTTCGGTACTTATGATCTGTTCTTAGCCTCACTTCTCAGCAGCTACATGTTTTTCTCCTTCTAAAGTAGAAATGGCATCTTTATTTCTTCCTTTGGTGATAAGGTAATTCCTACTTGCAGCCAAAAAGATTGTAAAATAAAGAAAAGCATTAAAAAGAAAATAAAAATTACTCATACTCCCAAGACAGGGACAGAACTGTCATTAGTGTTGTGTATTGGCCTTCCAGCCTTGGTCTAGGTATATACGTGTGTGTATGGGACTGTACTCCTCACAGTTTTGTAACCTACTCTTTCACTTCACAATATATATAATCAGTATCTTTTCATGTGAATAATTATAGGTAAATATCATTTTTCTTAATTTCTATACAATATCCGATTATCTGATTGTACCATGCTTCTTAAAATCAATTTTCTGCTATCATAAACAATGCTGCAGTGAGTATCTCATTCATATATATATATATTCATATATATACTCATATATATATTTGCATTTGTCTTATTAATTTATTTGGTTAAATTCCTTGAGATGGTGAGTTAGAAGTTGGCAGTTTGGGGGAAAGTTTTGCTGCTTACTGCCAAGTTGTCCTCCAGAGACTGTATCAATTTATTTTCCCCCGAGTAGGGTCTGAGCAGGCTCATTTTCCCCAGCCCCCCACGCTGCACTGATGACTCCTAATGTGCCCCCATGAGAGTGATGAGAGGGGAGAGAATTTCAGGCAGAAAGAAGCTCGTGGCCCAGCCCAAAGATGTGGGAAGTTTCTGCACATCTACAGGACCAAAGGACTGCAGAATGGGAGGAATGTAGAGGCAACGAGGAAAGTGGAATGAGAACAGGCTAGAGGTGTAGGCAGGAGTCAGCTCGTGAAAGGCTAAGGACGGCGGACCTTCTGCCGAAGCCAACAGGAAGCCATTCAAGGGTTTTGAGCAGGGCGGCAATGTGATGAGATCTGCATTTTACAAAGATCACCCTGACACTGGGTTGGAGAGGATACCCCTGGAAGCAGGTATCAGAGAGTCCCCCTCACCTGGGGCAGGGGCTGGGGAGGAGTCACAGGTGCCTGCCAGCCCAATGAGGGCTCCAGGGATGTGGGGTTGTCAGAAGGAGTGTCTTTGCCCAAAGCTCCAGGTTATGTTAAAATCAAGTGAACTCAGATTTTGTTGAAAAGCTAAAGTCAGAAGGGTGAGTGGTCTCGAGCCAAAAAGACAGCCTAGAGCAGATATCATATGCTAGTTTGTGAAGCCAGGGTTCAGAGGGCCTGAAGAGGAGAGGGAAGCAGGGAGCAAAAGGGTCACATAAACAGGAAGACAGTCTGGGGGAATCCCTAGATCAAGACATAAGCGGCAGCCAGGGTTAATCTGGGGGTTTACCCTTGCCTGTCATTTATATGCTTATAGGACCATGGTGTATGGGAGGACCAGCCACTTTTAAAGGGACAGGGAATAGTCTGGAGGCTGTGACAAGTTTTCAAGCCCGTCCCCCTGCTGCTCCTCTCACCAGCAGCCTTGTGATTCATCTCTTTGCCTCCTGTCCTATTTCCCTCCGTTCCATACTCCACATTGCTGCCAGACATAACTTTCTAAAACATAGATATCTTAGTCTGTTCTGGCTACTGTAACAAAGCATCGTAGATTGGGTGGCTTATAAACAACAGAAAGTTATTTCTCATAGTTCTGGAGGCTAGAAGTTCAGGATCAAGGTGCCAGCATGGTTGGGTTCTAGTGATAGCCCTCTTCTGGGTTGCAGATGGCCGTCTTCTCATGTTATGGCAGAAGGGGCAAGGGAGCTCTCCAGGGTCTCTTTTATAAGGGCACTAATTTCGTTTGTGAGGATTCCACCCTCATGACGTAATCACCTCTCTAAGGCCCGACCTCCAAGTACCAGCACGTTGCAGATTAGGTTTCAAAATATGGGTTGGGGAGTGGGGACATAAACATTTGGACTATAGCAGCACTGTTACCCACCCTCCCCAGTACCTGACAACTTGCTCTGATTCTCTATAGCCTCCAGTAGGAGAAACTTCACTGCCTATAGGAGACACACCTTAGCAAGGTGTGGTACAGAACTGTTCACCAATTGGCACTCACCCAGTTTTCCAGCCTGGTCTCCACTGCACACTCTGCTTAAGGGGCTTCAGTCTAGTAAAATGGAAATAAATGTTCAATCATGTTCAGAAAATTGCGATATGAGAGTGCAGAGTAAAGCGCCTCTAGACCAGACTAGACTGTTCTTTGTTCACATGCAAACTCCCCACTCCCAAGCCATGTCAGACATCATTCATCGATCATTGCACTCCTTCCTCTGAGGTCAGATGGGGCGCCACATCCTTTTCAAAAGAGCACACCATGTAGTCACTTCCAATTAACTGAAGTTGGCTCAAAGGTTTAGAGCAGATATCAGAGAGGAGGACCTAAAAGGTGATTGGGATTTCAGAGATAGAGAATGGAGAGAAAGAGATTTCCAGGCTCAAGGAAAAGCACACATAAAGGCACAAAATTGCATTGCATCTACTCTAGCCCACTGGAGCCTGTAAATGTTCCCTCTGACACAAAACAGGCCACTTTTGCAGCCAGGTCTCTGTTTCAGGACCTTCTATACAACCAGGCCAGGCCTAATGAGATTTCTCTTGGCCAGGCCTAATGAGATCTCTTTCTCAAAAGCTCTTAGCCTGAGCAACCAACCCTGTGGGTCCTTTTTCTCGTCTCTAACAATTTCTTTCTGGATCTTCCCCTGCCAGGAAGTATCTGTTAGCTGGGCATCCAGGGTAAAAACATTATGCTGTTCCAGGAAATTTAGGAACTAATTTGGCAAATAGGTGGTGAGTACCTGCCGCATGCCAGGCTCTGCACTATTTCTGCACATGCAAAACAATAACAACAACAACTTCATCTTAATTAGAATTAGTATTTGCTTATTTATATCACTCTGTAACAAGATGATGAAAAATTAGAAAGAATAAGGAACATAGGAAGTATAAATAAAATAGAAAATTAAGCTCCGGGGAGGGATATGCATCCTCACCACCTAGCATGGGGACCGGCACACAGGAGACACTCCACTGGTGTAACTGACCTTCAGATTTGGCTCTGAGCTTCCTAGAAGCCAAGGTGAAAAAAGATTTACATGGTCACATAGTTTTACATAGTTCATATGATGCATACCAGTTACTTGTGAGGAAGTAAATCTTTTCCTAGCACCAAGTACTAAAAGAAAGTTCTTGGGTGAGATTTAGTAAAGAAGAGCTGACACAGCATTTGGTTCTCTTTTTCAGAGATCACAAAAGATGAATGCAATGGGACCTGCCACACCAGTGCCAAGTACGTCCCCTTTAGCCTCCTTTGGAGGCGATGCAAGGGGTTTTTTTTTGTTTTTTTTTTAAACATCTTTGCTGGAGTATAATTGCTTTACAATGGTGTGTTAGTTTCTGCTGTATAACAAAGTGAATCAGCTATTTGCATACATATATCCCCATATCCCCTCCCTCTTACGTCTCCCTCCCACCCTCCCTATCCCACCCCTCTAGGTGGTCACAAAGCACGGAGCTGATCTCCCTGTGCTATGCGGCTGCTTCCCACTAGCTGTCTTACGTTTGGTAGTGTGTATATGTCCATGCCACTCTCTCACTTCGTCCCAGCTTACCCTTCCCCCTCCCCGTGTCCTCAAGTCCATTCTCTACGTCTGTGTCTTTATTCCTGTCCTGCCCCTAGGTTCATCAGAACAGTCAGAAAGAGAAAATGCAAGGGGCTTTTTTTCCTAGTAGCATGTGTCCACCCAGGCCTTATCTTTAGGGAAATAGTTTCCTGAGACTATTTCTGAGGATTTATGATTAATTTAAGTACGAAACTAAAAATGAGGCCACCATCAGCTTGCAGGTCCAGCCTTTTGAACATGCTGCCACCTGAGTTACCTGACATGCTGGCAGAGTGCCAGTTGTTACCCCCATTCAAGCCACAGGGACTCTTCCACAGAAGCAGAGGGAGGCCGGTGGGCCTCAATTTCATCAAACCTTACTTGCAATTCACAGCCAAGCCTTCCTTCTTTATAATGGAACTTCATACTCCTAACTCCCAGAGGGGTTTAATGGGTTAATTAATTAAGAGCCCAGTAGCTGGAGTTAGACCTGAGTTCAAATCAGCGTCTGTCATTTCCATTGACTGTGTGACCTTGAGTCACTTATTTAATGCCTCTAAGCCTTGGTTTTCTCATCTGTAAAATGGGAATAATGATAATACCTACCTGTTAGGGCTATTGGATATTGTGTAGGTTACAGAAAATAATGTGTGAAGCACAGCTCCCAGCACATAGGATGCTCTCTAAAGATGGGCAGCTACCCTCCTTATCCTTGGGCTGATGCCTACATATACACACTCTGTAGTTTGCCTGATAAATGACTCCAGTTTTAGCTGCTTGTGGCAGGGCCATGCTAGGGATGGACTCTCCACCCAAGCCTTGGGCGGGGACCTCAGAGTGCCTCATGGGGGTAAGAGTTGGGATGCTAGGGATGAAGGGGTATTGTGAGTCCCGTGGTGGGGTGCTGTGCATTTTTCTACAAACACCACTTGCCCTTTCTTGTTGCAGCTGCCTTCTCAATCCGGATGGCACCGCCTCATGCAAATGCGCAGCAGGGTTCCAAGGGAACGGGACGGTCTGCACAGGCAAGTCAAGAAGGAATTTGCTGGGAGGAGAATAGCATGAACTTTTGAGGGATCTGTGTTCCTGCAGACTAAATGGGCAGCTGCTGCCAACCATTGATGGTGAACTGGACGTAACAGGGCAGCTGATCGTGCCCGGGGAGCAGGACACCTGTTCACGGATAGGGCGTGTTGGTTTTGGAATGTGTGGGGCAACCGCCCCTGTTCTTTTCTCCCAGCCTTGGCCACAATTGGAATCATCTGGAGAGCTTTAGAAACCACTGATGTGGCTGACCTAGGCTGTGGCCTGTGTGGGGGGACTCTGGAGTGGGATAGAAAGAGGCTTGAGCCCTGGTTCTTCCCCCCAATCCCCACATGGCCTTGGGTGGGCCTCTAAACTACCCTGGGCCCCCTTAGCTCATTTGTAAAGTAAACGTGAAACTCTCTCCCCTCGCAGAGTAGTTTGGGAATGAAATGACCTCTCCACGTACAACAACAGAATGAGGCAGCTGTTAAAAACAGCCCCAGCGTTACACTCCCTGGGTTCGAATCTATGTTCTTATAGTTCGTGTCACCTTGGGCAAGTTGCTTGACTGCTCTTTGCATCATTTTGTCATCTGTAAGTTGTAGCTCATAAGAGAATCTCCCTCACTGGATTGTTGGATGATAACCTGAATTAAATAATACCTGTGAAGTGCTTAGAACATCCCTGGCACAGAGCACTCGATAAATGTGAGCTAATACTCTCATGGTGCCCAACACGTATTTGGTGCTAGAAAAATGGAAACACTTAGCACTGTATCCAGGCGGGCTTCAGTGCAGACTGTGGTGGAGCCAGACAGTGACCGCACCAATTTGCTTTCTAGACCATCCGACCCTGGGGATTGTCCCCGATGTACCCTGCAGTAGGATGTGTACAGCACGCCAGTGAAAACAGCTGGAAAGGCAAATAACTGTAATGTTTCTCTTGCCCCCTGCTTTGGGGAAAAATAACAAAAGCAGAGGACACAATATAACAACCAACATTTCCGTAACATTTTCGTATACATTATCCAAACCTGTAAGTAAACCTATATAGGTGGATCCCAAAGTTCTTATTAATTGAGTGATTCGTCCAAAGTCACACGGTGAATGAAGGCCAAGCCAAGACTCAAACACACATCTTGGGTCTCCAAATGTATCTAGGTCTTTGATCCACTTTGCATTAATTTTTGTATATATTGTGAGGTCCAAATTCATTCTTTGCCATATGGATATCTAGTTGTCTCAGTAGCATTTGTTGAAAAAATTATTCTTTCCCCCATTGAAATAACATCTTGGCATCTTTGTAGAAAATCAATTGACCATAGATGTATGGGTTTATTTTTGGACTCTTAATTCAATTCCATATAGATCCTTATGCCAGTTCCACACTGTCTTTATCACTGAAGCTTTGTAGTAAATTTTGAAATTAGGGAGCGTGAGTCCTCCAACCTTGTCCTTCTTTTTCGAGATTGTTTTGACTATTCTGGGACCTTTGAATTTACAAATGAGTTTTAGGATAATCTTGTCAATTTATGCAAAGGAGTCGGCCAGGATTTTGACAGAGATTGCATTGAATCTGTAGATCAGATTTGGGGAGTAGTGCCTTCTTAACAATATTAATTCTTCCCATCAATGAACATGGAATGTCTTTCCATTATTTAGGTCATCTTTTATTCCTTGCAACAATGTTTGTAGTTTTCAGAGTGTTTTATAGTTTGTTAAATGGAGTCCATCTTCTAATGCTATTGTAAGTGGAATTGTTTTCTTCATTTCATTTTCAGTTTGCTCATTGCTACTGTACAGAAATACAGTTGATTTTTTCCTACTGTTCCTGTGTCCTACCCAGGATCATTTATTAGTTCTAATTGTTTTTAGTGGATTCCTCAGGATTTTCCGTAACAAGATCATGGCATCTGCAAATAGAAATGGTTTTACTTCTTTTCCAATCCGGATGTCTCTTCTTTCTTTCTTGCCTAATTGCCCTGGCCAGAACCTTCAGTACAGTATTGAACAGAAGTGGCAAAAGCAGACCTTGTCTTATTCCTGATCATGGGAGAAAGCATTTGGTCTTTCATCATTAAGCATGATTTTAGTGGTGGGTTTTTCATCAATGAAAAATGTCCTTTATCAGGTTAAGGAAGTTCCCTTCTATTCCTAGTCTGTTGAGTGTTTTTATCATTAATGGTATTGAATTTCGACAAATGTTTTTGCTCGTTCTGAGATGATCATGTTTTTGTGTTTAATGCTACTGATGTGCTATATTACATTAATTGATTTTGGGATGTTAAACCATCTTGTATTCCTACATAAGTCCCACTTGGTTGTGGTGTATAATCCTATTTACATATTGCTGAATTTGATTTGCAAGTATTTTCTTGAGGTTTTTGTATCTATATTCATAAAGGATATCAGTCTGTAGTTTTCTTTTCTAGTGATGGCTTTGTCTGGTTTTGGTATCAGTAATACTGGTCTCAGAATGAATTGAGAAGTCTTCCCTCCTCCTTCAGTTTTTAGAAGAGTATGTGAAAATTTGGCATTTATTAAACGTTTGGTAGAATTCACCAGTGACATCTGGTGCTTTGCATTCTTTTGAGCTATCCATATTTAATCCAGTGCCTACCATTTTGGAGTATTTTCCATTTCTCAATGATTCAAGTAAAAACGCATCAATTCCCCCCCCCCCCCCCGCCCCTGTGTCATCTTTCTCTTCTATAGCAATCAACGCCTGCGAGATCAGCAATGGAGGTTGTTCTGGCAGGGCTGTCTGTAAAAGAACCACCCCAGGAAGCCGGGTGTGTGTGTGCAAGGCAGGCTATACTGGCGATGGCATCGTGTGCATAGGTAGGTACCATCCCTCACCTGCGATTTCCAGCTGCCTTTAATTTTGACCACTCGGTCCAGGTGCTGTCTGATTTCTCCACTGTACATTGACTTGTTTCCCCTTTGCTGCTCATAAGCAATCGTCTAGGAAATGCTTAACACCAAGCACATATCCTGCTCCACACCAAAATGTCCTCCTAAATTTAGCACCTACTAATGATTCTTCTCTGAACCAATTATACTGTGATGGTGACAAGTGGTTTTTTTTTTTTTAATTCCTACATCTCTTCATTCATAGCACGTTAAATGGCACTCCGAAATTTTATTATTTTGAGTCCTTGGCTGCAAACACTCATATTCAGTCAATAGAGGGACAGAGTCAAGCCCGCAGACATGCCTCTGAGGAGCTGGTTTTGAGAAACCACAGCTGGTACCCTCCCTGTTGGGTTACTTCTGCCTCAGGTTGTCAGAAAACCAAATCTCGCCTTGACACTTGCTCCCCTCGGTCAGTTAGCCATCCTGGCTGGTCCCTCAAGGCATTGTTTTACTTAAAAAATGAGGCTTGGGCTTCCCTGGTGGTGCAGTGGTTGAGAGTCCGCCTGCCGATGCAGGGGACACACGGGTTCGTGCCCTGGTCCGGGAAGATCCCACATGCCGCAGAGCGGCTGGGCCCGTGAGCCGTGGCCGCTGAGCCTGCGCGTCCGGATACTGTGCTCCACAACGGGAGAGGCCACAACAGTGAGAGGCCTGTGTACCGCAAAAAAAAAAAAAAAAAAAAAATGAGGCTTGACTCTCATGCCAGGTGTTGCTTTTTGTTTTAAAGAGATCAACCCGTGCTTGGAGAACCATGGTGGCTGTCACCAGCACGCAGAGTGCACGCAAACAGGACCCAACCAGGTGAGCTGTGTCTCCGCGGGGGCCTACGTTTTCCTAGGAGCAAATTCCTGGGTAGTTAGACCCAGGCCTGAGGGACAGGGGCTGAGGACAGACCTCTAGGGAGCAGCAGCATGAAATAAATACATTAGAGGAGGTTCTGGAAGAATTCCCCAGGAGGCCATTCTTTGGGAAGCAGGAGAAAAGGGGAGAGGGGCAGGGGACAAAGGGTGCACAGGGAGAAGGGCCTTCCCTAGAGTGGGAAGAAGTAGCATTTGCAAACACCACATGGTTCCAGAAGCACCTAGAAGGTCTCCAGCATGCTCTCCTTTCTTTCAGCTTTCTGATGCCCAGAATCTTACCATTTTTCTCTGTCTTGAGGCTCTGAAATGCATGTGCCACAGCAGAAGATAACGGTGTTAAGGCCTCTGTCAGCCACGTATTCCCCAACACTGTGCCCCTTGCGGCGCCTTCCGCGGGAGCAGGTTTGGGGACGTGGGGAAATGTGAGGGCTCCAGCACAAAGGAGGGGAGAGGTCGAGGGGTGAGAAGACTCAGGCGGGGAAGCTGGAGGCTCGGGGACCCAGGCTGTGCCTCCCTCAGTCCATGTCATGTTATGAACGAGCAGGAAATTGCATACGTCAGAAACTGGATGATGACCAGAGCTGACAGCCAGCAGAACCTCTCTGTGAAATGACCCATTTCCCCTTCCTCCTGGACAGGCCGCCTGTAACTGTTTGTCAAAATACACTGGAGATGGGAAGGTCTGCACGCTCATCAACGTCTGCTTAACCGTGAGTACGCGCCCCCCCCCCCGGGGTCTGGCCTGCGGTGCCCCCTTCTCCGCGTCTAGGGGCGGGGCATTGAGGTGGGCCCCATCAGAGCTGCTTCTGGGCCATTTCTCCCTCGTGTCCCAGTTGCAGTGTTGGAGAAACTCCAGTCTCTGCCTCCATCTTCAAGTGGCTTCCCCTCTGTGTCTGTGTCTCCTCTTCTAGTGAGGACGCTTGTGGTCTTAAGACCCCCTGGTTAATCTAGGACGATCTCATCTCGAGATCCTCCACTGCATCTGCAAAGACTCCTTTTCTAAACAAGGGTCACATTCACAGATACCAGGGCTTAGGACGTGGACATAGCTTTGCAGGGGGCCACGATTCAATCCACCGCAGAGCAGGAAGAACAGAGGTCTCTGCCCCAGCTCACAGAGCGAGCGCCTGGCACAGCCAGAACTTGAGCGCACGTCTGTCTGATTCAGAGGCCACACCCTTGACCACTTCTCGTGGTGCGTGGTGCTTGTTCCTCCCGCGAGGCACTGATCCCCCACGGGGGCCCGGTTCATACACCTTCCTTCCTCGTTCATATCACTGCCCACCTGAGAGCCTCCTGCTGTGGGCGTGAGTACAGCACAGACAGCTCGTAATTAAAGCCCTTCCTCTCCAGTCGAGGTCCCTACTGTGCCCCCTGCTGGTCTGCTTCGTACTGACTGCCTTCCAGCTGATGACTTTTCCCTTTGCTATGATGGATTAGAGTTCAGCCTAAAGCTGAGAAGTATCCAACACGCTTGATGCCTTTCTAGTTAACCCCCAGGTGTTGAGAAACTTCCCATTTGGCAGCTCTGGGCTGATCTGTTCAGGGCTGGAGATCTGCTGGGATGGGCTGCCATCTTGAGATATGGGCATACCTCAGAGGTATCGCGGGTTCGGTTCCAGACCACCAAAATAAAATGAATGTCGCAATAAAGCAAGTCACAAAAATGTTTGGTTTCCCAATACATATAAAAGTTATATTTACACTATACTGAAGTCTATTAAGTGTGCAATAACATTATGTCTAAAAGACCAATGTATGTAAACCAACTACAGTTAAAAACAAAAGACATTAGGAGTTAAAATAAATAAACAAGGTACATACCTTAATTTTAAAATATTTCATTGCTAAAACTTGCTAACCGTCATCTGACGTCGCCACAAACCTCCAATTTGTAAAAACCACATTATCTGCGAAGTGCAGTAACAGAAGGTGTGCCTGTGTAAGGCTGCAGGAGTGGGATGGCCCTTATAACTGTAGAGAGTTGGAAGGCAAGTTCAGGAAAAGGGCAAATAAGGCAAGCCGGTCAGTTACAGAGTGAGACAAAAAGTAAATTTCAATACAGAGTCGCTGCGTGAACATTGGCAGAGCCGGCAAACTAACTGGTCTCGTTCCTATCCCCCATTCCTTGGAAATTCTACCAGAAAAACGGCGGCTGTAGTGAATTTGCTCTCTGCAATCACACCGGAGAAGACGAAAGGACTTGTACTTGCCAACCTAACTACATTGGGGATGGGTTTACCTGCCGTGGCAACATCCATCAGGTAACACGAGGCATGTCTCCATAAAGTAAACTCCACCTTCCTCCCCGTGCGAAGAATCCAGGGAGCTAAGGAGGGTGCAAGAGTTTTGTTACATATAAAACTATAAAATACGAAAGGCTATTTTCATATAAATGGACAATGAAAAGAAATTTTATCTCGCAGTGGGAATTCAGTGATTCAGATCAACAGTTCTAGAGTCAGAAACACCTGGGTTTGCATTCAGCTCTGCCAGTTAGTAATGTGGCTTTGGGCAGATTATATCACCTCTTTGTGTATCCATTTTCTAAAGTGTGAAAGAAAATAACAATGGTACCAGCCCCAGCAGGTTGTTTTAAGATTTCGACGAGATAACGTGTGTAGTGGGCACAGAGCACACAGTACCTCAGAGGCATCGCCGTGATACGGACTGTTGTTGGAGTGTGTCTGTGAACACCCTCGGGCGGAGAGGGTGAAGCCTTGTGATACTTGTAAAGTTCTGCCTATTACAACGTGAACATCCTGTTATTTGGTTTAAAGAGGGACTAGAGCATTCTGGCTGATCAAATGTTCTTGTTGATAAAGAAACTAAACCTGCCATAAACCTATAACTGAGTTTTTTAATATTGAATTTTTTAAAATGAGTCGTTCTGAACATCAACTGTGAGCCTATAGATGAGGCAGATTTCCAGTTGAAATGATGGTAGATACTCTCAATCTTAGAGAATTTGTCCTCCAGTGACATTCTGGTATATAATTCACAGATGTTAAGTGAACCTTCCTTGTCTTTGTTTCCAGGAGCTTCCCAAGAACCCCCAAACATCCCAGTACTACTTCCAGTTGCTGGTAAGAATGTGTGTGTCTGTCTAACTAGAAGAGTTGGGTCTCAGGCCAGATATGGGATAAATCTGTAACCTCCAGAGTAGGTGAGACTAGAATAAATCCGGGAAACTGCATTTCTGGAATAGGCTCTGTGTTGGTCCTTTGTGAACTTCTCAGGCCCCAGGTGGGCAGCATAAAAGAGTGGAATAAATGTTGCACTAGCCCACTGCACATGTGAGAATGTAGTTTATAAAAAAACCTGCCATCATACCTGTGGAGACAAGAAGCGTTACTTGGGGCAATTGGCTAATTCTCCCGGTGAAAGTATTAAGTTAGATCTTTCTGCACCTCTTACATCAGAATACATTCCAGATATATTGAAGAATAAAGGATAAAAATCTAGAAGAATAAAATCATAAAACCTAGAAGAAAATATAAGTAACCGTAGGGTCTTAGCATTGGCAAGAAGACAGAACAGTAAGTCATCTTATTGCTTATATTTGTATTGTTATCCCAAACAGAAAACATTTAGTATGTGGAAAAGACACTGGAAAAAAGTATCTGGAAATAACAGAGATCCTTCTAGGTGGTGGGATTATGGGTAGTTATTTTCTTCTTTATACTGTATTTTCAAATCTTTAATACAGTCAGCATATGTTATTTTTATACCCAGATAAAAATAAACATTATTTCAACGTCTAAGAATCTGAGTGACTCTGAATCTAAGACTAAATAAAACACGGGTCTCCCTATCCAGTTTTCTCTCCCCTCTGCCATCATGTACTCTCTGCTAGTTGTTTGAGCCCCTGCCTGTACTTACGTTAAGTACATGGCATGTGGCCCCCACCTTCCTTCCTACAGGAGCATTCTGTACGAGACCTGGTTGGTCCTGGCCCCTTCACTGTTCTGGCACCTTTGTCTGCAGCCTTTGACGAGGAACCCCAGGTAAGCATGAAGCTAGAGACAGGTGAAAGAGGTTTGAGATCGGAACACAGTCTCTGGGCATCACCCTGGAGACAACGCTGAAGACATTTCTGGACAGTAGATCTAGGATCGGCTGGAGCTGACCAGTAATGGAAGGGGCTGCCTCTCAGTGTAGGGACCCCTCTCAGGGGAAGCATTCAAGTGGATTTGGGGTAACCACTGGCCAGAGACTTTCTAAAGGACATTCCTGAATAGGGTAGGAGGTTAGAAAAGACCAACAATTCTTAAATAATTCAAAGCTCCCAGAGACCACCACCCCCCCCCGAAAAAAAAAAAAGGAATGAAAAGAAATGCTATATTAATGGGATATAAATAGGTTCTTTTCTTGCAGGACTTATCAGAGCCTTTACTGTTTAACATTCACTTGGACTCTTCATGCTGGATTACCTATTAATATACAATAATGTAGCAAACATTTATCGATTGTGCCAGACACTGTTTCTAGTACCTGTCATAGATTAACTCATGACAGTCTTCATGACAACACAGTAAGCTGAATGCTATTATCATCCCCGTTTAACAGTTGAGGACGCTGAGAGAAGTAACTTTCCCCAGGTCACACGACGAGCAAAATGTGGAGCAAGGACTCAGACATGGCTCTAGAACCTGCGTTCCTGACCACCACCCACACTGCTTCTCTATGCATATATTTTGGACACCAGTGAAGCAGGGACACAGAAATAGTTTTTAAACAAAATTTGACATTTGATTTTTTTTAAGCACTCAAAGAGTTATCATGAAATGATGATAACCTCGTGGGCTTTATTATCACACTGACTTTATGGTTAATATTGTTTGTAGTTTGATTTACGAATGATGAAGCATGGTGGGCTTCTCCGTACTAACGGTGTAAATCTGGCCCAGGCATCTCCGCAACAGGGGGCTGTACTATGTGGCATTACCCGGCATTTTTTCACAAGAGCACTTGTTTTTCAAGTAGCATCTCACGGGACTTGGGGTCCTTGGCATATGTGTTGTGAAATGCTGGACCAGAGGAACTCCAAGTTCCCTTTTACTCTGAGATTCTACAATGGAAGCAGGAAAGGAACTATGGCTGCCTTCTCCCTCTTGCCTGAATAATCTCTACCGTAACCCTGACTACAAGCCAACCCCGACTGCCGACTTCCTAGGGTCTGGGTGGGGACAGAGGTATGGGGGAGAGTCTGGAGGAGAGGACAGCAAAAGGGAAAGTTGGAGCAGAAGGCTTCTGACTCTGGCTGGAACCCTCTGATCTATGGCAGATTAAGGACTGGGACAAACAGGGCCTGATGCCCCAGGTTCTTCGTTATCATGTGATCGCCTGCCACCAGCTGCTTCTGGAAAACCTGAAATTGACCCCCAATGCTACTTCCCTCCAAGGGGAGTCAATTGTCATCTCCGTCTCTCAGGTAAGAGAGGCCACCTCTGCAAGGTGCCCATTTTCCTTGGGCCCTCTCTCTTTCCTCTTCCTTAGAGTAGTAAGAGGAATAATAACAATAACTAACGCATGTGGAGTGACTGCTATATGCCAGGTACTACCCTAAGTATCTTATGTGTACTAACTGATTTAATCCTCAAAATAATCCCATCATGTAGGGGATTTCCCGTCATGAAAACACTACTGTTTTCCCCAATTTACAAATTAGGAAACTGAGCTTAGAGAAGTTAAGCAACTTTTCCAAGGTCACACAGCAAGTAAATATTAGAGCTGGAATTGAAACTCAGAGGCAAGGCAGCCTCAGGTGGTCGAGAGAACTGCCTTTGGCAGCACTGGTCAGAAGCCGGAGAGGGATGAAAGCTTTTGTTCAAAGCATTTGACCATGCTGATCCCTTCCCTCCCACAAAGAGAAACGAATGGTGGCTGTGGAATCCATTACAAAGGGAAAAAAGTGTGTAGTGGGGTCAGCAGGGGGGCTGGTGGTGTAGAGAACACATGTGAAAGAGAAGCCAATTGTGATCTGCTTTTTAGTTCATATTTGAGAATCACAGTGAAGTGACTGTTTTGGTTGATTATTTGCTATTAACTTCTCCAGGTGAAAATTACATTCTTGTCTCAGTTTTTTTTTATATAATCATGATAAAAAATGTGCTCAAGTAATTTGTACCTTCAGATTTTTCCCACGGCTCTACGTAAGTATTCACTTTCATGATGATGTAACATGTTCGTGAAACGTTTTGAAAAAAGCGATTTTGTGTCTGTTTCTCCTCGTGCTCATTTCCTTTTTTTCTTCTTTTTTGATTGATTTCAGGACACAGTGTTGATAAATAATAAAGCTAAGATCATATCCAGTGATATCATCAGTACCAACGGAATCATCCACGTCATAGACAAATTGCTGTCTCCCCAAAACTTGCTTGTCACCCCTAAAGATGCCTCTGGAAGGATTCTGGTGGGTGAACTCATTGTCAGGCTCTCAGCGTGGAATGACTCACAATACTCATCATTTATTACCTCAGTTCTGATTTTGAGGCATTGTTTCAAGACGTTTTAATTTTGCTGCTTCAATCTCAAGCTACTATTAAGAACCTCATAAATACCATTCTTAGTAAGCAGTAAATAGGCAAGAGTCTATTTTAAATAATTGAATGGATTTTGTAAGTTTTTCTTCAGTGTCCACAAGGGCAGGTGGTCTTGTATAGATTTGGAAGATGGAGAAGTTACATAGATGGATGGTGATGATGATGTGTGAGAGAGACAGGATAGATGACTGATGGATGATACAGAGATAGGTAGATAGATAGGTGACAGGTAGGTAGATAGATAGACAGACAGATACCACTAAAACCGAACCAGGAGTAAAACGTCTTCTCAATTGACAGGAAAGACAATTTCAACTTTTTTGTTATTTACTAGTATTGGGTTCTTCACTGCAGACAGCAGAATCCACTGTATCTCACTTAAATAAAAAAGAGTTTCTAAAGATATTAAGTATAGCACCAAATCTCTTAGAAAGCCAAAGAGCCTAATTCAGATGCTACACAGCTGGGAACAAAGCAGCCCAGGGACACCTACAAAGGGAGGACACCTGACTTCACCGTAGGGCTGTCCTATACCAGCTACGCCCATGCCACCTGTCTCCAGCCTCATCACTAGGACATGAGAGTCTGGATACCAGATGCCTCCACCCTGTGCTCGTCAGAAGATCTGATATTCCTGCTAGCAGCCACCACCACCGCATGTTGTTTCTTTTCACCTCTAAGTCTTGCACAAGCACCTCCGCCTGGGGGATCCCGTATCACATATGGAACTCTAGCTGCAAGGCAGTCTGGGAAAATGCAGTGTTTGGCCATCCAGCCTCTGTAAAGCAGGAAGGCATGGGTACAGTGGAGCTGGGGTGGGTGCTGACGAGCCAACCTACGGTACCTGCCACGCTATCTTCCCCTCGTTCTATTCAGTTGAGCTTTTGTTAAAGTGCTTTGTGAACTGTAGGCAGAAAAGTTTCATTCCCATTCTTATTATCTTTGCAGCAAAATCTTACAACAGTGGCAATAAACCATGGCTACATCAAATTTAGCAACTTGATACAGGTAAAAACCTAGCAGGAAAGTTACCTCAGGGGATATAACCTACCTAAAGAGGTTCGGTGTTTGGAGGGTTTTTTGTTTGTTGTGTGGTTTTTGTTTGTGGCACTAGCCAGCTGTTGTGGGATCTTTGGGAAAGTCCTACTTTTCTGAAGAACAAAGTCTTTCTCTGCCACTCCATTCCCCAAATGTTGTAGGGTTTGTTCCCTGGCTGAGTTAGAAATTGAGGTATTTGAGCCTGGAGCAAGGGAAAGGAATTAGGATGTGCCAGTTCCTGAAATAGGTGCTTCACATCTGGAATCATCACCCCTGTTACCAAGATGGGGAAACTGAGACACAGAGATGGGAAATCTATGCTGATGAGATGGGCAGAAATTACACTTCAAACCACATTTTTCTGACTTCAGAGGTGACTCCCACGAATTGAGTAGAGAAACTTCTTGTTCAAAGATTTCGGAGGAGAATCAGGAAGGAGCGGGGTTCTCCAAGACCCCTCTCCGCCACCTAACCCCAGCAGTCCCAGGAGGGCTCTAAGAACCCTGGGGCTCCCACGGCGCAGTCAACAAACCTGGTGTAGACCAGTGATTTCCAAAATGGCCTGGGGCTTGGGTTCTCTGGGGAGCTTTTTAGAAATGGAGATTTGAAGGTGTTCTTAATGAGACTCTCCAGGGGTGTTACAGACCAGTATATTTGCCCATCCACCCAGCCCCTAAACCTTATACTACCCCCCATACCTGGACATCAGGTCTGCTTGAACACAGACTTTTATTGCAAGGTAGCAAGCTTCTCTGGGGCTCAAAAAAGGGGAATAAAAAAGCCTACTTCATAGTGTTGTCGGGAAAATTATAAGAAAAAAAAAATATGATGCACCCCTGCTATAGAAGGTTCTCAAAATGATTCTTACCCATTCATCTGGCAAATTCTTTTTTTTGACTCTGTGTGATCTAGAAATCTTCTAAATATACAGGAGTATCTCAATATTGTATAGGTTTCACTTTTTTTTTAATGAAATATGAGAAAAGTGCCAAGTGGGTCTTCCAGAAATTAAAACATTTGGCCAAGAGTAGTAGCAAAAAAAGATAGAGAGAAGGAGAGATACTTGCTAAAGTGTTTCCCTATTAACAAAAGCCCAGAACTTGACTTTGTTTTACTTTCTAAGAAAATGAAGGTCAGGATGACTGGAGTCTGATGGGCCTTTAGTTTTAGGGACCAGCCAGAGTCCCCAAAAGCCCCAGGGCAGGCACAGAGGGGACCCCGGGCTGGCTGGCTCTGGTCCTCAAGGAGAGCCTGTGCCTCTTGGCTGGGCTTTGCTGTGCATGTGACCAGCTCCCTGCGTTTCAGGACTCGGGCTTGCTGAATGTCATCACTGACCCTATCCACACCCCGGTCACTCTCTTCTGGCCCAGCGACCAAGCCCTCCAAGCCCTGCCCCCTGAACAACAGGATTTCCTGTTCAACCAAGACAACAAGGACAAGTTGAAGGAATATTTGAAGTTCCACGTGATCCGAGATTCCAAGGTATTTTGTTTTCACACAGACGGGAGTTGCAGGGGTGCCCCTGGGGTGATCAAATCCAGGAATTGTCCGTGCATCTCCCCCCCGCACTACGGTGCAAAGGTGGCCTGAGCATCCCCTGCCCCGCTGTGTCCTCCTCTGACTGCCTGTGGTGAATTGACCCCTGCAGTGTAGCACATCTCGTTCTGTTTCTCCCACTGGCCACTGTTTTTGTCCCAACTTTAACCAACACCCAAGAGCATCCCTCCCCTCTTGTACTGCAGACCAGCTTCCTCCCTGCCCTAGTTCACATGGCAAAGTGGCCGTTGACGACAGTCCCCAAGTTCCTCCCAGAATGACTCTATCTCTCCCAATTCCAGAGTTTCTAGGCAAAGGTCTGATTCATCCAGCTGTGGCCAGCTGTTGGCTCCTGAGCTGATCCTCTGTGATCAGGGAAGCAGGATCTTGTGGGAACATGGCAGCTCTTGCTAAAACCCTGTCTCTTTGGGTCCTCAGCCAGGACCCTGTTTCCCTCCAGGAATGAGACACCTAATCCAAGAAGGCCAAATGCCCTCGCTGTGGTTAATTGGTAGGAACTGTAGTAGTTTCCTAAGGCTGCCATAACCAATTACCACAAACTGGGTGGCTTGAAACAACAGAAATGTATTCCCTCAGAGCTCTGGAGGCCAGAGGTCTGAAATCACGGTGTTGACAAGGCTGTGCCTGCTGAAAGCTCTGGGGGAGGGTCTGCTCCCTGCCTCTCTCTTAGCTTCTGATGGTTGCCAGACATCCTTGGCAACCCTGCCTTGTAGTGCGTCCCTCCAGTCTCTGGCCCTGTTATCACATGGCTCTCTATCTTCTCCCTGTGTGTTTCTGTGTCTTCACATGGCACTCTCCTCTCTTCTTAAGAAGGCACCAGTCATATTGGATTAAGGGTCCACTCTACTCTGGTATGACCTCATCTCAACTAATTATATCTGCAATGATCTTATTTCCAAGCAAGGTCACATTTTGAGGTAATGGGGACCAAGACTTCAGTAAAACTTTTGAGGGGACACAATTCAACCCATCACAGCGCCCAATGCCATCTCCCTAACTCTGATCCTGCCACGGGCTTCACACACCAACACAGCATCTTCCATGGACTCCCGAGCATAGATGGGGATGGAAGGCTGATTGAAACCAGCTGGAGGAGACTTTCCCCACAGAAAAAATGTCCAGCTTCCTAGAGAGCCCACGCTTCTTCTTGCTTTTGATTATATCTACTGTCATTTTAAGGCTGGAATTATTAGAACTCTTAGAAAAATTGTGTCTGAATTTGGTTTGTTGGCGAAGCTCCTTGGGGCCATTCTTCAGCCCAGATTTGGGGTGTTAATGTGGCATCATCACTCCTACAGGTTTTGGCAGTGGATCTCCCCAGGTCTGCTACCTGGAAGACCCTGCAAGGTTCCGAGCTGAGTGTGAAGTGCGGAGCTGGCAGTGACATCGTGAGTATTGTCACCCAGTGGAAGTTGGGAGTGCATTCTCCAACCACTGCCCCTTCCAGGAGTTGTTCATTTTTTCCCACGTTGACAGCAAGCTCTTTTCTCTCACTGCCTTCAGGGCTATCTCCCCTGAGTAAGTGGATATGAAAAACCTGATAAGTCCTGGCCAGCCCAAGCCCTCACCAGGTGTCAGGGAGCCTCCCTTTACACTTGCAGAGAGCAGCTTTTGGTTGATTTTTGGGGAAGATTTATTTTCCAGTGTGAGACGCTTCCCTGAAGCAAGAAAGTACCCTGTCATTCCTTTTCCTTCCTTCCCAGCCCTGCTGCAGCTTCCCCTCCAGCCCTCTCAAAGCATGTCAGAGCCAGCTCTAGGTTACATCTACCTAGATAGGCCAACAAAGAGAAAATTTGCAATTTTCACCTTCCTGGGCTTGCTCCTTAACAATATTACCTTCCTGTAATTCCATGTGATGAATGGGTCTGATGGGATAATAGTAGCTGCATCCTCTATCTTTCATTTAATGGAAAATGGCAGTGGCTTAAATATGTAAGGGTTTCTCTCTCTTTTAAAAAAAAAAAATCTGGAAGTAGCCAATCCAGAGGTAGCGTGATGGCTCACTGGGGGAGCTCCTTCTGTCTTCCTGCTCTGCAGCACATGTTTCCAGCCTCACAGTCACCTCAAGGTCCAACATAACTGTTGGAGCTCCAGCCATCATGTCCACTTTCCAGGCAGTAGAAAGGAGAAAGGGCAAAAGGGATGCAGCTCTAAGCTGAGTTGATTACCTTCAAGGAGCCTTCTGAGAAGTCCCAGATAACATTCTGTTTACGTCTCCTGACAAGCCAGAATCCCTTTGGTGATTGGATTGGAATTGCATTGAATTTGTTACCAAATATGAAGAGTGTTAGCATCTTTACATCCCAACTTCTGGAAAGTTGTCCTAATGTACGTACTCTCTTGAGATCAACTATACTGTCTCCATAGACCAAACTGGACATGTATCAAAGAAGAAGAAGAAAAATGTTCACTGCTCATCCTGAGTGCTAATAGAACTTTCAGGCACTTTGTACACGGGACTTTTCGTTGCGGCGCGCAGGCTCTTCGTTGTGGTGCGCAGGCTTCTCTCTAGTTGTGGCGTGCGGGTTTTCTCTTCTCTAGTTGTGGTGCATGGGTTCCAGAGTGCATGGGCTCTGTAGTTTGTAGCACGCAGCCTCTCTAGTGGAGGCAAACGAGCTCAGTAGTTGTGGCACACGGGCTTAGTTGCTCCACGGCATGTGGAATCTTAGTTCCCTGACCAGGGATGGAATCCGCGTCCCCTGCATTGGAAGGCGGATTCTTTACCACTGGACCACCAGGGAAGTCCCCAGAGTACTATTTAGTTGGAACTTTATAACAACCCTATGCAATGGAATCATTAATCCTATTCACCTGGTAAAAACAATTAAACCTCAGGGAAGTTCAGGGACTTGTTCACACAGTGTATAAGTAGAAGTGGGGGGATTCAACTGCAGTTTTCCAGGGCTCTTTCCACTGAGTTACACAGTGTACCTCCCATCAGACACTAGAGAGAGATTTATCTTTTTCTTTTCATGGCACTTTCTAAAAGCATTTGCTTCCTGGGAGGGAAATATATCCATCAATTTACTAGCTGGGTGGACCTTAGGAAAGAAAGCCTGAGGACTGCTGCAAGCATTAAACGAAGTCATGTATCTCGAGCACAGTTTAGACAATGCCTAGTATACGTGAAAAAGTTGTTGTCGTTAAAAGGGTAAAGCCCATCAGTGTATATTTTGGAAAGGAAGTTGTACCGGTAGCTCTGCTAGGTGCTGGCACTAAATATGAAAACTGGGTAGCTGCACGCGACGTGGCCATGTCAACCAGGTTTATCCTGAGCCACGGCCAGGCCATCCCTACCCCACCCTGTTAACCCCCACTGCCAGCGTTTCTACTTTGGTAGAGGCAGTGCTGTCGACTGGCCAGGAGTGTGGGCTGAGGCTGCCAGCCTGGGCATGAATGCCTGCGCCACCACTTACCGACTGTGTCACCTTCGCAAGTTACCTAACCATTCACTGCCTCATTCTCTTCATCCGTGAATGGGGCACCAGCAAGAGTAGCCACATCCTCGGGATGTTGTGAGGATCGAAAGAATTTGCACAGGTAAAGCATGAGGGACAGTACTCGGATGTAATACATACCGCGTGTCTGAGAAAAAGATGTTGGCCGTCGGTACGTATCAGTTCTCTGTGACTCTAGCAGGCGCTGGCCACACTCCACGGCCTGGGAAGAGGAGAAGTCTGAGGACTGTTGACTGTTCCCCTGCTCTCTCTCCCTCTGTCACAGGGCGAGCTCTTCCTGAACGGCCAAATGTGCAGAATTGTGCAGCGGGAGCTCTTATTTGACCTGGGCGTGGCCTACGGCATTGACTGTCTACTGATCGACCCCACCCTGGGGGGCCGCTGTGACACTTTTACCACGTTCGATGTCTCGGTCAGTCCTAAAAACACTACTGTAGTAAGGGAACCTTGGGCCAAGGAACAGCCCTCATGGGTTGTGGGACCCTGCTGTGACGCCACAGAGGGCTGGTCCCCAGTGAACACGGGACCCAAGGGGTCAGAGCGCCACATGACAGTGCTCTTCAGATTAACGTCTACTTAGTCCCGTACAAGCCTTGCCCGTGCTCATTTATGCACCCACACACCCATCCATCCATCCCCCTGCCATTAAGGAAACAGTTGTTGGGAACCAACTGTGTGCCACTGTTCTACCAGTCATTTTCAAACCCACCCATCCACTCAATCATTCACTTAACCATTCTACAAGCACTTTTTGAGCCTCTGCCAGAATAAACCGTGAGAAATGCCGTACTTGACAGGGTATGACTACAAAAGTGGCCGTTTCATATGGTTCCATCTAATACATGCCACCATACCGCCATTCATTTGCTCATTCATTAACACTGACTGAACTTCCGTCCCGGGTCCTGCACTGTTTGAGGCGTGTGTACATCTCACACACATTCATCCACCCAGTGCCATTTATTGACCTTTGAGCCTACTGTTTGGCTCAATGCTCATCTTACCCCTATCCAATAGTAGAAGCAGTTATCATCTACTCTATTATGCAAACTTGTAAATTGAGTCTCAAAGAGGTGGAGTGACTTACATGGCAAAGTCTGTCACCAGTTGATTTCTGTACCGGGCAACTTGTAGGCATTCAATAAATATCCCAAATTACTAGGATAACAGCCGAAGTAGGAGATGAAAAACCAGTTGTTAATTTCTTCACTTTCAAAGTATATACACAGACAGTTTTTTCAGTTAATCGTTTTTCCTCACCAATCAATCCCCTGAAAATCAAATAGCAACAAGAATTATTATCCCTGTTTTATAGATCAGAAGACTAAGGATCAAAGAATATGATTAGCTAGAACAATTACAGCTGATTTATAATGGAACTGACGCCTGCATCCACATTTCCCACTGCTGCTATACCGTGTGCCTGTGTGACCCCGCCCTGGTCCACCTCCATCTAACAGGGAATTTTTACCTCAAAGAACTAGACTAAGGAATTGAGGTCCACGACATACCTTCAGAATTCTCTATGGCAAAGTTACAGAGTGTTTGCTTTTATATTCTTGATCATAGCCAGAATCTTAAGATAGATTAAGTTTTTAGTCACATAATCAAGGCATTAACCTGGGGCATTCCTTGTGTTTCCCAATATTCTGGATTTTTAAGTGTTTCTTTTCTTGCGTACTAGGGGAACTGTGGGAGCTGTGTTCATACTCCCAGCTGCCCCAGGTGGACTAAACCAAAGGTAATTATGAACATAGTGATAACGTTTGGAGAGTGATAGGTTTGTTTCTCTATCAGACCCCAGTCTCCTGGTAGCTATGAGTGTGCATGCGTGTGCATCTGCAAGTGTGTTATAACTGTGTGTAATTAGTTTATGTCTTTCTTTCAACAATCAGGCCAGTGGGATGAGAGATGAACATTCTTAGCCCAGGCAGCCTGTCAACCCACTATCCATCTTTTAAGAACTGTCTAGGAGAGTCATGGGATTACAGACCTAGAAGGGGTTGTAAGGATAATTATAATTATAAAAATAATAGTTGTATTTTGTTGGTTGCTGTTCATGTCCCCGGCTCTGTGCTGGCCCCTTTATTTTGACATTATCCCTATTCCCCATTATAATACCTATAGAAAAATATATTACCTCCACTTACAACAGATGAGCCTCAGAGAGGATAAGCAATCAGCCCGAGGCCACACAGCTAGTAAGGAGCAAAGCTAGGATTAGAGCCCAGCATGCAATGTAAGAGTAATGGTTAAGCCAATGAAATTTGGGGTCCACAGTTATGGGGTCAAATTCTCATGGGTAATCTTTGGCAAGTCATTTTATATGTTTTTGCCTCTGCGAAATGGAGCTAATAACAGTTCTGTGTGTGATTATTAGGAAAAGTAAGTTTTTAAATGTGGGTACAGAGCCTGGCACATAGCAAGTGCTCATTAAGTATTAGTTTTAGTACTTACTCCAAAGCCAAGCTCTTTCTACTCTACCAGTAACCCCTCTCACAGAAACACCCCTACAAAATGAACTGTAACCCCATACCCTCTCTACTGATGTTCCTGGGGCCTGGCCACAGACCCCTCTCCTGATAGAAAGCCACCTCTTTCCCACTCCCTTCTCAGGCGACCACACCTTTTGCAAACAGCTCTAAGGATTAAGATGGGGAGAAATCTTCTTCCCATGGACTCCACCTCTGCCCCCTCCCCCATTCATTTGTCTCTCTACACCCCTAAGAAGAGAATTCCCTGTACAGGGCTCATGACCATTGAGTCCCATTTTCTACTTGGGCAGTACCCAGGTTCCCCCACTGGGGGCGGACTAGAGCCCAAGAGCCCAAGGGGATGGAAGGTGGAGGGATGGTTCAATCTCTTCCTTTAGGGTGAGAAGCGGAAGTGTCTGTACGACTTGCCCTTCAGGAGGAACCTGGAAGGCTGCAAGCAGCAGTGCACCCTGGTGATACAGCTCCCCAAGTGCTGCAAGGGCTACTTCTGGCCAGACTGTCAGGGTAAGGGAGCCTCTTACTGCCTCGCAATTCTGAAATGATTGTACAATCACTGTGGAGCATTTGAAAGTACTGTATAGGGGGGGGGGGGGGGGGGCACGGGGAGCAGGGGAGTATATCACTCTTAATGATTCTGCTAAGAAAAGATCCAAAAGCAATTATTCTGAAGAGCTGTGCAGCTTTCCTTCTCCTTTTTTTTTTTGTCTTGTCGTATTTGGTTTTTACAGAGTTGAGATTCTACTGTGCATAGATTGTACATCATGTGTCATGCTTTTCTGCTTGATGTTATAGCATAAGACATTTCCCATGGTGTTAGAAACACCATACTTCATTTCTGACACCAGTCTATGATACTGATAAGCATGCTAGCTTAAACGCGTCTAAAGACATCTACCTTGGCAGGTTGCTATACAACTGTGATATGAATGGGCCATTATTTCCTGAAATCTCCCGTTATGTGTAACGTCGCCCTCCCTCCCTCACCTCACCCTTTCAGGAAAGGGCTCCCGAAACCCCTTTGTCTAGATACGACTTCTAGCCAATAACGCAGCAGCAAAAGCATAACAAATGCCATAGAACTTCCCATCCACCATGCATTGATTTAAGTGAGCACATTTATTGAGTGCTACTTCCCATATATGGGAACATCTGAACCTCACAGCAACGCCTAAGAAGTAGGTTCCCTTGTCATCCCCATTTTACAGATGACGAAATCAAGGCACAGATTGGATAAGAAGCACACTTAGGGTCCCACAGTATGTCTCCAGAAGCCGTGGTTTTAAGTACCATGCATACTCCATTCATCATGGTCCAGTTGAGAAAATTCTGGGCTGGGAGTCCACGCAATCACTCAGCCTCCACTCCACTCTCCATCACTAAAGCACAGACCATTGATAAAAGTCAGTGTCATCCCTTATATTTGTTCAGCGCTTTATATTTTCAAATGCTCTTGGTTACAGTGTCTTATCTGATCCTCAGAGTGGGCACTCTGTCATCACCCTCCCCCTCCTCCTCTAGAGCTAAGAGAACCGAAGCTCAGAGCAAGTTCATTATTCAGCCCAGATCAACACAAATCCAGGTCTCCTGACCCCCAAATACAGTGCACAGTTCAGTATATTGCTCTGCCAGTCCTATTAGATAGATAGATAGATAGATAGATAGATAGATTTTTTTTTTTTTTTTTTTTTTGTGCGGTACGTGGGCCTCTCACTGTTGTGGCCTCTCCTGTCGCGGAGCACAGGCTCCGGACGCGCAGGCTCAGCGGCCATGGCTCACGGGCCCAGCCACTCCGCGGCATGTGGGATCTTCCCGGACCGGGGCACGAACCCATGTTCCCTGCATCGGCAGGCGGACTCTCAACCACTGCGCCACCAGGGAAGCCCCCCTATCAGATATAGTTAAGCCATAGGCCAGTGGGTTGCTCTAAACATCCAGTGACACTATGTGGATATGTCCCCGGGGCCACAGAGGACAGAACCCACAGCTAAGGACAGGTTAGCAGCATGTTCACAAAGACGCTGAGCTGCTCTGGGTCTGGGGAGCCTGTTGAGTCACTGCTGTTTCATCTCTTCCAGCCTGCCCTGGAGGACCAGATACCCCATGTAACAACCGGGGTGTCTGCCTCGATCAGTACTCACCCGCGGGACAGTGTAAATGCAACACCGGCTTCAACGGGACAGCGTGTGAGCTGTGCTGGCCAGGGAGATTCGGGCCTGACTGTCAGCGTATGTGGCACCCACTCCCCTGAGCTTCTGCCTGTCGTTCGGCTGTATGCTCCCTGCCCCGATGCACACCATCCACCTGAGCTGGAAGCATCCTTCTTCCTCTCTTTCTTTCCCGGCCACCCACCTCCCATCTGCCTGCCCTCACATGCTTTTTTCCTCCTTGGATATATTCCCAGTTTCCATCCACTGAAAGAGCCTCCCCTCTAGAAGTGAAACTCACATCCCCTGCAGCCACCAAGGCAAGCTGTGGCCGACCAACACTCATTCAGTCATTCAACTATCACATATATGCTGAGTCCTTACTAACGTTGACAGCTAATGTGTGTGGAGTGCCTACTGTGTGCCAGGCAGGTATGTTGTACCATCTAATCCTCACAACAAGCCTTTGAGGTGGGTACTCTTTATTATCCCCACTTAGCAGATGAAGAAGCTGAGGCACAAAGAGGCTTAGTGACTTGATCAAAAGCCAGGAATGGTTCTAAGTTATAGAGCTTAGCTTTCAAAATCCCAGCTTTCAAGGAGTGTACATTCAAAGGGAGGAAACAAAGATGACAGAAACAAAAATAGATATAAAGGCATAAAGAAGATGAAGCAGATGAAGGGAATCGAGATAGAAAGGAGGCACTGGTCCAGAAGACATCTCATGAAACATCTGAGTAGAGACCTAACAGAGGTGAGGGGGCCGGGAGTGGGACTGTCAATAGCAGCTCTGTCCGGTCAAATTTCAGTGATGATGGAAATGCTCTGTAACTCCGCCACGAGGGATGGTAGCCGCTAGCCACAAGTGGATGTTGAGTACTCAAAACCTGTGACTAAGGAACTGAGTTTTGGTTTTTTAAATTAGTTTACATTTAGATAGCCACGTGTGATGAGCGGCTGCTCTGATGGACAGTGCAGGCTAGAGGAATGGCTTTCCTGGAAGAGAGACAAGCAAGTGCAAAGGCCCTGAGGCAGGCGTGGGCTTGGCATGCAAGGAACAGCAGAGTGGCCAAGGTGGCTGAGCAGGGTGGGCAAAGAAGAGGGAGAAAGGGAGAAGAAGGAATCTGAAGGTCGCCAGGGACCAGATAACATAGGAGCTTCTTGCCCAGAGACAGGTCTTCAGCGTCTAATCTAAGTGTGATGGCGGCCAGTAAAGGAGGGTGAATGGGGGGCGGGGGGGGGGGTTGTCCTGAGCAGATTGGAAAGGACCACCCCAGCTGCCCCGTGGAGAGTGCACCATGGGAGCGCACGAGCAGAAGCAGGGCCAGCTTTGGGGAGGCTAATGCCACATTCTGGGTGAGAGCCGGTGGTGCCGTGGGCTAGAGTGGTGCTGCTGGAGGTGGTAAGAAGCAGAAGGATTGGTATATTTCTTGAAGGTTTGACCATTCAGTCCATTTCTCTGTTAGGAGGCCCAGATGATGTTCCCTCCCCCTACTGTTCAGTTACATACCCCATGATACCCTCTACTTCTGTGTTTACAGCAATCACTGTATTTATCATTACGTGTTCGATAACCAGGTACTGCTAGACCGTAAGCTCCCTGAGAACAGGGACCTTATGTCTTGGGTTTTCTGCTGTAACCTCATTGCCTGGTAGTGTCTGCCTCATGATAGCCACTGAATTGGTTATTTTTTGAAAGTCTGAATGAATGAGTGAGTGAATGAATGTGGATAAACACGGTGCCTTCCAAACCAACAGCGCCGCCAGCATGTGGTCAGTGGGCTTGGTTGATTGGATTTCAATCCCTGATCTCTGCCGACTGACCACACTCCAACTTGCTCTACAGCCTGTGGCTGCTCGGACCGTGGGCAGTGCAACGACGGGATCACGGGCTCTGGGCAGTGCGTCTGTGAAACGGGGTGGACGGGCCGCTTCTGCGACACTCAGACAGGTCTGTCCTGGGGGTGGCCACCTGCCGGCGGCCCCGTGCTGCAGCGGACCCTGCCGAGAGCGGCCGACTGAGGGTGGGGGTCTTAGCGACATCGGAAAAAAACAACAAGGCACGGGTTCCCTTTTTCACGAGGAATACATGACGTGGTTGTGTGGCCCCAGGGTGGGCAGATCTGGTGACTTGAAGGAAACTAGATGACAAGATTTAACTCAAACCCATGAAACCAGCATGCAGTCCTGTCAATCATGGAAGGACCCACCTCAAGCAAAGTATACAGGATTGGGCAGGAAGGGTCCCTCGGGATCGTGGTCCAGGCCCAGATGTGTGCAGACCCAGAGGTGAAGGGTTTCACAGAAAACGTGCTGTTCCCTGGAGTCCAGGATATGACCCCTGATTCAGTTGCTTATTAGACAAACGGCCTCAGCTAAGCCACCCTCTCCGAGGCTTGATGCGCTCGTCCGAAAAAAGAGAGCCTGTTGCATGGTTTTCAGGGGAGGATTGTTGTAAGGGTCGGGGTCATGGTTTCGGGGTGTCCGGTGCATGTGGGGCACTCAGAAACAGTAGCTGCCATTATCGCTATCCGTCATTGTCATCCTTGTCATGACCCTGATCCTTACTGAGCTGTCAGTTTTCTGAGGCCTCCCTTGAAGCCCAAGCCTCATGTTCCGGTCAAAGGTTGAATTCTCCAATGTAAAGCACTGTCGCTTCATCCTCCCTGGGGGCAGAGGGGCAAGACCAAGCTCTTCCTATGGGCATCAGCAACCTGAAGCTCCAGCAGCCCAGCAGTCCCCTTAACTTCAGTTCTTCCCCCTCTTCTCTCCCCCGTCCTCCTCCCGTGGCTTCATGCTGCCTCCTGATACTGCAGCCCCTGCCAGCCACCAGAGCCCCAGACTTCTCCCAGGCTCTGCAGTGCCCACAGAAGGCCTTGGAATTTCTCCTCCAATTTAACCATCTCCTCTGGAACCCCATGCCCTTAGGGCCAAAGAGCTAATCTGCTAAATTCACCCTTGCTAGCGGACTTTGAGGTATAAAGTGTTCATTGGTTGCCCCTAATGGTAACATATTTGCATTTTAATCTGGATAACATTTCAGAAGTAATGTCTTAATAATACAAAGGAGTGATTCCGGAATCTCAGAATCTCCAGGCTGGGAGGGACCTTAGCAAATCACCCCGTCCGCCCGCCATAAGGGGCCACTTTTGAAACACAGTGGCAGGCCAGATGGGGTCTCAGGAAGATGCCTTAGGTGGGCCCCAGCCCTTCACATCATGGTGCGGAATGAATGCTGACCTCTTTCTTTGCAGTTCTGCCCCTCGTGTGCATGCCTCCTTGTTCTGCTCATGCCACCTGTAAGGAGAACAACACGTGTGAGTGTAACCTGAATTATGAAGGGGACGGAATAACGTGTACAGGTAGGTCCCATCCGTGCATGGGTGGAATAGCAGCGAGGTGCTAGGAGCAGAGCGGCTCTTGGTCAGGGTGCCTGGGCTCCATCCCGGCCCTTCTGCTTCCTGCTCGGACTGCTTCGGCAATACCCACCCTCTCTGCGACTCAGTTTTCCTCGATGGGTTTGCTCATGCCTGACCTGCCCACTTCCCAGGTCATGACTTTGAAACTGCTTTGCCAACTGTGATGCACTTTGTTCTACGGTATTTTTGTGACTTTACAGATAATCCAGTCTTACTTCAAAAAATTCAGAAACTATACTACAGTATTTAAAAGACAACAGTGAAACCTACACATGCTCTCACCACTCGGTGAGAACCACTTTGAACACTGAACTGTCTCTGTCTCTAGTAGTTACAATATAGGTTCAGCCACACAGAGACCCAAATGAACAGTGGCACAAACCAGGCAGAGGTTTAAATGTTTATTTTTATCTCTTATAGCAGTTTGCATGGAGGCATCCAGGGCTAACATAGGGTTTCACTCTGAAAGGTCATCTGGGGGCCCAGACTCCTTCTATCTTGTTGCTCTGCCATCGTTCACTTGCCTGGCCCGAGATGGTCACTACCAAAGCACATCCCAGGCAGCAGGATAGAGAGGGAGAGAGAGGAGGCAGACCTCCTCCCTTTAAGGACACACCTAGAAGAGGCTAAAATCCTGTCTGCTTCCACCCCATTGGCTGGAACCTCATCATCTGTCACACCTAGGACACAGGGGAGCCTGGGAAATGTAGTCTTCAGTTGGACAACCGTGAAGCCCAGCTGAAAATCTACCACTACAGAAAAAGAAGACAGTAGGTACTGGGGGAAAGCTACTAGTCCTGGGCACGCATACTTTCTAACTGTCCTCACGAGTAGATATTCATATAGAGATATATACTTTCTTTACAGAACTGAGATCTTGCTATACCTGTTGTTCTGTGATCTGCTACGAGGCAGTCTAGAAGTAGCTCAGCAACAGCAGTGGCAGCAAAGACCCAGGTTCTGTCTTGCTGCTCTGCCGGCCTTAGGCTGAGGCCTTTTGTCCTCATGTTCATGCTCTCAGGGTCTCAAGTGGCTGCCACCACTCTAGCCAAAAAGTCAGACGAGAGAAGTCAGAGCGCTTTCCAGCTACTCCTGAGGCTGGAGCTAATCTACTATTAGGTTGAAATTTGGGGGGATCAAGAAAACAAAGGTTAAGGGGCACACAAAACAGTGGGGAAAGTGCGGGCTTTGGAGTCAAACCAACCTGGCTTTAAATCCCAGCCCCTCCACGTTGTAGCTAGTTTGCCTTTGTCAGGTCAGTTAAGCTCTGAGTTTCCATTTGTTAATCTGCAGAATGGGGGTAACAATGTCTATGTCACAAGGTGCTCAGTAGTGCGCTAACCCTACACACACACACGCGCGCGCGCACGACTATGTCCTAACACCAAAAACCCAAACTCATTAGAAAACTACCACCAAAGTAAAGTATGTGATTAAAAAAAAGAGCAGAGGTAGACAGATGTCACCAGGCCTGGTCTATGAGGGTGTTCGCCACAGGACACTAGTGTTGGCAAATGCAGCACAGAGGCCACCAGGCACAGGGAGAGAAGGCACTGAAATGTTGGGGCCCATTGTCTCGCCCAGCGCCACTGGTCCCGGGGTGACCCACACCTCGATCTGAAGCCCGTGTCACACAGAGCGTGGTTCATTGAGCCCCTGTCCTCTGCTCTTGCAGTTGTGGATTTCTGCAAACAGAACAACGGCGGGTGTGCAAAGGTCGCCAGGTGCTCCCAGAAGGGCACGAAGGTCTCCTGCAGCTGTCAGAAGGGCTACCAGGGGGATGGCCACAGCTGCACGGAGATAGACCCCTGTGCGGACGGCCTCAATGGCGGGTGTCATGAGCATGCCACGTGCCAGATGACCGGCCCGGTGAGTCTCGCCTCCCCGGGGAAATTGGGGGTGGGGAGCCCTTGTGCCTCGCTCAGCCTTGCTTCTCCACTCGGGTTACCATTGGCCTCTTCCTAAGCCTTCTTCCCACGTGAGTCTATTTCTTGTTAAGTCGGTGGGCTAAATACGAAGTGGTACCCTATGCAGAAAAAGGACCTTACTGGGAAAGCTGGTGAAGTCCACATAAAGTTTATTTAGTTAATCATAATACACCAACACTAACTGTTTAGTTTGGACAATGAACTATGGTTTTGGAAGATGTTAACGTTAGGAGAAACTGAGTGGAGAATATAAGGAGACTCTCTCTCTGCAACTTTTCTCTAAATCTAAAATTATTCCAAATAAAAATTAATTAAAACCAAAAAAGTTGGTAAGAGTTGGCAGGAAAAGTGCAGTTTGGGCACTCACTCAGGTCTTTCTAGAATGGAATCAGTGCCCTGTTGCCCCATTTCTCTGGTGGGAAGGAAAGATGGTGGGAGATGATGTCGATTATATTATAGTTATAAACATGAACTCAGAGTCAGGCAGCCTTTGAGTCTTTGTTCCTGGCCTGACACGCTGTGTGGTCTGGGGCTGGCTGCTTAACCTCTCTGAGCCTCAGTTTCCTCATTCACAAAGTGGGCCTCATAAAACTGCGAACCTCACAGGATTGTTGTGGACATTAAATGGGATCATTCGTTGACTCAACAAATGGTCATCAAGCACCTACTTTGTGCTGTTGTAGCTGCCAAGGATGTAGCGATCAAAAGCTTATACACGAGTAGGGAGAGGGGGCATCTTCAGTACAGAAATGAGTGTACAAGATACCTTCAGAGAGGGCCAAGAGTCAGGAGGAACAAAAATCAGGCCAGTGTGATAAAAAGGGACCGGGAGTCAGGGAAGCGACATCTGAGCTGAGCTGTCAAGGAGGACATTCCATCCTGAGCCTGTGCAAAAGCAAGATGGAGCAATCAGTCCCCACCGGACAGGACAGGCGTGTTTCTTACCCTTCTGAGCATCTCCTGTGTTGGATGGTGGCCCGCGGAGCACATGGGGCTCTGGGGGCCCAGAGAAGGGCCTTTTTCATCTTTCCCACTCTCCCTCCCAGGGCAAGCACAAGTGTGAATGTAAACGTCATTACGTGGGAGACGGGCTGAACTGTGAACTGGAGCAGCTGCCCATTGACCGCTGCCTGCAGGACAATGGGCAGTGCCATGCCGACGCCGACTGTGCTGACCTCCATTTCCAAGGTCAGTGTGGCCCAAAGCACCTGGTCTTCAGGCATGGGGAAGGGACCTCTGCAAGAGCAAAAGGAAAAAGTATTGAAAACTGGGGTCAGGGACTTCCCTAGTGGTCCAGTGGTTGGGACTTTGCCTTCCAGTGCAGGGGGGCAGGTTCGATCCCTGGTAGGGGAGCTAGGATCCCACATGCCTCAAGGCCAAAAAACCAAAACGTAAAGCAGAAGAAATATTGTAACATATCCAATAAAGACTTCAAAAGTGGTCCACATCAGGAAAAAAAAAAATTTTAAAAAAAAAAAAAAAACTGGGACCAAACAGCCCATGCATTGCCCAGGACCCAGTGGAGGCTGACATCAAGCACATGGAGGGTTCGGATTTCAACATACAAATTTGTGGGGGACACAGACATTCAGTCCCTATCACGCATCAAGTCCTAAGACACCTCAAGTCCATTTTGGGGATGAAATGGAGGAAATATAAGCAGGAGAAATACATAGGAGATATGACAAATATATGACACTGTCTCTTCTTGCAAGGAGATTCCCAATGGAGTTGAGGACATTTTTTAATCGATAAGACCGGGGGAAGAAAGGTAATAAGACAGGAGATAGCAATTTATCTCAGGCTGATGGTGCAACTGAAGGGAGAGAGCAAGCTGGTTAGAGAAAAATTGGAAGCAGGGACTCAAGCAGGTATTTGTACACCCACGTTCACAGCAGCATTATTCACAACAGCCAAAAGGCAGAAACAACTGAAATGTTCAACATATGGATGGATAGATAAAATGCAGTATACCGTGGGAAATTACCCTATAAAAGGAATGAAATTCTGTACATGTTACAGCGTGAATGAACCTTGAAAACATGCTCCATGAAATAAGCCAGACACAAAAGGACAAACGTTGTACTCTTCCACAGATAGAAGGTACCTATAATAGGCAAATTCAGAGAGACAGAAGGGAGGATAGAGGTTACTGAAGGGTGGGGAGAGGGGGTCATTCTTTAATGGGTACAAAGTTTCTGTTTGGGATGATGGAAACATTCTAGAAATGGATAGTGGTGATGGTTGCACATGTAAATGTACTTAATGCCACGGAATTGTACACTTAAAGTGGTCAAAAGGGCGAATTTTATGTTATGTGTATTTTACCGCAATAAATTTTTTTTTTAAAAAAGAATAGAGAAGGGAAGGATCTCTGGGTGGGATGAGAGAGGGAATCCCGGGGAGCTGAATAGAGGCCTGGGGCTACAGTAGACGCTTGAAAGATGCTGGAGTTGAGCTATGCACAGAAGAGCTGGCAAGACATTTCTGCTGGGAGGACTCATGGACAGCAGTTATCAGGGGTCAGCTGGGAAGGACGAGGCAATGGTGGGAGGGACAGCATAATATCAAGGCTATGACCCCAAGGTAACAGGGTCTCTGCTGGGAAGAGGAGTGAGATGAGGGAGAAAAGGGCACACCGTGGACATGGAGAGTGAAGAAAAGGAAAGGGTCGACCATAATGTAAGGTTTCCATCTTGAGAGACCAACCCAGTGGTGGTGTTAAAGCAGTCTGGGAGTAGGGGGCCCAAGAATTTTGAAAGCTTTGCTGGGGACAGTTTATGTTCAAGGTGATGATGGATCTTCCAAGTTCTATTTCAAGGTGATGGTGGGACTTCAAAGCAGGGAGATTCTGTAGGTGGTTGTTATTTAGGATGGGGTCAAGAACGAGCAGTTGGGACCAGGGATGTTGATTCATGAGTCATTTGCCAGGAGGAGTGTGGAGTCAAGAGGTGCTTGGCTTTTTTCTTTGGGGCGCGATTCATTCAGCCAGTCCTGCCTGTCCCCACAACTCACTGAATCTATTCAGTTTGTGGAACATCACCCATCTTCTCCAGGGGGCTTCTATCTTCTACCTTTTTATGAATACTGAGACAGTGATGGTAGCGATATTAAGTGACTGAGCGTCACATTGGACCCACCTTCTGTTGTGGCTGAGTGCTTACCCTTAAGAAGACGAGATGGCATTGGGATAATGCCTCAGCTGTCCCGTGGGTAGGCTACAGAGGCATCCCACACTCAGGAGGAAGTGCCTACTCTCATACAGTTCCAAGGAGGGCAAACTCACACAGCCTCTGTGGCATCCACTTCGGCAATGTGTGCAGAGAGCCTCATGACATTCAAGGGACACAGCCTATTGAAATAATCTAAGAATTGAATAATGGGAAACATACCATCCCAGCATTACCTAACATCACAAAAAATTAGAAATAACAAATATCTAACAGTAAAGGATGATCAAATATACTGTTATATCCACTCAAGGGCACTATTAAGAATTGTGGGGACCTCCCTGGTGGCGCAGTGGTTAAGAATCCGCCTGCCAGTGCAGGGGACATGGGTTCGAGCCCTGGTCCGGGAAGATCCCACATGCCGCGTAGCAACTAAGCCCATGTGCCCCAACTACTGAGCCTGTGCTCTAGAGCCCGCGAGCCACAACTACTGAGCCCGCGCACCACAACTAATGAAGCCCACGCACCCTAGAGCCTGCACGCTGCAACTACTGAGCCCATGTGCTGCAACTGCTGAGCCCATGCGCCACAACTACTGAGCCCATGTGTCACAACGACTGAAGCCCATGCACCCTAGAGCCCATGTGCCGCAACTACTGAGCCCGCGCACCACAACTACTGAAGCCCACGCACCCTAGAGCCCGTGTGCTGCAACTGCTGAGCCCACGCGCCGCAACTACTGAGCCCATGTGTCACAACGACGGAAGCCCACGCACCCTAGAGCCCGTGTGCCGCAACTACTGAGCCCACGCGCCACAACTACTGAGCCCACGTGCTGCAACTACTGAAGCCCGCATGCCTAGAGCCCGTGTTCCGCAACAAGGGAAGCCTGCGCACTGCAGCAAAGAGCAGCCCCCGCTCGCTGCAACTAGAGAAAGCCTGTGCACAGCAACAAAGAGCCAGCGCAGCCAAAAAATAATTAATTTAAAAAAAAGAATCGTGTTGACTTGGGAAGGAGACAAGGCTAAACACCTTTCCGTCCTTCCCCAAGCTGTTATATTGGTAAGTGTTTATATTGCAGGTGTGGCTGACAAGATCATATGGCCTGTGGATGAATATACTATTGTCTGCGGTCAAAGAAGAAAATCTTGGGAATTCCCTGGTGGTCCAGTGGTTAGGACCCCACACTTCCACTGCAGGGGGCACAGGTTCGATCCCTGGTCAGGGAACTAAGATCCCGCAAGCCAGGCAGCCAAAAAAAAAAAGAAAGAAAGAAAAAAGTCTTAAACTTCGCTCTTTTGGGGGTAGAAAGTACCCCTTTTAGTGGCATTTGATAAAGAACTTGACAATATAAAAATTTGACTTGTTTCTTGAAGTCACATGCATTGGTCTCTGCATTAACTGGTTAAAAAGAAGATACCAACTATTTAAAAAGGATTAAAATCTTCTAGTATCGTAGGGGGAAAATGGCTAGAAAGCTTTTGTAAAGGCATAGTGGCAATCAGAAAACACATGGGGTCCTTGGCAGAAACTCATTTTAATGTATTTTTTTTATTCATGGCTGTGAAGTTCACAAAAAGTGTTCAACTGAAAGTGTCAAGGGGAAATTATGTTGCCAGAGAAAATTTATAATATTGGGAAATAATCGTGATTTCGCGTTAGAAGAAAGATTTCTAAAAACTAAATATGCAGCATACTGCCACACTTGTGGTATATATGACATGTAAACGAACAGGGAAAAAGACTGGAAGGGTGAAATTACATCAAAATTAAAAGTTACAAAAATAAAAATTCTGTACGGAAGCACATCAGAACGTTAGCCATGGAGTAATGATTATTTCCAGAGAGCGGGACTGTAGGTGATTTTTGTTCATCTCTCTTCTTTTCCGTACGGCCCAGATTTCTACCAGACACGTGCTACTTTCATAGCTAGAAAAGAAATAAGTATTTTAAATAACATCTCAAAGGGGAGTGGCATCCCAAGAAACCCTGGGATACGGTCAGCCTTCCACTTTGAAAATCTCTGATGAAAGCATGCCAGCCAGGGGGGCTGGCCTGGACGATTCCTCTCCTCCCCCTTCTAGATACCACCGCTGGAGTGTTCCATCTACGTTCCCCACTGGGCCAGTACAAGCTGACCTTTGACAAAGCCAGAGAGGCCTGTACCAAGGAAGCTGCAACCATGGCAACCTACAACCAGCTCTCCTACGCCCAGAAGGTGGGGCCCAGTTGGCGGGCACTGTGCAGGCAGGGTCTTCAGGGGAGGAGATGCAGCTTCCTCTTGACACAGGGGAGACGCAGGCTGTTGCCTTCCTGGAGCGAGGAGTTCAGGGAGCTCCTGGAGCAATAACGATTCGTCATGTCCACTGGGAGTCTGCCGTGTGTCAGGCACAGTGTGGGGTGCTTCCCTGACATTACTGTCCATTCTTACAACATCTCTGGAGGTAGGTATTCCTATCTTTTTACAGATAGGGCAACTGAGGCTCTGAAAGGTAATGTGCCCAATGTCACCCAGCCAAGAAGTGGCAGATCCAGCATTCCATGTACCCCTGACTCCAAGTCTGCTCTCGATCATGACATTCAACCACCAAGGCAGAGGCACAGACTGTGAGTGTGTACCTCATAGATGGAAACCAGAAAGAGATCAGTTAACCACAAGCCTAGGATCTCCCTGAACCCACAAAGCAGCTGAGTTTTCTGGAATAGCCGGGGCTCTCTGTGTCTGGAGGGGCTGCGAAGGGAGTACATGGGAAGTGCCTCAGCTCTCAGCCACAGCCAGGGAGGAAATGGAGCTCTGGTCAGGGCTACTCTCTTAGCCTCTAAAACCAGAAGCCAATTAGGAAAGGTCAGCGACTTTGAGTGACCTGCTAGTGACTGCTCACTGGGAGAAGGGGAGACCACTGTCCATCAGGATGATGTTACTGCCCTCCAACCTCCATCACTACCAAATCCTCAGACCTGACGTTTCTTTACCAAGGAGCAAAGCCTTTGATGCCAGGACCCAGCATCCTGGAGGGTCAGAATTTCTTGTTTCTCCTGCTTGCTGGTTGTATAGCCTTGATCAAGCCATTGAAACCTCTGTCCCACCGGGCATGTTTGTATAAGGACTAAAGGTAATGTGGCACAGTGACTGGCACACAGTAGGAACTCAGTTTTTAAGATTAAGAGCTCTGGAGTAGACTGCATGGGTGTGAATCTCAACTCCGCTACTCGCTGGCTGTATGACTTTGAGCAAGTTACTTAACCCTTTTTGCCTCTATTTTCTCAATTATATGATAGAGGTTTTTTTAAAGTTTCTGTCTCAAAGGGTTGATATAAGTGTTAAAGGTGCTGACACATGAAAAGCCCTTGCAACAGAACCTGGCCCAGAATAAGCTCTCAATAAGTGTTAACAGTGAATGGTGATGGTGATGGGGAGGATGATGACTGATGACCGGTTACAGTTCTATCAACCCATAAGCAGAAGAATTTGCACCCAGGGAAAAAATAGCTGATTGCAAATCCTTTCTCGAGAGCAGAGGGAAGAAAAATGAGTGTGAAGGACCCGGGCACCTACAGGAAAAAGGAGGCACCACTTTCATCCATCCAATGGCTCAATCAACAAAAATTTAATGAACACCTACTATGTTCCGAGCACGGGGTACAATAGGCAAAATGAGCCATAATTCCAAACTCCATGGAGTTTTCAGTCTGATGGGGGAGTCAGACGTTACCCAAAGAACTCCACAACAAATATGAAATCACAGCTGACCCATGGCCACATCTGTGTCCCTACAGGCCAAGTACCACCTCTGCTCAGCAGGCTGGCTGGACAGTGGGCGAGTAGCCTACCCCACATCCTACTCCTCCCAGAACTGTGGCTCTGGTATCATTGGGATAGTGGACTACGGAAAAAGAAACAACAAGAGTGAAATGTGGGATGTCTTCTGCTACCGGATGAAAGGTAACGGCCCACGCGCCACTTCAGATTCCAGGCCATGCAGCTGCTGAGCAATCCTCAGCCTGGCCAGCCGACCTCCCAGGGTGAGATGGGGCAGCCCAGGCCCCTGCCTCACTGGGGCGGGCCCCCGTGTGCTCCTGCCTTCCAGATGTGAACTGCACCTGCAAGGCAGGCTACGTGGGAGATGGCTTCTCGTGCAGTGGAAATCTGTTGCAGGTCCTGATGTCCTTCCCCTCGCTCACAAACTTCCTGACGGTATGTATGTACCGTGTCTGTTTGCTTTTGCCTCGGGGTGGAGGGGTTGCCTCAAAGCAGGTATTAGAGAGGTGAGTCCTTCAAAGAAGACAGAGGTTCACAGTCATAGTTAAGAGCATGGACACTGACAAAAAAAAAAAAAAAAAAAAAAATGGACTTCCTGGCGGTCCAGTAGTTAAGACCCCACGCTTCCAATGCAGGGGCCGCGGGTTCAATCCCTAGTCAGGGAACTAAGATCCCACATGCCGTGTGGCGCAGCCAAAAAAAAAAAAAAAAAAGTCTTGAAAGGGCATGGATACTGAGCCTCACTGCCTGAGTTTGAAGCTCAGGTTTGCCACTTACCTGGTGCATCACCTTAAATGAGTTACTTTGCCTTCTGAGCCTCAGTTTGCTCATTTGTAAAATGGAGATGATGATAGCACCAACCTCACAGGGGCACTGTGATAAATAGATGACCTAATATTTATAAAGTGCTTAGCCCTGTGGCCAGCAGATGCAAAATGCTATACTGGTATTAGCTGGTATTCTTATCTCTGTTTGCAACTACAGCAGCTTCAGAGTCGGCCCTGGAGGAGTAAGATGTTCTTTTATCTTTGTGGACAGGGTAGGGCACAGTTAGCTAAGTCTGCCTGGTGGTCACCCAGTGAGCCAAATTCTCAACACGGGGTCAACTTGCATTTTGCACTGCACTTTTTTTTTTTTTTCTTTTCGGCTGCACCATGCGGCTTGCGGGATCTTACTTCCCCAACCGGGGATCGAACCCACACCCTCGGCAGTGAAAGCGCAGAGTCCTAACCACTGGACCACCAGGGAATTCCTGCACTGCACTTAAAGTCACTTTAATATTCTACAAGTCACGTCCAATGAAGAGAAAGCCCCTGTTAGAGAAGGAATTGGTGTTGACTGATGAAAGAACTGAGCTAATAATTTTAATAACACTAGCTAAAATTTCTTGAGCACTTCCTTCGCATGGTGCATTGTACTGAGCCCTTTCAGGGCCCTTTTCACTTGGTTCATAGAACATAAGCTCCATAAGGGAAAGGATTTTCTCTGCCTTGTGGCTGGCATATAGTAGGTGCTCAATAAATCCTTGCTAGAAGGAATAAATCCTTATGCAACCTTATGAAGTCACTTCTGCTGTTATTCCCATTTTGCAGATAAAGAAACTGAGGCTTAGCAAGGTCAAGGGCACAGCCAAGGAGAGGGGACTGAGCATAAGTATAGGGCTTGTAGGAGCAGGGCAGAAGCTAAACCAAGGACCCCACAATGGCGAGCCTTTTTCCACAGACCAAAGGTATCCACCTAACTCGTCTAAAAAATCAGGGTTACTGTAAATACTCTAAAGGTAAACACCCAAACCAGTATTTGTGCTGCACGGGAGCTTGGCTTGTGACAGCATCTCAGAGAAAAGACAGTGTAGAACAAAACTCACTGGCTGTGTGCCCTTCAGCAAATTATCTTCTCTGGGTGTCCGTGGTGCTCTCTGCACAGTGACAAAGCTGAACCGGGTAGTGTGACTTTTTAAAATTTGTTCAGTGAGTATTTATTGAGTACTTACAAACTGCTTCAGATATATCAGTGAACAAAATAGACAAACGATAAGCAGAATAAATAAGTAAACGGTATTGAAAGCTAGACGGTGGTCTAGGCTGTGGGGTGGGGTGGGGAGGGTAAGGGGAACCACAGGGCTCTCATTTTGCAGAGGGATGAGGAAAGGCCTTAGTGAGAAGGTGACACGCGAGTAAAGTGTGAGCAGAAGAGAGGAAGTTAACCATGCAGATTTGGAGGAAGAATCCTCCAGGCAGAAGAAACAACCAGGCAAAGGATGAAAGGCAGGAGAGTGCTGGGCAAAGCTTGAGGAACGTCAGGGACGCCAGTGTGCCTGGAACAGAGTGAGCGAGAGGACAGCCGGGCACGGGGTCAGAGGAGCAACAGTCCAGATGGTTTGGGCCTCACGGGCCACTGTAAGGACTTTGGCTTTTCCTCTGGGAGAAGTGGGGGCCCTTGCAGGGTTTTGACAAAAGGAGACTCAAGATTTCACTTAACGTTTCAAAGACCGCACGGGCTGTCGTGTTGAGAATGGCCTGTGATCTGGCTGTGACTTGGGACCACAGGATTTATTGAGGAAAGGAAAAATCCTCCTAAAATCTTGTCAAGGGGCAGTCAGACAGAAGAGCGGACAAGTGGCAGCCTGAGTTGGGATGACCAGCAGGAACATTCCCAGAGGGGTGATGCTACCCTCTCCAGCCACCCCGGTCCCTGCACACCAGGCTGACCCATCTGACCACCACCTTCCTCTCCCCAGGAAGTGCTGGCCTATTCCAACAGCTCAGCCAGAGGCCGGGCGTTTCTGAAACACCTGACTGACCTGTCGATCCGAAGCACCCTCTTTGTGCCACAGAACAGTGGGCTGGGGGAAAATGAGGTGAGTTGGGTTCCTGATGTCTGTGCTTTAGGCTAGCGCTTCTAGACAGTATCAGTTGTCTATCACCACGATAGTGCAATGCTACAAACGATCCCAGAATGCAGTGGCTACACATTTATTTAGCTCCAACATCTGTAGATCAGCTGGCAGTCCTTCCGGGCTAGGCCAGGCATGTTCATATGTCTAAGCTGGGCTGGCCCTCAGGTTATCTAGGCTGGCTTGTCTGGGGCTCTGCTCCGCAGGGCTCTCATCCTCCAGCAGGCTAGCCCGGGCTTGCGGTGAGAGCAAGCCCAGTCCTGCCAGTGCTTTCTAAGCCCCTGTCTGGTCACATTTGCTAATATGCCACTGGCCCAACAGGTCATGTGGCTGAGCCCTAAGTCAGAGTGGGAGGCCCTCAGATGATGTGGTAAAGGGCAAGGATACGGGGAGGGGTGAAGAACCAGGGCTATGGATGCAACTGATCTACTACTACATCAACCTTTTTCATGTCACGGCACAGAGAGGAACTGGCAGTGTTTATTCAGCCCAACCACGGGCTCTGACAGCCCAGACCCCACTGAGGGCTGAGAGAAGCAATACCTCTGCTCACTTGTTACCCACTCAAGACCCATTCCTCCCAGGACACCACTGGGAAGCTCTGCTTTGACCATTAAAATGACTTTCAAAGTGGAGGCAGAAAAACCAAGGCTTTGCGAAGTGATTTCTTTTCCCTGGGTCATCCTTGTCATTAAAAGGAGAAAATATTGCTTGGCCTTTAAAGACCGTTTTCGTGTCTCTTCTTTGCTCTCAGACTCTGTCTGGGCGGGACATCGAGCACCATCTCGCCAATGTCAGCATCTTTTTTTACAATGACCTTGTCAACGGTACCGTCCTGCACACTAGGCTGGGAAGCCAGCTGCTGATCACCTCCAGCCAGGACCAGCGCCAACTGGTATGAAAAGTCTTCTGGGCTTATAGGGGGAAGTGGGGATAATATATGCCAAGCTCCTAGCAGAGAGTAGGTGCTTACTAGATGGCAACTCTTATAATGTGAAAGTAAACTCCAAAGCTGCAGTTAGCGGTACTAGCTGCTCACCAGAACACACCACACTGTCAGGCAGCCCCTACCCTTCGGGAAATAAGCCATTGGTGACCGCCAGCCCCAGAAGCTGGTGAAACCAGCTTTAATTGAAACCATTTTAAAGCAGTCTGATTCTCTGCCCTTATTTCTGTCAGATTGCCAGCCTATCCTAGGTGTTAACATGTGAGCCTTCAAGTCAAATGACCCTCGTATGAAAACCAGTTCTGCCACTCACTAGCTCTAGGAACCTAGACAAGTTATCTCACTTCTCAGTGTCCCAATTTCCTCATCTGAAAAGCACGGATGTTGGTGATGATGGTGGTGGTGGTAACAGTGATATTTTGATAATGGTGATGGTGTTAATGATGTTGGTAATGATGATAATTACGATGGTAATAATAGTGATATTATTTTGATAATGGTGATATTATTTTGATAATGGTGATGTTAATGATGGTGGTGGTGGGGATGATGGTGGTGGTAGTGATATTAGAAGTAGTGATAGTGGTGGTGGTAATGTGACCATGACAACCATGATGTTCAAATCGTAGGTTTTTTTAAAAGTATATTTTTTAATCGAAGTATAGTTGATTTACAATGTTGTGTTAGTTTTAGGAGTACAGCAAAATGATTCAGTTATATATATATTCAATTATATATATATTTTTTCAGATTCTTTTCCCATATAGGTTATTACAAAATATTGACTATAGTTCCCTGTGCTATATAGTAGGTCCTTGTTAATTATCTATTTTATATATAGTAGAGTATATCTATTAATTCTATACTACTAATATATCCCTCCTCCCTACCTTTCCCCTGTGTTAACCATAAGTTTGTTTTTCATGTCTGTGAGTCTGTTTCTGTTTTGTAAATAAATTCGTTTGTATCATTTTTTTAGATTCCACATATAAGTGGTATCATATGCTATTTGTCTTTCTCTGACTTCACTTAGTATGATAATCTCTAGGTCCATCCATGTTGCTGCAAATGGCATTATTTCATTTTTCTATGGCTGAGTAATATTCCATTGTATATATGTACCACATCTTCTTTATCCATTCATCTGTCAATGGGCATTTAGGTTGCTTCCATGTCTTGGCTATTGTAAATAGTGCTGCTATGAACATTGGGGTGCGTGTATCTTTTCGAATTATGGTTTTCTCCAGATATACGCCCAGAAGTGGGATTGCTGGATACACCCTCTCCAGCATTTATTATTTGTAGACTTTCTGATGACGGCCATTCCGACTGGTGTGAGGTGATACCTCATTGCAGTTTTGTCAAATCATAGGCTTTTATGGAGATTCAGTGCTTCAAGTCTTTCGACGTGTGATAATACTGTCTGACATGTAGCAAGGGCTAAATGAATTACTTTTAATTTTTACCTGATAAATGATCTTTATTACCGACGATCAGTAGTTTAGACCAGTGCTTCTCAAACTTTACTGTGCATTTTAATCACCTACAGGTTTGTTCAAATGCATGTTGTAATTCAGTGGGTGGGTTGTGAGGCCTCAGGTTCTGCACTTCTAAGCATTCTCAGGTGACTGTCCACGCCACAAGCCAGTGGAGCACACTTTGATTAGCAAGTAATCAGATCCCTTAAAATCCCTTTCTAACAGTGTGGTGTGATGTTCACAGCGGTGGATCTGGAATCCAGAGGCGTGGGATTTGCCAGCTACGACCTGGGTGATCTTGGACATACCATTTTCCTTCTGAACTCTCATCTGTTAAACAAGTGGGCTGGACAGAACGAACTCCTGGGGTCTCTGCAGCTCTTAGATCAGCTAATTGGCACAAGAGCTACTAATGTGTTTTGGGCTGTCCAGAGGGTGAGCGCAAGTCCTATGCTACCTGTCAGTGAGGACTGGCCTGAAGCCCAGGCGCCACGACCTCGGGGAAACTGGACAACTTTCCTCCATGAAAGGGCTGCCCACATGGAGAGTAAGAGTCAGGTGGTCAGAGATCTCCATCAGCCTCTTCTCATCTCCCCTAGGAGACCAGGTTCGTTGATGGAAGAGCCATTCTGCAGTGGGACATCTTTGCCTCCAATGGGATTATTCATGTCATTTCCAGGCCTTTAAAAGCACCTCCCACCCCAGTGGTGAGTATCCAGGGTTCCTGGTGAGGGGCCAGGGGGAACCCCAATGTCCACTCCCCAGGAAGCAAACTACTCCCAGAAGCCCTGTCCACCCCTCCTCCGGATACTGGAGGCGCCTCCCCCATCCACGGCAGCTGGCTTCAGGGATGCCGGGCCCTGTTGCATCCCACCCCCCTCCAGTGCATTAGCAACGTAACACCTGTCACCATCAATATCTATTGAATGAAAAGGGCAGTATGGGCCAATGGAGAAACCACTGGAAAGGGAGTGAAAATCCTGAGCATCTCCACTTCATAACCGTGTGACCTTAGACAAGCCCCAGAACATCACTGAGCCCCATTTTTCTTATCTGCAAAATCGAGGTCATAATGCCTTCCTCCCTGGGTTCTTGGGAGGGCGAGTTAATATAAAATAATGAAGACAGTCCCTGGCACATAGTACATGCTATATAAGAGTTGGTCGGCTGTGGTTGGTTGGTGGTGGTGATGTTAGTATTCTAACTTTGTTCTAAAAGTATGAGGGAGGGGCAAGCACAGCTGGCTGCTGGGAAGTTCCACAGCATAGTGGTTAAGCACATAAGTTCCAAAGCCAGGCTGGCTTCCAAAGCCCACCTCTACCACTCACAGGCTGTGTGATATTGGGCAAGTGCTTACCCGCTCTGTGTCTCCATTCTCCCGTATGAAAGTGGAAACAATAAAAATTGTTCTTATCTCTTTGTGTTATTATACATTTAAATGGATTATTTTGTGTAAGGGGGCTTAGAACAGACCCTGGAAATAGTAAGGGCTAGATACATGTTAACAATTTTATCATTATTTTTATCCCAACTGGTACCAAGATGCCTCAGGCCAGCCAGAATGGGGTAGGCTCCAGAAAGCACACCTCTTTGGGGAAGTCACAGTTTTGAGTACCAACCGCTCCCCTTTCTGTGTTCAGACTTCAAGCCACGCTGGCTTGGGAACGGGGATGTTCTTTGCCATCATCCTGGTCATTGGAGCCATCGCTTTGGCTGCATATTCTTACTTTCGATTAAACCGGAGAACAATTGGCTTTCAGCATTTTGAGGTAAGACGGAGAAAAACGGGAACAAGGGCACGGGGGTCCTCTCTGAAACCCAGCCCCTGGCTCTGGGCTGCTTCAGAGAGCTCACCGGCAGCTGGGCGCCTGGCACACACTCCCCGTCTCCTGGGTGGGGGGGCCTCTGCCCCTAAGAGAGCAGCAGTGGCAGCTCCAAGGCCCTCTTCCTGGCCAAGACAGGATACGGAGGAGGGTGATGGGCTGCCAATGGCCCTTTGTGCCAGGGGTCTGGCTTGGAGGCAAATTCAGCAGGGGCCCAGGAGGCCACTCACCTTGGAGGATTCACAAGACAGGCACCCACCAGGATTGATCTGAGCTTCAAGGCTGACTCTGAGGGTGGGGACAGGGTAGGGACCTACACAGCCAGAGGCCTCACGCCACAACCAGGGAAACACACTGGCCCTCTTTGAACTGTTGAGCCCACATCCAGGTCAGTGGGTCTTGGCTGATGGTGGGGTGACCCTGGGGAGACACTGGGGACCAGGTTTACCAGCAGCCCCGAAGCAGTAGGTCACGTCCTCCTGGCAGATAACCTGTGTATTTATCGGCACCATGTACATGGTTTATAAAACATCACATCTAGCAAAAGGGCACGTGCCGTATGATTCCTTATATGCTAAGTTCAAGGACGGGCAAAACCACTCCAGGTGACAGGAGTCAGAATAGCAGTTACCCTGGGTGGGACCGGATATTGGTGGGCGAGGGGCATGAGGGCACCTCCTGGGGGGGGATGGAGATGCCCTATATGCTGACTTGGGTGGTGGTCATACCTGGGGGGACGTATTAAGAAGTCATTAAGCTGAACATTTAAGATTGGTGCATGATATTATATGTAAGTCAGATCTCAATAAAAGGAAAAGGAAAAAGCTCCCGGAGGTGGGTGGGGGGTGGCTTGCTTTACCCCCCAATTTTGATGATACACTCCTGCCTCGGGGACTTGGTGGTGCTCAGCCCTGTGCTTGTCTTTCCGAGCAGTCGGAAGAGGATATCGACGTGGCAGCTCTCGGCAAGCAGCAGCCCGAGAATATCTCGAACCCCATGTACGAGAACACAGCCTCAGCAACCCCAGAACCTTCCTACGACCCCTTCATGGTGAGTGTGTGTTTTTATCTAGGAACAGGTTCAGCTGGGGTGCAGGGGAACGATGTCTTTCAGCACATCTCAGTGGAAAGCTCTGCACCAAGAAATCTCACTACTAGAACGTGTCTCCCGGCAACAAGCCTAAAATCGAGTGTTGTGAGCTGGGTGAAGCCAGGTAGTTGTGTAGCATTCTGAGCTCTCTTGGGTGGACGGCAGAGGCGTCCAACAGTTAGAGGCAGGGGAGAACTAGGGGTTGCCCAACCCCTACCTCGTGACCAGGTGAGAGGTCACAAGGAGAAGAAATCCTGGGCCAAATTCTGCCACAAACATTGATGAGGCAGCAGGCGCAAAGTTAAGACATAAAACTGCTTCAACATTTACAATGTTGTCCAGGATTCTTTTGCCTGTTGTCAGAGCTGTGGCTTGCTTTAGGAGCTACGTTTCTTTGATAAGGTCTTTTATATCTAGGGGAGCATATTCTGCTCTGGTCTTCCAGGAAAGGACCACTTGTTTCTAGAGTTAGTGACGCTTGAGCTTAGACGGAGCCTCCACTGACGTTAACCCCATGGCAGGGCACCCCATTCACACTGAATGTGGAAGATACCGCCCTGCCTGTAATTTATTACCAGGTCTGGACTGAGAAGCTAGGAGGGAGATAAGAGAAAATGTATATTGGTCTCTGCCCCAGAGCTCATAAACCCTTGTAATTTCCTAAGTGATAAGAACACTAGGGGCATCTTCTGTTCTGATGAGGATCTTCTGGGTGGGCTCCTGGATGGGGGCTGGTCACCAGAAAGACAAGCCATGATTAGAAGGTTGGAATTCTCAGCCCCACCCTTCACCCTTAAAAGAGGAGAGAGGGGCTAGTAACAGAGCTAATAATCAATCATACCCATGTGAGGAAGCCTCCAAAAAATCCCTTTGTGTGTGTGTGTGTGTGTATCTATTGCAGATTTTTGGTTTGTGGTTACCATGAGGTTTTGATACAGCAGTCTATATATAAACAAGCTTGTTTTAAGTTGCTGGTCTTTTAATTTAAATGCATTTCCCGTATCCTGCATTTGCACTCTCCTCTCCTCAGAATTGCTGGTTTTGATCATCGTATTTGTATGCAGATGGTTTCCTACCTTTACTGTATGTTTGCCTTTACCGGTGAGCTTTTCCATTTATAATTTTCTTGTTTCTAGTTGTGGCCTTTTCTTTTCCATTTAGAGAAGTTCCTTTAGCATTTGTTGCAAAGCTGGTCTGGTGGTGCTGAATACTCTTAGCTTTTGCCTGTCTGTAAAGCTTTTGATTTCTCCATCGAATCTGAATGAGATCCTCGCTGGGTAGAGTAATCTTGGTTGTAGGTTCTTCCCTTTCAACGCTTTAAATATATCATGCCACTCCCTTCTGGCCTGAAGAGTTTCTGCTGAGAAATCAGCTGATAACCTTATGGGGATTCCCTTGTATGTTATTTGTTGCTTTTCCCTTGTTGCTTTTAATATTTTTTCTTTGTCTTTAATTTTTGTCAATTTGATTACTATGTGTCTCGGCATGTTCCTCCTTGGGTTTATCCTGTATGGGACTCTCTGCACTTCCTGGACTTGGGTGACTGTTTCCTTTCCCATGTTAGGGAATTTTTCAGCTATTATCTCTTCCAATATTTTCTCAGGTCCCTTCTCTCTCTCTTCTTCTTCTGGGACCCCATAATGCAAATGTTGGTGCATTTAATGTTGTCCCAGAGGTCTCTTAGGCTGTCCTCATTTCTTTTCATTCTTTTTTCTTTATTCTGTTCTGCGGCAGTGAATTCCACCATTCTGTCTTCCAGGTCACTTATCCGTTCTTCTACCTCAGTTATTCTATTGATTCCTCCTAGTGTATATTTCATTGCAGTTATTGTATTGTTCATCTCTGTTTGTTTGTTCTTTAGTTCTTCTAGGTCCTTGTTAAACATTTCTTGTATCTTCTCAATCTGTGCCTCCATTCTTTTTCTGAGATCTTGGATCATCTTTACTATTATTATTCTGAATTCTTTTTCAGGTAGATTGCCTCTCTCCACTTAATTGTTCTTCTGGGGTTTTATCTTGTTCCTTCATCTGGGACATATTCCTCTGCTGTCTCATTTTGTCTTACTTTGGGTGATTGCTGTTTCCATTCCGCAGGCTGCAAGGTTGTAGTTCTTCTTGCTTCTGCTGTCTGCCCCTGGTGGGCGAGGCTGTGCAGGCTTCCTGGTCGGAGGGACTGGTTCCTGCCTACTGGTGGGTGGAGCTGGGTCTTTCCCACTGGTGGCCGCGGCCATGTCAGAGGGTGTGTTTACCAGGCAGCTGTGCACTCAGGAAGGCTTTAAGCAGGCTGTCTGCTAATGGGTGGGGCTGTATTCCCACCCTCTGGGTTGTCGGGCCAGAGGCATCCCAGCACTGGAGCTTACAGGCTGTTGGGTGGCACCACGTCTTGGTTGAGAAAATGGCGGCCTCCAAGAGGGCTCCCACCAGTGAATACTCCCTAGAACTAGCACTGCCAGTATCTTGTCCCCGCAGTGAGCCACAGCCGCCTCCCACCTCCTCAGGAGACCCTCCAACACCAGAAGGTAGGTCTGGCCCAGGCTCCTATGAGGTCACAGCTTTTTCCTCTGGGTCCTGTGTGCACCCTCCAAGCGTGGAGTTTGTTTCCCCCAGTCCTGTGGAATTCCTGCGATCAAACCCTGCAGGGCTTCAAAGCCAGTTTCTCTGGGGGCTCCTCCTCCCGTTGCCAGACCCCCAGGCTGGGGAGCCTGATGTGGGGCTCAGAACTTTCACTCCTATGAGAGAACCTCTGCTATATAATTATATTCCAGTTTGTGGTTCACCCACCCAGCAGGTATGGGATTTGATTTTATCGCAATTGTGCCCCTCCTACCGTCTCACTGTGGCTTCTTCTTTGTCTTTGGACGTAGGATATCTTTTTTGGTAGGTTCCAGTGTTTTTTTTGTCAATGGTTGTTCAGCAGTTAGTTGCGATTTTGGTGTTTTCATAAGAAAAGGTGAGCTCACATCCTTCTACTCCCATCATCATCCATAAAGTCCCAGTAGTAGGGGATTCAGAGAGCTTACACGGGGGTGAACACATCCACTTTGGGAGGGTGACGCACCCCAACTCCACAGGGCAGGAGCTGTATTGAATTTCTGTAAGTTGGCACTGAAACATTACAGTACTTTATTGCACCATTGTAAGCGTGTAGAGTGCAACATTTGTTACTATTTTTCTGCAGTGAACCAAATGCAAATATCCCATGGTTCTTAGTGCCTGTGGTAGATTTAATATGTCTGCAATATTGAAAAATAACCAGATCATAAATCCTGTTTTTTCAATCAAACCCATGTAAAAGTTTCCAGTCCAAATTGCAAGGGCAAGTTCAGCTAAACTGCATCTACTAATAGACTATTTCTGTAAGCCTTGTGATATTGAAATCAACCTCATTTTAAAAGCAAGGGGGAAAAATTACACATCCTGTTCAATGCTCTCCATGAGCCCCGTGCATGAAAGACTCGCCGGAGGCAGGTGAGAGAGTATCCCAGATGCAGGGTTCAGCTCAACCCTTCTCATTCAACCAGGTGGCAAAAATGTTCCAGTTATGGGAATCCCAGGCTGAGGATACCAGCCCCAAGTGTGCTTGATTCTCATGCCCTTTATACTGAGGGAGCGGGCATTGCCTATAGACTATCTGGAGTCAATCTAGACAGCATGAACGTCCATGATGCGAATTAACAAAACTTCAGTGCTGCTCAGAGCCACAGACAGCAGGCGGTTCAGAGTGGCTGCCTCTGGACTGTGCCTTCTGATTAGACCCTAGTTCAGGATGAATTTTCAACTGGAAAGGTTTTTTTGGTAATCAGAGTAACAGCCACCTTTTGTGGGGTGCTTTTTTAATCTTCCTTAATGTAGTATCTAATTTAATCCTCACACCTCCCTGTCAGGTAAATACTACTAGGATTCTTTATAGATGAGGAAACTACAGCACAGTGCAAATGATCTGTCCGGGGCCACACACCTTCAAACAGCAGAGACTGCACCCGGAACGGGGCCCTAACCTCCATGCCGTGAGCCGTGGGACAGCAGTGTGAAGCCGTGCTCGCTCCCAACACGTGTGTCCACGGGGCACCGAGGGAAGAATCATGTTTTAGGCTGTAGGGGAGGAAGAAGTTTTCCTTGACCCTCCTAAGATCCCTAGCTGGGCCTGAAAAGTAAACTGATAAAGACAGACTCACAGGACAAAAGCATGTACATTTTTTTGAATGCTTACCTGTATGTGGGAGCCTTCAGGAGAAAACAAAGACCCAAAGGAGGGACCAGAAGAGGAAGCTTTTGTACCTTTTAGACAACAGATGATGTGTGAGGAATTGACAAGGGAAAGAGGTTTGGCACTAGGGGTAGTGAATGGTGAAGTCACTAGGAAGATAAGGGTTAATGAACAAGGTTTGTTTATACAGATTTTAGTCCCCTGATTCCCCATCTGTGGCGGTGTCTTCTTTCCTCCTGGTACAGGGAGGGCATCTTTCACGTGGGAATTCTGTTACCTGTTTCAGGAAAGAAAGGCAAGGGGGTAGGGCAGGGGCGTCGGAGTGACCTTCCTGCTTCTGCCATTTTTAAAAAATTCCTTCAGTTCAAGACATTTAATGTGCCAAGGTGCTTTGTTTGGGGGTGGCGTGTCCTGAACCCCATCAAGGCCTCAGACCAGTAGCCCTAAGAATGCTCGACCCGGAAGGATTCACAGACAGAAGGCCTGTACCCTCTGCGTGGCTCACAGACCTCTCATTTCCAGGACCCTGAAGACCAGCAGCTGGACAGCATTGACCCCCTGGGGGCACTGTGAGGGCCGGACCTGCCCCAGCCAGACATCACCCGCCACCGCCTGGGCCCCTGACGCTGCCTCAGAAAGGCCGTCAACTGTGAATCCTCAGCCCCAGTTGCCGGTGGGAAAAGTAAGGTCCTTTAACATTTCAGAGTATGAAACACTCAAGCCGTACCTCATCTCTTTGGTTGATCTGGGGGATTATTCTGTTTCTGTGGGTGAGGGACCATGTTAAATCCACCCACCAACCCACGGAGACTGCTCCCTCCCTGACTCTCTTCTGTCCTTCCCGTGTACCTTTAGTGACCAACACTCCAGTGACCTTGTCTTATTTCCCTATTAGACTGTAAGTTCCCAAAGGCAGGGACCTCCCTATTCGTCTTTATGTCTCAGCACCCAGCACAGTGTCTGGCACGTGAAATGTGCTGACGTATTGGTTACAGAATAGAAATAAAGTCAATGGAACAGATCCAGTGTTTTGGGAAACAAAACGACTGTTCGCCATAGGAGGGGTCAAACTTTGAAGGTACAGCCAACTTGTTTGGGCTTCTTAGGGCCTTTTCAATTAGCCACCATCTGCCTTAGGAACGCTTCTTTCTTAACTCTGTTTTGTTTGCTTGTGTGAAGAAGACATGAGAACCACACTGAGATACCACTTCACACCCACTAGGATGGCCATCCTCAAAACCACGGACAATAGCAAGTATTGGCAAGGATGTGGAGAAACTGGATCCCTCCTAATTTGCTGGTGGGAGTGTAAAATGGTGCCCCCGCTGTGCAAGACAGTTTGGCGGCTCCTCAAAAAGTTAAACACAGAATTACCGTGTGATCCAGAAACTCCACTCCTAGGTACAGACCCAAGAGAAGTGAAAACATGTCCACACAACAAATTACAGAGGTAGGTACATAGCAGCATTATTCATAACAGCCAAAACGTGGAAACAACCCAAATGTCTACCAACTCATGAATGGATAACCCGTGTGTCTAGCCACACCATGAAATAGCATTTCACCCTAAAAGGGAACTAAGTACTGATACATGCAACACCACGGATGAACCTTGAAAACATGATGCTCAGTGAAAGAAACCAGACACGAAAGACCACATGCCGTATGAGTCTATCTACATGGAAATGTCCAGAATCGGCAAATTCATAGAAAGGTGAGTGAGTGGTGAGGACCCCAACACTGAACTGGGGTAACTGCTAAGAGGTACGGGGTTTCTTCTGGGGGTATGAAAACGTTCTGGAATTTTACACAAGTGATGTGTAGGCTCAGGCCAGTTCTGCACCGTGCAGGACTCTGCAAGGCAGGATGTCCACCACACCCTCAAAAGGCCCAAAGTGGCCTCGCCATCACTGTGCCAACCGGGCACCCTCCAGCCCACCCACCACCCATTTCCAAGCTGTCCCTGGAGGTAGCACTGGCCATGCTCAGGAGCCAGTGCTGGGGATGGAGAAGCCCTGCTCTGGGCTGAGCAGACCTCAGACTCTCCTCTCCATCGCCCTTGCAACCCAAACGACTTTGTTCCACATCATCAGGGTTTTTGCTGAGCCAAGTCCAAAGTCCAGAAGCCCCAGGGTCTCAGAAGCTTTCTCACAACTCTAGGAAAGGGAAGAAGACGCCCCCGTGGCAGGCACAGGAACAACTCACCACCTCCTCTCGGACAACGTGCCGTGATGAGGGCAACGCCAGGTTTCCAGAAACTCACTCTCCACAGGCACGTGGGACCGATTCACTAGTGACTCCACCAACTCCACCATCAGAGGGACAGAAAGGCACGTGATTAAGACGAGAAACAGCAGGTATCCGTGGGAGGAGTGCATGAGATGAAGTTCCTGGCACAACGAGAGGTCAAGGACATTAAGGTGAAACACACACACAATTCAGGTTTTTTAGAAGGCTCTTCAAAATATAAATTTACCCAAAACCCAGCAGTGAACTGACTTCACAGCGCGCGCTCCCAATTCAGTATTATGCAGTATTTTCTTCCCTTAAAAACACTGCTTCCAATTTCCAGCTTCCCTGGTAATTTGACTGCAGACAAACAGGTGGCTCACTGTCATCTCCTTGTTCTCAAGGAGGGAACAGTCTGTGAGAGACAGAAATTCCAGGTGACTTACCTGCTGCCCACCTAAGGCCAAACGCATACCAATTTTCCTTCCGTGGCTTAATTACATGGTCCTCGAGCTCTGAAAACAAGCAAGTGTGCTTTGCTGGGGGTGGGAGAACAAGGGTGGTGAGAAATGAACCATAAATCTTTCACCCTTGCTCTCAGGGATACTCTTTTTGGGGTACATTAGAATGTGATACAGCTTTGCCACTGACTGAAGCACACAAAACAGATGACTTAGAATAAACTGGACAATACAATTCAAACTTTTATTTGGCAACAAGTTCAAAGTCATGTAACATAAAATCAACATTTAGAATAAATAGCAAATTCACATTCAGAATAAACAGTAAGTCTATCTAATTTGCATTCATTGTGCCTGAAATTAATTAAACAGGCACAATCTGTCATTCTACTAAAAAAACAGTTTCCTAAGTCAGAGTTCAAGCCTGCAGTATAGAAAAGTACAGAGCACTGCTGTGGGTTGGTTCCTTGGAGAGCAGATACTGAGATGGGGACTGTCCTTGGGATCAACACCCGGGAAGGGGAGAGGGGATGGGAAGGGAGCTGGGCTGCAGTGCAGACAGAGAGGCCTCAGCTGTGTGCCCTCCCCCCAGCTCTGGAGCTGAAAGGCCTTCAGAGTTGCTCCAGGGAGGGAGCTTGACCACATCCGCATCCGAGGCAGGGCTTTTCAGCAGGGGAAGCTCCCAAGGAGGACTGACGGCTGCGGACGGTAAGCCAGCAGCACACCCAGCAGTTGCGGGGATTAAGTCCTTCGGTCCTGAAGGGTCTTCTGGGCATCCGAGCCCATCACACGCTACTAGCACAATCACAGATGAGGGCAATGAGAGGTATATTCAATGAATGCCGAGTCTGGCAGCTCAATTACACAACGACAATCGTGCCGTGTGCTGGAAACACAGTATTTTGCCACTGGCCATAAAAGTAAATATGCCCAGAGAGTAGCTCGTAGGGGAACATGGCGCACTTACCTACAGAACTTTCTACTGGCTGCACCCAACTGTGGGCTGCTTCATCCGCGTGCTTTCAGCAAGGTCATCTCGCCATTGCCACCAACACGATCCATCAGAGCAGGGCTCGGCAGACCATGGCCCAAAGGCCAAATCCAGCCTGCAGCCTGTTTTCATAAGCCACGCTGTACTGGACCACAGGCAGGCCCAGTCCTAGAGAGGGGCCGCAGAAAATGGCCCGCAAAGCTGAAAGTATTTACTGCCTGGCCCTTTACAGGAAAAGTTTGCTGAACCTTGCATTAGGGAAACTTCACTTCCTTTCTTTTCCTCAATCCACTAGGGTATTAAAGGTTAGCTGAACTTGGAGCCAAGCTCCCATATGCTAACGCAGAGAACTGGTACAAAAGGAAATCAATACTAAGAGGGCAGATCATCGGTTGGCTCCCTAGTAGTTGAAGAGAGCAATCAAGGAACCCTGCCTCTGGCCAAATTTAGTCTGAGAGCACATTCGAGACAAGGGCTCCCGAGTGCGTGCAGCAGGTGAGCATTCGGCTGAGTGGAATCCAGTTCCAGTATTTAGCACACACTCTACCGCTTTAGAGGCCTTTGGGGACAAAAAGAGAGGGAACGCTATTTAGGTCACCCAAAGCTAAATTAGCTAGGAAGAAAGATTACTTTTCATTTCTCCTTTGCACTAATTAAGAGGTCCAATGCCTTCAAAGCGACTAGGAATTTAGTCTGAGATGTGCCTGAATCAGTAACATGTGGTTTATGTTGGATGGCATTAACGGAGCTGAAGAGAATTTTTGAAAGGGGGAAAAAAAAAAAAGAGGCCATGTTAGGAGGAAAGTGGGAGCTCTAAGACAAACTCCTAAAATATATTAAAAGCCAGGTTTCATCTATTAAAAACAACTCTGGAAAAACGAGTTGTGCAGGTTCCTTCCAGGGCAACCAGCTACAGGGACGTGAGCCTTGGGGGGCAAGGACTGCCCCTGGACTGTGAATTTTTGCTCACATCATTCAGAGAAAATCAGTCTAACTGATGCTAAAAACAGAAAATATTTTTTTAATGTGCAAACTAATTTTATTCCGTTCACTTTCCAAACTGATGTTTTAAGTGGTAGAAAATAGACTCCCTTCCCTTGTACCCACATGCCTTCGTAAGTGCGCGCACCAGAGGACAAACCGGGAAGAACAAAATGCAGTGCGTCGTGCTGAAAACCAGCTGAGTCACAACAGTGACAAGTTAAGACTGAGCACAGACAAGAATGCCTCTGTCCTGGCCCCAGCGCGGGTTCACATCTGCCAGGCGCATGCTCAGTTGGGCCCTGCGCAGAGAGATCTCAATACCGCCACGTACCATGGCCCACAGACCGAAACCTTAATTGGTAAAAAGTCGTAAAACTCATTATTCACACCCAGAAAATCTATTTCTTCCCCCCAGGCTTGGGTCACCTAACCTAGATGTACATGAAAGCAGGTTGTAAGAATAGTTGTACTGCATTCTTGAGTAAACAAGACACCCTATCACTGGCACCTAGGAGATATCTAATGAATACCTGATAAAAACTAAGAAAATGTTTTAAAATAATACCTACTTCCTCACTCAGCTTCTCCAAAGCAGAAACTAGCAGCCCAAAGCACCAGTGTATCCTCTGAGGACCCCAACACTGAACATTTCTGGGCACCACCTGCACCCCCGAAACGCCAGTCTTCCAATGCACTCGGATGCGTAAAACCCCTGAGCGCTAACAAACAGCAAACAAAACGCCTCCTGCTGTCTGAAAAAGGAATGGACTCTACTGCATTTCAAATAAAATTTAGAAGGAAAAAACGGGGGCTAATTGGGCCTATTGGGTCTAGAGAATCACCTTCACTATTTTAGTTAAATACAAGAAAATATCACAAGCACACTCCCATTATAACAAGCAGCATTACAATGCGTGCTGTGGGACTCATCTAATTTCCACACTGGGGCAGGTATCCTGTGGAAGGCCAAGCGAGCATTTCATCAACAACTGGCTCCATACACGAATCCATTAAAAACGCTGAATACGCGAGCCCTCTCTCCACAAGCTCCCTTCCTCCTGTACCTGCATCCTTTAGGTTTAAGGATGCGTGTCCCTTGCCTTGTCCTCAGAAGGAAATGGGAACACTCAGCCAGCTAGGTCATTTCCAACTCTGTTTCTCTTAGCTTCAGCGTCCTTTATCCTCGCCCACCTTTAACACAGACACCTAAAGAAAACCACCCAAACTCCCCAAACATACAAACATGGCAGGAAAGCAATCTAAGAGGAGGAGAGGGTGGAAGATGGCTAAGAGGAGAGGGCCACCTCCCTCCCCTCCTGCTAGATTCAAGCCCCTCTCCTCGGCTGACAAGTCAGGAGAGACAGGCATCTGCTCGTTTCCCTCCAACAAGGACGGTTTCTGGTAATACACGTTAATAAGACTGCAACACAGCCAGTAGGGGTCACGGCGTGGCTCTTCATTACAAGGACATTTTTTTTGTTTCATTTTCCATCCTCCAACGATCACATTCAAGCAATATACAGGTAGCAGTTTCAGCTAAAATAAATTCCTTGTAGACCCAACACAAATGCACTGGCATTTGTCTTCTGACCTGTTTATTTCTCACAGCCTCCTTCTACAAAGTCTGTTCTGCTGGCTGGAAATTTAACCAGAAGCTCTTCTCTCTTTGCCCACCTCTTCTGGGGAAAAGAGTGAACCTGCCCATCACTTGGGGCACAATGGTCCTTCCCCAGCAGGGGGCAGGACACGGGACACGGATACTGAGGACAATCAAGGCCAAGGACTTGCAACTCCCCTTGTTCTTTCTCACGAAAGACTTCCAGAGAGGCTGAGTCTGCTTTCAAGTGAGGCACCAGAGTGCCAAAGCCCTAGTACCAGAAGATATCTGGGAACTGGCTGCCGTCTGGGGACCAGCTCTGCCACTGACACAGTGGTATGCTATCGCAGCGCTCGCTCAAGCACCAGCTTTCTGTGAGCAGTTCACCGGTGCACACCACTGGGCCCCTGCACTGCCTGTGAATGTTCACTTTTTCCATGCGTTTTGCATGGAAGAATCAAGAGTTTCAAAACGTCACCTGCTGGAATCCAGAGATGGTATCAAGAAGCCTCCCCGTCCCAGAAAATCTGACGCCGGTCGCGGTACCTTAGTAAACAAGAAGGGCGATCACAGGGTGTTGACAGGAAGCCAGCCGCTGTCCCCACATGTACAGGAAGGCAGTCCCTCTGGGCTGCGAGCTCCTGTCTTCACGAGCTGGGGGGTATCCTCCGTAATGTACAAAATAGGTATCACAAGGCATGTCCGTAAGCACAGTCACGTCCATGCAAAGTCTGCCCGGTGCGGGGCCGCCGCCGGTCCTGGCTTTTCGCGCCCAGGGTGCCTGGGCCGCTGGCTACTTGACCTGGGCCTCCTGCAGGAGCGGCAGCCTGGTGGCCGGGGGCCTGTCAGACCAGGCAGGAAGCTCGTGCTGCAGCGGGGTTCTCCGGGGGTAGAACGTGTGGCTGACATCATAGCTCAGGAGGCAGCTCAGGGACGCCATGTAGATGTCGGCAAACCGCGACAGGCGCCGCAGGAAGTACGTGGGGTTCTGGTCTGTGCGGAACAAGCTTCCGAACTGGGTGTTGAAGGAACCTTTGGTCATTTCTCTGAAGAGGCAAGAGACAGTGATTCCCAAAAGGTCTGCTTTTAGCTACCGAAATCGAATAAAATCAAAATCACTGTTTCCCAAAGAACAGACACATGTATACGTATAACTGAATCACTCTGCTGTACACCTGAAACCAACACAACATTGTTAATCAACTCTACCCCAATGTAAAATAAAAAGTTTAAAATAAATAAATAAGCTACAAGGATATATTGCACAGCACGGGAAATATAGCTAATATTTTATAATAACTATAAATGGAGTACAATCTATAAAAAATGTGAATCCCTATGTTGTATACCTGAAACTGATGTAATATTGTACATCAACCATACGTCAATAAAAAGATTTTTTTTTTTAAATCACTCTTTCACACGTACAGGACTCAAATTAGCCTAGAGCAGCTCCGATTTCTAATCGAGAAAACAGTCTGTCCATTCATCCATCAACTGGCTCTGATCACATTCCCCACTTAGGCCAGCCAGAGAGAACACTGCCGAAGGCTCCAGCGGCAACGCGTGAGCCTCTAAACCTGCACACCCCATTTCCCAAACAAAAACAGAGGGTGCGGGAGCTGCTTCTGAAGGTCCACAGAGATGCAGAATGTTCTCAGAGTCTCCAAACTTCCTTTGTCTACGGAATGGGACAAAGGCCCCCTTTTCATCAGGTTATATTGAGAACTAAGTAAGGAAAGAGAAATAAAAGCATATCATAAACTCAAAAGTACTTTATGTCTGAGAGATTAAGGATTATTTTATAGTGATGTAAACACATCTCTACCATCCATTACAGAGCTTCAAGCACCTCCTTAAAGCCTGGATTACAGGCATCTTGCAAGACTGGTCACCCTACCCCAGGCTCTAAGCCCCTGCAGGTGTGCAGACACGTGTCTGTGTGTAAAACAACACCCCGTCACACATACGTGGGATATGCACACCATCCAATCCAATGGCCAGGACCCCTACACACAGACTGTTCCAGCAAACTGGATAAATGCCATTTGACTGTTAAAAAATCAGTTATAAACACAGCAAAAAACATAATCCTTTACACAACTGTGTGATAAAAGCCACTAGTTGGTAGAGGCCTTCCTTCGTCACATGGTGACAGCAGATGCTACAACAATAAAGAAGAAAATTGAAAGACCTCAATTAGGTCTGCAGGTGGAGCAACATAAATGGTTTTTATACTTTCACTGAAAAATCTCATTGAGATGTGAGGTTGTTAGAGATGCGAATTCAAAACAAAATCTCTGCTGGGTGAAACGATTCTTTTCTTTAATAATTTGAGGTCCCTGGAGTGTAGGACTCAGGTCTGGCCTTGAGGGGCAAGGGTCCCAGAGTCAAATGACATTATATGTCCATCACCCTCTCACCCAACATTTTAGACCAATAATCACGTTGGAATAAGCCCCCAACAGCCAGCACGCTGAGAGGGAAGAGGAAGGATTGATTCAATACAGCCGTGGCTTCTGCTGCCCAGAGGGATGGACTCTGCCCCTCTCCACGCACACCACAGCGCCCCCCAGGCTGCCCACTGCTCAGAGGCCAGAACCCAGGAAGTGAGCACTACTAACAAACCTTAGGGACAGCTGTGCCCGGGAGGGGGGTGTGGAGGGAACCACAAGAGCAGAAATGGTCACATCAACAGTGTTTACATGCACAGCATCCATCCTCTTCTACAGGAAAGCACAACTGTCCACAGGGTCTCTTAAGAATAATCGTTCCCTTAAAATCAACCTAAATGTCCATTGACAGATGAATGGATGAAGAAGATGTGGTACATATGTACAGTGGAGTATTACTCAGCCATAAAAAAAGAATGAAATAATGCCATCTGTGGCAACATGGATGCAACTAGAGATTATCATACTAAGTGAAGTAGGTCAGACAGAGAAAGACAAATATTATATGGTATCACTTATATGTGGAATCTAAAAAGATAATACAAATGAACTTATTTACAAAACTGAAACAGACTCACAGACAGAGAAAACAAGCGAAAAGGAGAGGGGAGGGGATAAATTAGGAGTGTGGGGTTAATGGATACACACTACTATATATAAAACATATAAACAACAAGGATGGAGAGCACATGTAGAGCACATGGGACTATATTCAGTATCTTGTAATAACCTATAATGGAAAAGAATCTGAAGCTGTACACCTGAAGACTAACACAATACTGTAAATCAACAAGTTTAATAATAAAAAAAAAAAATCAAGAATAACTGTTCCCTTAAGACACACACCCACCAAACTTTTCTGACAGCAGATGGGTTTTCTTCACCAATAGACATCATGATACTGAGTGACTGCACATTCCTAAAACAGCAGTGTTACAAATAAGCACCAGGGTTGTAGAAGCCCCAAGAATTAATTGTGGCTCGGTGGCTACTGTCCCACTAGCCACGCTGGGCCACCGGCATTGCCGACAACTGGACCAATGGCTGCCCAAACGGGGAAGTTAAGTGGGCTGGAAGGAGGGATGGATGGGAGGAGGGATGGACAGACAACAAACTTGAGGGCAGGCAGCAGGTGTGAGGGAGCTCACTGCTGCCTCGAGGAAATGTCACTCATCACTAATGGCAGCTGGCTCGTTCTGGATGCTGGGGGGTCACAGTCACCCCTGGCAGCTGAGAAAGACTGTTTCGAAGCCTGCTTCAGGCAGGCCTTGCGCCAGGCATGTGGGCTGAGTGAGCGTGGCCAGGGTGGGGGATTTACTCTATTCAAAACAGGCCCCTCTTACCTCATCTCCTTCCTCTCCTTTTTCCACTCCTGCAAAACCAGCTGTGACTCCGCATCTCTGTGAACCTGCAGGACACAAGCCAGTTATTGAGAAGGTTCTGGGTATGAATAAACCTATTAGGTCATGAGAATTTTCTAATGGGCAGCTCTTCTGGGAGGAATTTTATTCAGGTCTAAGAGACAGGCACCTGCAGGACAAAATACACGTTCAGACTTCCCAGCTGCCGCCTGCCCTTCTCCACCAAGTGCACGGGGCGTATTATGATGCCATTAAGCAAGGCTCCCATCAAACTAGAGATATTAAAGTATTATTAAAGGCTTTGTATAAGCACAATGCATATGCATCCACATAAAATATACGTGTATTATACGTGCGTAACGTATCCATTACACACGGATTATCCATTACACACATAAACATATACTTAATACAGGCTACCTAATACACATTTATATATATCATAAATATACGTATTATACACACACACAAACGGCAGTTAAGTGGAAATAGCAGGTGTAACAGTACATCCACAAGTTACAAGCATGTAAAAAACATGTGCCTATATTTGGAAATTAACAGGGAAATTTTTCTTTAATTTGTGCAAGGGTAGTTGAATTATAATTGGCTTTAATCTTTTTCCTTAATATTATCTTTTAAAGTGTTTAAGGAAAAAAAAAATTGTTTTTATAAAAGGCAAGAAGGCAGAGCACCTCACCCAGACAGAGAAGCAGAGAATTTTCTGGGTGGGCTGAAATGTGAGCAAAAGGCAAAAAGAAAATGACAACCGTACACACCCTAACACACGGATTCTCACAAGTGTCCCTCCAAGGCTCCTGAGGCTGAACGGGAACCCTCGAGCGCAGCCAGAGGTGCACGTGACCACAGGGGCCAGATGGGGCTCCCTGGAGTCCATGGTCACAGGGGCAGCCTCAGGACCCGGAGGAAAACACCGAACACGCAAACCATCTGCTTCTGACGTGGCAGCCAAGGCCCTTCTGTTTATCACGTATGCCCGGGTCAACAGCTTGACTAAGTCGCCTGCTACAGGCCTCTGCCACTCAGACAAAACCCTGAGCTTGTCATCTGGACTTCCGGCCCAGCACCGCTGCCCACACCAGCCGGAAGCAGCCGCCACTGAATGACCACTGGCCGTGTGTTACTGGAGCACCTCTGGTCCAGCACATCTGGAGGTGTTGAGGTAGGTCCTACGAGTGTGGTTTCAATCAGCGCTCACATTTTAGATCAACAAATTACTCACTATAGAACTCAGGCACTACAAAGCATGAGACTAGGTCAAAACTCTGTAGGGTGCCACAAGGAATTTATTTATATAGATAGATACATGCAGATATACACACACATGCACACATTCATATACACACTTGTACACAGATATACACGTACACACACGTGTCCATATACATATTCAGCACTGACTATGTGGCAAGCACTGTGCTATCTACTGAAGATTTAAGAGAGGAAAAGATGGAGCCCTGGCGGGGGGTACACAGATCGGGACAAAACAATGTGACAGCACACAGGATGGGCTATCAGCCTGTGGGCGGGGATTTTCCCTCCCACCTCTGCCCATACACCCCTCTTGGCCCATGAACTGCACTTGTGTCCAGTATGAAGGAGAAGCTTCTCCCGTACTTGCAGGAGGGGAGAATTCTCTGACTAGTGACCAGAAGAAAGATGACCGAAGTGAGTCTACTTGCTCCCTCCTTTTGGAAACTAGCTGCCACAGGCCACGTGAATGCCTCTCTCCACTCTCCACAGACATGAAGAGGCTCCACAGACATGAAGGCTCCACAGACATGAAGAGGCTCCAAGTCCAAGGCACTTTCTCCAGCACAGCTTTTCCAGAATGGGGGGCAGCCAAGGATGACAGATCATCTCCAGCGAAGCCCAAGGTTCCCAGAGGGACATGCTAAGGAGGAACGCCCCAGAGATCTGAGCTAGGAGCATCCCCAGAGGAGAGGGCATATGAGCTCTGGGGGTGTGCACCTTAACCCAGCCTCCCCTTGCACCCTCCCATCCAAGGCCTACCCGCACCCACCTGCCCTTTCTCTAGCATTTATCATCTCTCCCACGTGATCCACCTCCTTGGATTGATCCATCAGCACTGGATCCTTCCCATCAGCGTTTAAACACACCCAAGGCTCTCCCATTAAAAGAAAACAATTTCTCCTGAGCCACACATTTCTCCAGCTCTGATCCCCCTACAAGGCCAAGCTCTGTAAAATAGCAATCTCAGGTGTCTGAAATCTACTTGAAAAGACTTCAAAGACTGGGTATTCATTAGTTATAATTAACCCTTAAGTGATACCATGTACTCAAGGGTGGGTAGTTAGCACGGGAAAAGACTAAGCAGAAGCCCACACCAGAGGCTCATCCTACAGTCAGCTCAGCCATCTTTAGCCTCACTCATTAGTTAGCATACTCAGCCCTTCATGACTTCAATCTACAAAAATGTACTGTACAGGCCGGCCCAGCCCTGTGAGAGCAGGATATCGCAATCTAGCCAGCAGCCTGACAGCCTGTGCCAGGGGAGGCCAAATCCAGCCCAGCACCCACTTTTCTATTGGCCTAATGAGCTTAAGAAAGGATTTTCCTCTTGAAACTGTTGGAAAAAAATCAAAAGAAAAATAATTTCATGATGCGTGAAAATGACATGAAATTCAAATTTCAGTGTCCACCAATACAGTTATAGGGATACAGCTACAACCGGTTGTTTACATACTGCCTAAGGCTGCTTTGGTGCTACAAGCACAGCTGAGTAGCTGCAACAGAGACCGTAGGACCCGCACAGCCTAACACGGTGACTAGCTGGCTCTTTGCAGAAGCCTGTCCACCCTGGGTTAATCGTGGCTCCGAAGTGGTTACCTGGGAAGCCTCTACACTATACACCACGCCATCCACCGGCACTACCACCATGAGCCATACCACTTGAGAGTGCACCTCAAGGCTAGTGAACAAAAATTATTCTTCATAGCTACTTTTTTAAAACCAAAATTTCAACACTGGCATTTAATTCATCAGACTGGGCTCCAAACAACACTGCTGGCTTCCAAAAAAAAAAAAAATCACAGCCAACCTCAGAGGACAAATTTCTCTCCTCAGAAAACAGTCCAGATAACATGCTATGTGTGTACTATCGGAAAAAGGGGAGCTACAGAAACATCTGACACGGGATCACTGGAATAATGTATAGTTTTCCAGGTGAACACAGAGGCAGAGGAGAGAGGAGATAGGGAACAGGGAGAAGTGATGCTCATTTGGATATTGTTCTAATTATCAGCCACCCTCCTCCATGTCCTAGTGAATCCACCCTGACGGAAGTGTTCCAGACACCGAGGTGACACAGCACGGAGATGAGGGCTCTGGGGCCAGACAGCCTGGTCTAAGCCCAGCAAGTTAGTTTCTCCTCTCTGCCTCCGGTTCTTCATCTGTAAAATGGGGGTGATGTCAGTGCCCGCTTCCAAAAGCTGTTGTTGAATGAAATGCCCGTAAAGCCCTTGGAGTCTGGAGCATAGTAAGTCCTTACTTCTATATCGCTTGATTCTGCTGTCACTAACTTTGAGATTCTGGAAAAGTTACTTATCTCTCAGCCTGTTTCCTCACCTGTAAAATGGGGCGGCAGCATGAATGTCAATTCCCTTTTCTTCCTTCCCTAACCCCACGCCTTATACAATTAACTCTATAAATCACAGAAATCTTCCCAGCACTTCCGTTCTCTAAAACACACACTCCTTATTCATCAAACTTTTTATACAGGTCAGAGACAGGAAAACAAGAAATAAATTTGTCCTCAAAGCTAAAATGCAGCGACACCATCTACCTGCAGGCTGCACCTGTGTAGCTGACCAGCTACCTGCGTCACAGAGAGACCGCACCTAAGGCAAGGGGTCTGGCTACACCCAAGAGCTCTAAACCGCACAGCAAAGAAGCACTTCAGTGCAGCGCTTGAAAGCAGGGACTTGGGCACCACGCAGCCTAGGTTCAAGTTCTTGCTCTGTCATTTTATGACCTTTGACATATTACCCAACCTCTCAAACACTCAGTTTCCTTCTTCTAAGGTGGAAAATCGTACACTGGACAGCTGGGACGAGTTATAAGTAATGTCGCAGAGCAAGCATTCAGCACAATGCCCGGCATCTGAAGAGTAGCTATTATTACTGTATGACCTATGCGCAGACTTAAAGCTACGTTAACCCAGAACTGATGCCTTTTATTTTTGGACGGTCACCTCACAGACAAGCACAGGAAGGAAAACAGAACCAGTCCTCATGAGAGATGAGCCAAGGAGCAACGCAGCCAGAGCGCGCTGGAAGCGAGGCCTGGGCGACGTGTGAGGCCCCACGCCCTGCAAGGGTGCACCCTGGAGTGAGGACCTGCCACTCCCCGCAGCCCTGCCCGGGTCTGCTGCCAGCTGGGCCAGGCAAGGCGGCTCCCGGCCCATTTCCAAAGCAGGCCGGCAGGCCGTGGGCACCAGGCCATGGCCAGAGGCCGCAGCCAAGAGAGCAAGCATCCATGCCCCTTAACCTACAGGAGTCGGCACTCACTCACCCCGAGACCGCTGCGGGCCAGGCCAGCTGAACCGGGGGGAAAGCAAGGTGCGTCGTGAGACTGGGGAGGGGTCGCAGCTGCAACACAGGGCAGCTTCCACGGGCCAGGAAATCACTGCTGAAACAACTTTCCTCACTAACTGCCCCAAACTGGCTATGTAACTTACAGAAAGAAAAACACACCACTGAACTCCAGTGCGCCAACCAACTGTAGGTGTTATCTTCAAAATCAGATGGAGGCTGCACACAGGGATCTTGACTCTTGCTTTGGGACTCTTCCCAGTAAGCCGTGGTGCCCAGCCTGAAGTGTTCATTCCATTTTACAGACGGGGAAACGGAGGCCCCGAACGGATAAGTCCCACCGCAGGCTAAAGACAGAAGCAGGACTGGACCCAAACACTGGCGGAGGTTCCTGAGTCCCACTGGTCTCCCGATGGGGCTTTAGTGGGGAAGTAAGGACACCAGATTTCCCACACGGGCCCCACAAAACTTTTCTCCAAATGGCTATGGGAGCCATCTTAAAAATTCTCTTTAGGGAAAATGGCAAGGCTCTTTTAGGGGCAAAATCACCCCAGTGGTTATTCTGCAGGATAATTTATGCCTCATACTTCAGGACCACAATTCAATATAAAAGTACCTGAAAATAACTTTGACCAGTGGACTAACCTCAGCCTTAAAGAAAAAGTAGGAGAGAAAAAAAATCCCAAACCTGCATCTGCTCCAATAACCCAGTCAAGGTCTGTAGCCAGGTCATAGTTTGAATGTACTGCTCCGTGTTCATAATTCTGAGCTCAGATCTTAACTCTGGGATAATTGCACCCGTTCGCCAGCCATGCTTCAGGGTCAAGTCCTGAATGCAAAGATCACAAGAAGTCAACATTAATCTCAACAGAATTTAAACCATTTCATGACCTTTCCCCAACGCAACAGACATTCATTGAATTACGTTTTAATTTGGGAGAGCTAGCAGCTCTCCAGCAGCTTCCGGAACACAGTTCTGGCCAATGCAGCATGCCATGGACTTCTTTCTGCCTCATTGCCCTTGTCTGAGCTGTACTGAGAAAATCCCTCTGCTTTGCATTATTTCTAGGACCTCATACCTGAAGTCACCGTACCGCCAGGAGAAATTGTGTAATGTTAGTTATTAACCAAGCTGAATTCAATGAATTACACTTAATTAAAACAAATTTAGCCTCAGGCTTTGACCATTTCACCCCAAGAAAGTTTCTGTTCCGGAAATAATTGCGGCGGATCACAGACCTCACAGAAACACAGGATCTGGAATCATTAACCATGGTCTATAAAACCACATTTAGGTCAGGGGCAGAAAGAGGGTCAACTGAAATGCTACTGAAGGTCTTCATTCAATTCATCCACAGACCACTGGGGAGCACCCACCGCATGCCAAGCCTCCTGGGTTATGGGGAATCTCAGACTTGGAATGATCACACAATACCAACATATATGATCACGTTTTCATTCCAAATATTGTAATCCCATGATATGACATTAATAAGCCAGAATATCTAAGTTATGTCCTGGAAAATCTAAGATACACAATCACCATAATGCATGGCTGTTAATTTTCTCATTTGACAGTTACTAAATATTACAGTTTGCCAGACCCTGTTCTAGATACTGACAATAAAGTAATGAACAAAACTAACAATTCCCTGCTCTCATGGGAAATAGAGACAAAAAATAAGCAAGTAAATACACAGTGGCAGCTGGTGAGAAATACAGTGGACAAAAATCAAGCAGAATAAGAGGGAAAAGGAGTTACCATTTTATATAGAGTGATTAGGAAGACAAGGCTAATACATCTGAAGGTAAGGAGAGTCAAAGTATGCAAATATGTGGGAGAAGAAAAATTCTGCCTGGAAAAAGAGCAAGTGCAAAGGCTCTGGGGCAAGAACAGGCTGGGAGCAAGGTGTGTTAAGAAACAGCAAGGCAGGTAGCCTAGAGCAGAGTAGGAGAGAGGGCAGAGGCAGGAGGTGCCTTCATAGAGGGAGGCTGGGGAAGGAGAGATCAAGCAGGGCCTTGAGGGCAATTATAGGAAATCAGGCTTTTACTCTGAGGAAGAAAGGGGCGCTTTTAAGGAGAGAGCTTTTAAGGGTTTTAAGGAGAGAAGTGGTATGTGGCTTACTGTTTTGAAAATTCACTCTGCTATTCACCTAAAGCTAGAATCTCTGCTCTGTATGTCCTAAGGATGCCTACCTTCTTCAATGGTTGAATTTCTTTAAACCTTTCAATAGTTCTCTTTCTCCTATATGAGACCCTACATACATCACATTCTTTTAAATATTCCCAGTGATGACAAACTTTTGAAGGTGGATCTTATTTCTGAAAATAGGTAAAAAAATCATTTGGAACATTCCTAAGACTAAAGTACATGATAATAAATTAGTAATAATGAAACTAATTTTCTCCTATGCCTCAAATTGGCTCTCAAATATAATCCAAAAGGGGCATCTAAATGTATTTTGAAAAACGGCAGCAATATTAAAGGATCTACATTCTCAAGAGATTCCTTTGAAGGGTAATGTTCATTGCCCACATAACTTCTGACATGTTAATGAACTGGTCTGATCACTTTAAAACAGTGGTTTTCCAACTTTAGCATGAATCCAACTATATGTTGTCTACAAGACATTTATTTTTGATCTAAGGACACACATAGGTTGAAAGTGAAAAGATTAAAAAAGATATTCCAAGCAAATAGTAACCAAAAGGAAACAGGAGTGGCTATCCTCATATCAGGCAAAATAGGCTTTAGATCAAAAACTGTTACAAGACACAAAGAATGACATTATGTCATGATAAAAGGGTCAATTCACCAAAAATATATAACAATTCTAAGCACATATCAACCAAACATCAGAGGTCCAAAATATATGAAGGAAACATTAACAGAACTGAAGGGAGCAAAAGACAGCTTTACGATAACAGCAGGAAACTCAATAGCTCACTTTCTACAATGGATAAAATAAGCAAGACAGAAGATCAAACAGGAAACAGAGGACCTGAACAACACGAGAGATCGATTAGACCTAATAGACAAATACAGAACACTCCACCCAACAAAGGCAGAATACACATTTTTCTCAAGTGTACATGGAGAATTCTCCAGGAGCAACTGTATTTTAGACCACAAAACAAGTCTTAATTAATTTTAAAAGACGAAATCATACAAAGTATCTTTTCTGATCACTAGGAATGAAACCAGACATCAACAGCAAAAGGAAAAAGTGAAAAATTCCGAAATACGTGGAAATTAAACAACACACTCTTCAACAACCAAAGGGTCAAAGAAGTCACAAGGGAAATTAGAAAATACCTTGAAACAAATTAAAATGCAAACACAACATACTCAAATTTATGGGATGCAACAAATGCAATACTAAAAAGGAAAATTAATAGCAATGCCATTTACATTAAAAAAAGATGTCAAAACAACCTAACTATATACCTTAAAGGAACTAGAAAAGGAACAAACTAAACTGAAAGCTAGCAGGACAAAGGAAATAATAAAGATGAGAGCAGAGATAAATAGAATAGAAAAACAATAGAGAAAAATCAACAAAACCAAGAATTGGTTCTTCAAAAAAAAAGCAAAAAAAACCCAAATTGCCAAACCTTTAATAAGATAAAAAGAAGACTCAAATTACTAAAATCAGAAATGTAAGTGGTGACATTACCAGCAATTCTACGGGGGGCGGGGGAAGGACTATAAAAGAGTACTGCGAACTGAGTACCGTATGCCAACAACCTGGACAACCTAGATGAAACAGACAAACTCCTAGAAACACACAACCTACCAAGACTGAATTATGAAGAAACAGTAAATCTGAATAGACCTCTAACTAGGAAGGAGATTGAATTGAGAATGAAAAACCTTCCAACAGTGAAAAGCCCAGGACCAGATGGCTCCACTACCAAACATGTAAAGAAGAATTAACACCAATCCTTCTCAAACTCTTCCAAAAACTGAAGAAGAGGAAACGCTTCCTAACTCATTCTATGGGCCAGCATTATCTTGATATCAAATTTTAGTGTGGAAAGCTGTGTAGAACATAGATGGCTGGGCCCTACCCCAAGAGTTTTTAACTCAGGAGGTCTGGGGTGAAGCTGAGAATCTGCAGTTCCAACAAGTTCCCAGGTGATGCCGATGTCATGGGGACCACATTTGACAAACTACTGCATTCTTGACAAACTACTTCTCATAGTGCTAAGGCGTGTCTGTGTGTGTGTCACCTCATGGGGCCATGTACCTACATGCCTCCGGGGTAGCACACAGTTAGTAATATCCTCAAGGCCCACAGGCCACACGGCAAGAGGTACATGCTGTGATACCACGTCACCTGGCCGGGCATTCTGGGAGTGCCAACATCCTGAAGGGGGCACTTTGTTTCTACTTTACTAAGCACTTTTGTATATATTAGCTTATCTCACTCTTCTTACAAATGAAGACATCCAGGCTTGAGGGATGTGCCCATGGTCACACAGCTAATAAAGAGCAGAGATCGGATGAAAACCTCAGTTTTCCAATTCTCCCACGATTCCTGCCACTAGACCTCAACCCACTGGACAGACATGATTATGCAGCACGTGTACTGGAGTCACCTGGGAAGGGTGTCACTACACACAGACACTGGAATCAACCTTCTACCTCCACCACCTCTAGAAAGTTTGACTCCATACACCTCAGTGGGGCTCAGGCACGTGTGCTTTGAAATGCTTCCCAGATGGTCCTACTGCTCAGCCATTAAAGGTCACCGTTTCGATAGTACAAGAGCGACACAGACGTGCACACGTGTGAGGCCAATCCAGTGTGGGCCAAAATACTCAGAAATATCAAAATACTCAGAAATATCAGAGGAGTTTGACAGCCGGCCATGACCTACTCTTGTTACCTCCTGGACACCGAGCTTCATTCAGACTTTGCAAAATGTGCGCTGTGCAACCTCGCCTGGAATCACTTAACAAACATAAATTCATTCCACGAGGAACCAAGTGTGGTAATAGATGTGATTCACTCAATCCTGCGCTAATTATACATTAAATCATAATTCAAGTCCTGAGACACTGTAGTCATTCCGAGGGGCATGAAAAGCCTCATTTTCACATAATAGCTATTCCCTGGAAATGCCAGTTTTGTACTCTTTCAAAATGACTGGCTGGCAAAAGAAACCCTGACTGGGCTTCCCTGGTGGCGCAGTGGTTGAGAGTCTGCCTGCCGATGCAGGGGACACGGGTTCGTGCCCCAGTCCGGGAAGATCCCACATGCCGCAGAGCGGCTGGGCCCGTGAGCCCCCCCAAAAAAAAAGAAACCCTGACTGATGTTTATGAGATTTTACGAAGCAATTGTATGTTTCTGATGCTTAATAATAAAAGGGAAAGGAAAGAACACGGACATTTATTTCTTACCATTACCTAAATGGAAAGATTTTTTTCTGATAAACTGAGTAAATTGCTAATTTCCATCATCTTCCAAAAAAAATAATCTATTTCATGACTCTGATCCATCCTGTTGCATAAAATATGGGACTTTAAAAAAAAAAGAAAATGTGGCCCACTCCTCACTTTTATGAAAGTATGAAAATGGTCTTAAACAAAGATAAATTCCTCAATAAGTGGGCCTAACACTGTCCCCAACAAAGAAACAGGAAAAAAGGTTCCTCACCGCCAGGTCACTGTATATATGGTCACCAAAATACAACACTTTGGATCCCCTCCATCCAGTAAGCTTCAAAAATTCATATAAATTACCCTGCAATAACAGAAAAATATAGGTGTTATATTGTATGACAAATAAGAGACCTGTATAACCCATGGCCCAATATACCTACTTTGTTTTTTTATTTCTATTTATAGTATTTATTCATTTTTTAGGCCGCGCCATGCGGCATGCAGGATCTTAGTTCTCCAACCAGGGATCAAACACGTGCCCTCTGCATTGGGAGCACGGCGTCTTAACCACTGGACTGCTAGGGAAAGTCCCGATATCTACCTTTTAAAACTTAAAAAAATGTTTTTGCTTTTACAATTTATTTTAAATATCAAAAGATAAAGATAAAGAACATTTTTATGTGAAATCTTTTAGACCTTTCTTCTAAGTCAAATGTACTTTTCAGAAGGGCTTCATACTGAGTATCTTTGTAATGATCTTTTTTTTTCACGCTTAACGTTCTGTGACCATGTCAATAAATATTTGCCTGCCATGTAGTTTTAGCAGCTGAGACCTACCATGATTCGTTTTACCAATTATCTGAGGCTGGACATTTACCTTGTTATCTATTTTGTAAGTAACTTCATGATAAACATTCTTGTAGCAAAGCTTTAGCTACATCTTAACAATTTTCTTAGGCTCACTTCCTAGACGTGGAGGGCTGTTCAAAGCTAATCTTTCAGGCCTAAAAAATATACTTAGGGCCACACACAGCAGTTTGTTACATATCCAACAGGAATGTATCAGTACTTTAAAAAAAAAAAAACCTGTATAGTACTGTATAGTACTGTTCTGTAATTTTATGTTATAAATATTACACACATATAAAAACGTTTAAAGATAAGATAAAAAAACCTAATTTCAGTAACACAAAACTGGACAGCAATTCAATCATTTACTCAAACGCGGGAGAGCTTTATGTGATACTGAAATACATCAAAACTGTACATAAAACACAGTTCATCAGGAAATAATTACCAATTTGGGTGCGATGCCATGTGATTAAACACTTACTAAAGAGAAATTTCCAAGGTTTACTACTGGCATCTTAAATTTTATACCCTATGGAAAAAATGCTTTAAAATTTTTTTTTCAAAAACTGTTCAATTCTGAGCTAATTTACACACAGCACACTGAAAATGTATGGACTTAAGATTAAATTCTGCCACTAAGTTATAAACAGTCCATTGAAGCAAAGCCCTCGGGACTGTGCCTGGCACATGGCAGGCCTCAGCGAATGTCAGCTGTTATCATTATAACCGATCACAAAGCACAGCAACAAAAAGGACAGATGGGTCACGAGATACCTGTTTATAAATCTGGCCTTTCTGCAACTTGTAGATTTTATCCCAGAGTAAGACGCCTTTCTCATTCACCTTCCGGAAAGGTCTAACAACAGAAACAGGAAACATTATGACGTGTGGTACCAGTGCAGGCTGTGTGCTATATGAGAAACTCCACGGTTAGCCCCTGAGAACAGAAAGGAGCCAGCCGAAACCAAGACCCCACCATCACGTTCCCGGGCCTCGTGCAATACACCCCAAACTTCGGACCCCGGTATCCAAAGAAGGTTAGTGAAAAAACAGAATTCCAGGGTCAAATATATTTGGAAAACACTATCCACTATCCACTATCCCCGTTCCTCCTTAAAAGTTACCGATGGCTCTGAAAAGCCCTCCTATAAAGAAACTCTCTTTAGCCCAGATTTTCTAAACGTATCCAACCGTGTAGAAAACTTTTCACACGCACAAAAAAAGCTTATAGAAATACTGCTTAGTATATTTATCCAGCTTTGTACTTGAAATGCAACCACTCTAGATACAAAATACATCAGAGATCAGAGAACTGGGCATATTATTTTATGATGGAAAAATAGGAAAAAAAGAATAAAGGCCTCATTCCTCACCCTGGGGATGCTAGTCCAAAAAACACAAGGTTTGTTTGTCCTTTTTCTTTTTTTTTTAGGTAACACTTATTTGGATTGCTTTCCTGGTTATAAAAATACAAACTCACTGCAAAAAAACTCTGGAAAAATGCAGAAAAATACAATGAAGAAAAGGAAAAACATAATGCCAGTACCCAGGTAGAAACACACCATTTCAGTGGATATCTTTCAGTCTTTATGTATCTGTTATCTTTCTTTTTATGAACATAAAATGAGCATCATTTGCGGATACTAATACGTATCTTTTTCTCTCCAAGGCTGTGAGCAATCTCCCATGTGATTATGTAACCTTCATACATCATTTTTTTCAGTTGTAAAACATGTTCGCTGCCATTTAAAAAAAAAAAAAAAACCTCATTTTTAATGGCTGCATAATATCCCCTCATATGGACGTTCCTTTAGGTTGTTTCTAACCTTCAACATTATAAATAACATGGGGATGAACAGGGGTAGAGAATTCTTAATCCAGGCACCCAGAGTAAGGAAGAGCACTGTGCTGAGAAAATCTAATCCAAGACAGGGTCCTGCCACTGAGTATAAACATGACAAAGGAGGGAGGTGAAAGGAGATATGGGGCCCTTCCCCTGACCACTCCACCCCGCTGGGATCTAATAAGAAAATGCAGGAGAGCGTTTTATCACTGACCAAACAGCAAGCCAGTGTTTACAGCTGTTTTTTTTGTTTGTTTGTTTTTGTTTTTGTTTTGTGCGGGTAAGCGGGCCTCTCACTGGTGCGGCCTCTCCCGTTGCGGAGCACAGGCTCCGGACACGCAGGCTCAGCGGCCATGGCTCACGGGCCCAGCCGCTCCGCGGCATGTGGGATCTTTCCGGACCGGGGCACGAACCCGCGTCCCCTGCATCGGCAGGCGGACTCCCAACCACTGTGCCATCAGGGAAGCCCTACAGCTGTTTTTGATCAACACTCTTGTTTTTCCTACATTCTCTTGATTTCTCAGTCTCTGCACATGGTTCTTGGGCGTGCCTCTTCTTCCAGGAGTCACTGTGACACTTGAAAAAGTGGAATTTAGCATCATAAGAGGAATTTAATCCACTCAACACTAACTACAGGCACCGAATTATTATGCTTTAAATCACCTAGCAGAGAGGGAAAGGCTGCATGGTTACCCACTGCAGAACAGAGAAATGTGGGTAAAAGTGTTTCAAAAGTAGGTCACTGTTATACAAATAGGAATTATTTTTATAATCCTAGTGCAGTTACTCTCAACACTACTGACATTTGTGCGGGATGACTCTTGGTGAACCGGTCTGCCCCGCACGTTAAATCACCTTTTAGGACCCCCGACCCTCAGTCACAAAACGCGAAGAGCACACCCCTGTCACCTTCACAACCCAAACTTTCCCATTCCTCTATTGCTCAAGGATTCTGCGGCAGAAAGACTTTAAGTTTTGGTCTAGATTTACTCCACTTGATGCAAAACCTGTATTGCAGAGAAGTTCTGCAAAATCTAAGTGCAATTGTCAGTGAACCATTTAGAGCTCTATTTAAAGAGATACCCACCAGGTGGTTTGCTGTTGCTGTTTTGTTATGCTTCACAAGGCATCTGCATCGAGAGATCTAATTTACTATGTGATGCTAAATTTGGAATTTTCATTGTTGTCAATTGTTCTCTTAAAGCCTGACTCAGAGGACTGAAGTAGCCCGAACTGAATTGAGAACCGTTTCAAGAGGTGTCAGCTGTCTGCTATGTACTCATCCCACCTTCCTTGCAATTACTTGCTAGAGGTTAAAAATCAAAAGCTATGATGTTAGATGCTTGTGATTTTCCAACTGGATTTCACCAAGACACATTACGTAAGTATTCGCAGCAGCAAATGAATAAAATCTAGTCCCTAAAAAGACAGACACTTACCTCCGCTTATCATTAAAGAAGTTTGGCTTCTCCGCCTGAACAATGACCACATCAAACAGGTCCCTCCAGTCTTTTCCAACAATATACCTCATCCCTTTGTCCCTAGAACAATATTTCAGCCAGGTTAGTCTAACACTGCAGGGATTAACTATTCTTGCAACTTTTTCTTTCGAATTTCCAGCTATCAAAATACAGGGAGTACAGGAAGTGAGCCAGAAAGTAGCCAGGAATCACAGAAGAACTTACACAAAGCTACTGGGGCTATTGGTGATGAGAAACATCTTCTTGCCGTGATCAGCCAGTTTGGCCAACACTGCACGGGTCTGCTCAGGGTAGCAGATGTACTTTTCTAAAGAGCAAGAGAAAAATGCACACAGAGTTTCAGGGTGAAGTCAGTTAATCTGCAAGCACTTCCTAAATGGGGTCCAGCACTGTCTAGGGCACTTGAGGGGAGAAAAGCCTTCAGGAAGCTTGGTTCAAGGCAGTATATCGGTACCCGGTGCATCAGTAACCAACACCCTGCCTCTTCAGTCTAAGTGGAAAAACCTAAGTGGCTGCAGCTACCAGCTCCTCTCCTTTCCAGTCGGGATTATGTCAAGTTCTGAGACAAAGGGGAGGGAGACATCTAAGGCGCCAGGATGCAAGGTCCCTGCACTGCACTCAGAAGAGGTACTACAGCCCCTGCTCAGCACCTGGAGTGAGAGTAAAATGCCTGCGTAATTACATAGCAAAGGGGAGGCTGATCTTCACGATAGCGTCCGGTACGTACCAACATCTGCTTCAATTGCTCTGTACATGATTCCTTTGGTGTGCACGTCCCGAATCGAATCCTGCCAAAAGATACGTTTTTAATCAGTCAGAGTATAACTGAGACAGTCTGAGTAAGAGGCCAAGCGAAATGGCCTTCAGGATAATGTCTGTCTGCAGAAGCCTGGCAACCTAAGCACTAAATGAAATCTAAATTCTGGTCCATTTATCACAGGTGGCCCCTGGGAAGAAACTTAAGTTGCCATGGTGATAGCAGCAGTTTCCAGTGCAATTTTCAAAAAAGCCACTTGGAGGAGGTAATTTGTGTGAACAATTCTGAATAAAGTCCCACAGGATAAACAGTCATTTATATGCAGTATCATGATCAAATAATTCCAGGTCATCTGAACAAAAGGGAATTATTGCTCTTTCCATCTTTGCACCCTTCCCTGGACCCCAGCAGCAGGTTCTGTTGGGCAGAGAACAATGATAGGATCCTCCTCTCTTCAGTGCTACCAAAGAGGCAAGGAACTGTCAAGGATCTTGGAACTCGGGCAGAGATGTGGTCCAGCCGGCAGACGTGAGGAAAAGCCACTGGCAGGTGTCATGCCTGGCAGGTCTCAGAGCACAGCCCCGCTCTCAGGTAGCTCTAAGCAAGTCTACTACATAGATGGGCACTCCTGGAGGCACATGGAAACTTTCTGGAGTCTGTAGCAGGGGACTGGGCTGAAGAAAAACTGGGCCATAAGCCTTAGAAAATTGGTAGGTGCTTAACGTCGGGAATGAGCACCTCTGGACTGTAAACTCAACCTCACTTATCTTCCACCACAGGCCTGTTTCAACTGCGCATCGGCAGAAGGCAGTGGTTAAGAGCAAGCCGGAGCCCAGCCTCCTGGCCTGAAATGCAGGCTCTGCTACTTACTAGCTGGATGTCCTTGGGCAAGTTACTCAACCTCTCTGTGCCTCAATTTCTCTATCTGTAAAAGGAAGGTGATAAGAGCTCAGGGCATTCTTCTGAGGATTTAATTAGTTAATATGCATAAAGCATTCAGAAAAATAGTGCCTGGAACACAGTAAACTCTACATGTGTGTTCACTATTAGTGGTAGTAATACTTCATAGTAAAAACTGAACTTTCTAGTAAACATCTTTCCTCATGAATGCTAAGGGTTACATAACTACCAGTGATTCTTAAAGATGAAGTATTCGTGTGAGCAAAACAGAGAACCAAAACTAAATATTTAAATTTAGTTCAAATAACACCAGACTGATATTGAGAAACTGTTCATTCATCCTATATCTTCTTAAAACCCATGATTCAGGGCAGTCAATACTTAAAATTAGTCATGAACACATAATAAAAACACTGTAGTATGTACATATGGATCTTTTAAAAATACAGATATTTAAATAATAGATGCTTAGAAATATGTATTAAAAATATATATTAAATAAGCAATATATAAACATATTTTTAAGTACTGAAAAAAGTTCAGACAGCTTAAAGAATATATCTATAGACACATGTGAATATGAATGTAAATTAAAATACATAAACACAAAGTCATGTAAATGATGTGTGTATGTACGCACATGGAAATCCAGATAGCAAGTACCCTCTTCTTTTAACAACCAATTTGACTCACTTCCAATTCTCCTAACATAACATCTTTCTTAGGATTTTTCAGGGTTAAACCACAAATAAAAGAGATCCCAAGCAAAGGATGATTTCAAAGACCCAGCTGACAGGGGAGGCCAGGGATTCTGTTACTTCTGCTGAGCAGCTAGAAGAGCTGCAGCGTCATGGCACCCCACGTCCACACCACCTTGACGTCTTTGTACAGGTGCACGGGCTCATAGTCAATGTTGTTCTTCAGAAAGTACTCGTTCACACAGGACAGCAGGGTCATCTCGGGCAGGGAGAAGATGTCCATGAACTGCTTCATGGTGTTTCCGTGGGAACTCTGCAGGCAGGGAGGAAGGCTTCAGCAAGGGAGCCAACACCACAGTAGACTTTACATTCACCCAGGGGATTCTGGTCGTCAACATCTGGCTCCCTCCCCACAAGGAAAGGAAAATTCTAATAATGAAAAAGTAAAAACATTCACCTTGTTTCTTGTCATTCACAGCAGAGCTGACGTCTCACTCTAAGTGTAAGTGGGATTTCCAAGGAAATGCCCTGATTTCCCCCCAAAAGTCTAACCACCCTTCCCTTTCCTCTCCTTTGGCTCCATCCATCTTAAAGCTCACACGCTTTCATCCCCACACACAGGGGAAAGCCAGCAAATTGATTCTTGCCCATGGAATGGCATAAAAAGCCACTAACTCTCCTAAATTTGAGCACCACAGCCCACATGGGGGTTTGGAAAAGAGCCTTTCTCTGAACACCTGTGATTTATAAGACTAAGTTTACCAGGTGATTGGACATCTTCACTGCATTTTGATCATGCAAATAAGAGCGCATCTAATAGTACAAGAAGCAGAAATTCGGAGAGCAAAGAGGACCACAAAAGTTAGAAAAGCAGAGGTTTCCCTTTGGCACAAAGTGACGTGCTGCCCTTAATCTCAGGGGAGGCAACAGCTGCTGTACAATAGCCCCCAGTGACTTAATCCAGAAAGTGGGGACACACACGGGGAGATGGTGGCAAGCGAGGGGGTACAAGGAAGGTATACAGAGCCTTCACCAGGTAGGGGGGAAAGGGCTGAGAAAGGAGAAGCATGGAAGAACCCAGGAGAGACCCTAACATACCCATCTCTCTCAAATCGAGGGTCTCTCAAAACACAACCCCAAATGTCCTTGCTGATTCCCTATAAGCAGAGAGCCTAGTAGGTCAAGATCCTAAAGTTACCAGGCCACGTTTCGAAAAGGAAAAAGACAGGCTGCTTGAAGTAAATAAATAATTTCTCGTTACCTTCCCATAAAAGTCGCTCATCTGTTCCAAAGGCACGTGGGAGCCCTCGTACATTTCAATGACTTCCTCGTCAGGGACCACGCTGAGGCCTCTGGGAAAATCAGAGGCGGCAGTGATTTTGATCAGTGAAATAATGACTCCATTATTTGTTCTTAATTCTCTCAATGCTTTTGCATTCACAAAGTTACTGGAGAATAACTGGCTCAGTAAGCATATAGCACTCTCAATAATAAAAATACACCCATGGTAAAACAGATGACTTTGTGGCATTAAGACTAGGGAGTTAACACAAAAGATTATGGAACCTGTGTTCAGAAAAAACTGTCACACATTTACACACACATTTAGCTGCCTGTAACACAGGCAGTTAGCATCAGCTAGAGAGAGCAACAGTTTTCAGACCTCTGACAACTGCTGGCATTTTTCAACTGAAACGCAAGACGCTGCTGTCACAAAGAGGCAGGAGGTGCCACCGGTAGCTGCTATAAATAACAGGCATGATGCTGCTACTATTACTACTACCATTCTACTGGTAATGAGAGCAGGAAAAATAATAGCTAATACCACATGGCCCCTGCTGAATGCCAGAAATGAATTCCACGTAGTCATTCACTTAATTCTCAGCAATCTTAGGAGGGAGGCACTATTATTCTTCCCATTTTCCAGCAGAAGCCACCAAGGCACAGAAAGGTCACAGACCTTGCCCAAGGTCACCAAAGTAGAAAGTGGTGGGTCAGGACTGGGTCCCAAGCTCTTCAACCACCACATCACACGGCTTCCCTCAACAAGGTACATGGCCTCCTAATGACCTGCTTTGGGGTGAGTCTTGGGTTTTTTTTTTTTTTTAATGTTTTTAATACATTAGGGAGAGAGAGGCTGGTCTGTCCCCATCATCCTCCTGCCCTCTGATACCCTACCTTAAGAAGGTGAGCGCTGAGGCAGAAAAAGTCATACACCAGGCTCCAGTGGACAATACGCCACGTCAGGATGCCTGACACCACCTCCGGGAGGAATGACCCCAAATGCTGCAACACACTGAAGGCCAGTTTCCCCATGTGTAAAAAGTCAAGGTAACGTCCCCCATCTGCCTGCTTCCAGGAGCTGCAACAGAATCTGTAAATGAATCCAACTCCTCCAAAGAGAGGGAAAAAAAGATTGTGGAGTCTGACTGGCCGGGATTCCACCCCTGTCTCTGGTACCCATGCTGTGGGCAGGTGGTTTCACGTGGGATTTAATGGTCTCAGACTTCCTCACCTGGAATAGCCCCTCTAGAGAACTGTGAAGGGAAATATCTGTCCCCCACCCCCTGCTCTAGAGGAGAAGGCACCTGAGAAACAGACACCAATGGTGAGGAAACCACAGAGTGAATGACGGAAGCACCAGTTACTAATACACACAGGTTGCTTATCACACTTGGCCAATATTAAACTACGTATAAAACATAATTTACATGTGACGTGTAACTTTAATGGAAATATCACTTCAGCCTCTTTCCTCCATTCTCTACCCTTATCTTAATTTTAAAAATAGCCAAGGGGATTCATTGATATTTTGCTTCTGATCTTGATTAACCTGAAACAACTACTGGCCTTTGAAAACAAAAGAGCACTGGACTTCCCTTTATCTTTGCTCCAGAAATCAGATAAGACACTGGGACTAAACCAGATCATTCTAGACAGTGACCTTGGAAGACAGCTCTGGCTGCCACAGCAGCAGTCAGCAGTGAGCACCCCTAAGGCTCTGACACCTAGAAAGGGAATAGACAAAGTAAAGGGATTCTGCCGGGGGAGTTATTTTTCTGTCCCCACCCTAGGGGCTGCCTGGTCCTTCGGAAGCCACTGCCGCCTCTAAGACACGTTCACGGGCCCGTGGCCACAGAAGCTGCATCTTTAAGGCCCACGTAGCCAAATGCCAGCTCAAAACATGCAGACAGAGCAGCACACAGACCTGCCGCACCCGAATGCGGCCTAAACCAGCACTGAAATCAGAATAAAACTTTACGTGGCCCTGTGTGCGTCAGAGAAATAGAAAGGGTAGGAGCACAGACCTGAAAGAGTCTGCCCTGGGTTCAAATCCCAGCTCCCTCACCTGCTGGGGGGATGACCTAGACCAGGAACAAGTAATTTAACCTCTTTGGGTGTCAGTGTCATTTTTTAAAAGGGGGGCAGGGGCAACAGCAGTACCCACCTCCTGGTGGTACCTACTGAGAAGATTAAATGAGTTGCTATAAACAGAACGGCACCCGGTATATGGTAAGTACTATCCAAGTTCTGCTGCTGTGACTACGATGGGAACAATCCTAGCTTTTCACAAGGTTCCCAGTTAAAATCTGAAAACATGGGTATGAAACAGGACTGCGGCGGGGAGCCAGCCCGCCCCTTGGCCCAGCGGTGCTCAGGCACACAGCCCACACAAAGTGGGAAAGCCGGCCCGATGCAGCGACCCTGCGGGGATCAGAGAGGGACAAGACTGAGACACAAGCATTCTTCCCCGCCATCTGCTCATTCGTTACCCCTTTGGAGGGTAGAGAGGAGAGAAGTGACATTTTTGCCTGCCTATGCTGTTCCAAGCATGCTCTAGTCCAAATGACCAGCCGCCCTGGAGGTGGGTGCTGGAATCATGCCCATTTTACAGAGGAGTAAACACCAAGGCTTTGAGCAGGTCGATAACTGGCTCGAGGCTGCACACACGTGAGCAGTGGGGCTGGGGTTCACACTCAGGAAGTGGGACTCCAGAGCCACACACACACCCCTGCTGCTTTGGCTACCACACCCCCTCTCAGCCCCGAGGCCCCAGCGACCTTCCCAGGACCTCAACCTGAGCACTCCTTCCCCTTTAAATGTCTCAGAAGCTCCTCCAGCCTAGCCCTGTCCACACCCCTAATACGACAGATGATTTATCCACAAAAGAAGGAACAAGATAATTAGGAGCCACAGGATGGGGCGGACCACAGGAGAGGAAGACCCTGTCAGGCTGAGAGGGTGAGGAGAGGCCTCAACACCAGTCAGCCATGCAGAAGGATGGGTGAGATTTCAAGAAGCAGAGGAGAAGGAAAACCACATCCTGGGAGAACACCAGCCTGAACAGATGCCGAGCAGTGCGAAAGGAGAACTCGGAGGAAAGGAATATTTGTGTTGTTGCACCTGCCCGGCATCCGCTCCCTGAGACTGGCTGAAACTGCTGGGAAGAGAAACTCCCCTTCCCCCCTTGACCTGGAGCTGGGGCTGGAAGCCTGGTACTGCCAGGGGTCACCACGCGGAGGGGCCTGCTGTGAGCTAAGCCGGAGAGAAGGAACGCCAAGAGACGGAAAGAGTACTGACAACAACTACCTGGCCCCCTGGAGCCAGCTACACCTGCAACAAGCTCTGTCCCTAGACTACACAACTAGTGAGCCCAAACCAGGGTTTTTTAAAAGCCAGTTTGAGTTGGGTGTCAGTCACTTGCAACCAAGAGTCTTAACCAATCCAGGAAGTAAAGGAGGTGTGTACGGCAGAAGAGGAAGCTAAGGGTTTTAGAGAAGGTTGATGGATAATTTAAGAGATCTGGGCTCTATCCTTCAGACAGTGGGGAGCCATCCAGGATTTCAGAAGAGAGAGGGGTCGTTGAAGGCAACGCTTTAGGTAGATCAGTCTAGCAACTACGTCCAGGATGGACTGCACTGCAGAACACCACAGAGCCCAGGAGAGATGGGATAAGCGACTGAGTCCAGGAGCAGAGGGTAGAAACATAACTGGAGGGACAGATTTGAAAGATCTGCCGAGGACTTCCAGTTAACCCTCATACGTTCAGAAATGCCTGCTGTACGCAGGCCAAGAGCACAGACTCTGGAGCCAGACTGTCTGGGTCTGAATTCTACTTCTGTGTGGCCTTGGGCAAGTTACCTATTAACATCTCTGGGACCAATAATAGTACCTACCTTATAAGATTATTTGGAAGATCATATGAGTTAACTCAAAACCTTTATGGCAGTATCTGTCTCACTGCAAAACTCAATATTTGTTAGTTGCTATTTATTATTACTAATATTATTATTCTCGTCACCACCACCACCTCTTCTCCCTCTTGAAACACCATTAAAATGACAGCAAAAGAACAAACTGCTCAAAATCAAAGGAAATGAGTGCAAAGACATCAGCAGATAAGACATTTCAACATGGTTTTGGAAAACAAACAGTTGGTGAGAAGGAGGCACCTGACTGAGCAACATTGAGAACGGGGCCTGCAAGGGGACACCAACGAGAGGAACTGATGAACGAACACAGATCCCCAGAATCAGCCGTATCCAGCACCAAGAAGCTACTGGAGGATGTGCTCCAGCAAAATGAGGGAGTAAAGCCAGAAAGAGGAAGAGGTGGGAACCAGGAAACAAGGAAAGTAGCAAATGGAAGTCCCAGAATGAACAATCAGAGTAGATGAGAGCAGGAGGAGGTAGTCAAAAAAAAAAGTAACTGAGACATTATGTAACACATGTGAATTGTGAGGAAATAAGTAGATGCTGGATATCTGTGATGGAACATTAAGGAAAAAACTAGAGATACCTAACTAGAAAACTAAGCAAATAAAAAATGAGGTTATTAGTAAACCTAAAAACCAAGCACTGTAAAAGAAAACGATCTCAGTGCACTACTTGGCTTAAGAATGAACAAGACCTACAGAGTCATAATGCAAACGGTGAAACAATCAGAGAGAGATCTCAACAGGGTTAGGAGGATGAGGCTGGAGAAGGGGGTGCGTGCGCAGGAGAGCCAAATCCTCAGCCCTCACAGCAGGGACAATGTCCAGAATTAATAAATTAGGAAACAGAAGTGTAAGCACATTTAGAAACAGAAAGACAAATACCAAATATATATATAAATACAAACCACACTCCTAAATCCCACCCACAAATTTAAGAATTAGAAAAGGCAAAACCCTTCATTTCAAAGTTACAAAGATTTCTCACTGAGCTCAGTACTTCTACTAATTCTATCAATAATAAACAGGAGGGCTTCCGTGGTGGCGCAGTGGTTGAGAGTCCGCCTGCCGATGCAGGGGACACGGGTTCATGCCCCGGTTTGGGAAGATCCCGCATGCCGCAGAGCGGCTGGGCCCGTGGGCCATGGCCGCTGGGCCTGCGCGTCCGGAGCCTGTGCTCCGCAACGGGAGAGGCCACAACAGTGAGTGAGAGGCCCGCGTACCGCAAAAAATAAAAAAATAAATAAATAAACAGGAGGAAAAGAGTCTTAATATCCAAACTACTCAATTACCATGGTGGGAACAACCACCTGCCCCCACCATCCCTCCACATCCACACCTCCTCTGCAGGACCCGCACTCAGGTGGCCACCATCGCCTTTGGAGAGCCCGTCCTCCCCAGAGTCCTCCAAAGTGCTCCATAATGGCTGAGCACACGTCCATCATCACCTGGGTCACCGTGGACTGCACTCATTGGTCTACCTGTGTGGCTTCCAACCTACATACCGAGCTCCTTGAAGACATCCTCGCAAGCCAAACCATCAGCATCTAACATGGTAGTGGCCTGATCAATGTTTCTGAAGGAGGGAGGGAGTGGGGGAATGAGTGAATGATTCACAGGTACACACACTGCAGCCCTCCCATCACTAAACACTCAGGGGGTCTTGAAACCCAAAGCCACATGGTTACTTCGGGTAAATTAAATTAACTTCCTCTCACGCTTACCTGTAGACAGTTCCCAGCTGTATGTAATGAAAAGCATCGATCTTCATCAAGACTGCCTTCAAAAACACAAGCACACACACAGGTAAATGATGCACAAGAATTTGCATATTTAATGAAAATGCCAGGTGTCATTATAAATCCTATCAGCATCAAGTTGTCTTAAACAAAGAAGCATCCTGTATGTTTCTTTGCTTGCCGGGTTCCTCATTAAGGAAACGGCCTGTCTGCAAAAAAAGATATGACAACCACCTTGTCCTCATAATGTTGAAAATGAATGACTATTGGAAATAAGCAAGTATCTCCCAGTGGCTAAATGCATTCATGCTCTTCCAATACAGTCTCTTGAAAAAGACTTCATCCAAAGATGTTTTGGATAATTTAGTTCTTCAGCCCCAAAGAACAAAATTTAAAATCAATTTACACGTTCAGCAAAGAAAAGCATCAAGAGTACATTTGACTCCCGAGCACGTGTAACTGTAGAAAAGGATGAGAATTCAACCTACCCGCTGCACGTCATAATGCAGTCCACGGATTGCAAAGTTTGGGTCATACTCATACTTCCTGATTTCCGCGGGATACTAAGAAGGAAGAAAGGAACCGGTTTTAGCTAGTGACGTACTAAGTTCAAGACAGCATCCACCCTTGGCCCCTGTACGAAGGCTGAGACGGCTCGTGCACTTGGGTGGGAAGCTGGGGTCAGAAGGGACAGGCCACAGCTTGCCCTCTGCTTCCAGACCAAGCGCTGCCAGGCCACGGAGCACCCCTTCTGCCCTACTTCTCTGGCCTTAACTCTCCCCTGTCCTCAGCTGCAGGGACCCCTCAGCCGTCGGTACAGCCTTCCTCCCACTCGGGCCAGAGACACCCTCTCTGGGCACCCGGCTCCCGGGTACAGCTCCAACCCTGGTTCAGAACACACGGCCTGGCTCCCCTGCTATTCCCTAATCATTAACCTGTCCCTCCTACTACACAGAAGTCCCAGTCCCCTCCTTATCCACTGCACCCGGCATCCAAGTCCTTCCCTCTCTCCCGAGATCTCAGAATTGGAACACCGGTTACCTCGCTGGTAGCACCGACGTACCGAGCACACTGTCTGCTGCTCGGCACAGCTGGCCCCACCATGCCCATTTGACAGATGGGACCTCAGAGGCTCCGGATGAAACAACCTGGCCTGGGCCACACAGCACGGAGCGTGGTGCGGCGGGGGGTCAGGCTCTCCCCACTGCCCCTGCCCCCAGAGCGTGCACCTGCGGGCCAGAATATCGACTTCTGAGACTAGGGAGGCTGTGTCCCCAGGATCTCCCAATCACGATGCGAACTGCTTACGTAAAAAACCTACACAACTGTCAACGGGCACAGGAAACCCCTCTACATGGCTGCACAGCTACCTCCCAGTGCACGGCCAGGGTCACGCGTGTGCAAGAACATCTCCTGGAACCACCAGGCTGACCCGCGTGCGGCAAGTTTCCCGGCCAAGCTGCACAAAGCGCTGAGTCAAATGTCACATTCGGGCTCGTTTATCTAACACCTGCCACGTGTGCCAAGGAATCACTCAGTGCTATTTCCCTCCTGCGCAGAAGGGTATAGAAACAAAGTTCTCCAAAATCCACACAAAACATGAAGCCAAGGCAAAATGACCTGCATGAGGCGATTCCACACCAAGCACTATACACTCACACTTAACGGCGGAGCCCAATGAATGCGTCAAGTATTTACTGAGCACGTACTTTGTGCCAGGGCCTAGGAGTGTGGCAGTGAACAAAACTGACACTGTCAGGACTTCCCTGGCGGACCAGTGGTTAAGACTCCACGTTTCCACTGCAGGGGGCCCGGGTTCGATCCCTGGTTGGGGAACTAAGATCCCGCATGCCACGGGCGCAGCTAAAAAAACCAAAAAAACAACTGACACCGCCTCTGCCCCTAAGAAGTTTCCATTCTGTGGTGGGCAGGCGAACCATAAACATATCAACACATGGTACAGTGCCTCATAGTGATAAGTACTACAGAAAGAATGCAGTACAAGGGTTCAGAGATCTAGGGGAAAAAAAAAAAAAAATGAGAAGCAAGGCTTCGGGTTGCCCGGAGTCAGGCAGGAGGTCCCACCAGAGGAACTGGCAGGTGCAAGGGCCCGAAGGTAGAGCAGAGCGAGGGCAGGGGGAGAGGAGAGGAGGCTGGTGAGGAAGCCTGGAGCCCAGGAGCACTAGAGGCCTCTGCTGTCACTCCAAGTGTGATGGGAAGGCTCGAGGGGGCCTTGAGTCCAGGACCGAGATGACTCACGTCTGAAGGTTCACTCTCGCTGCCGAATGGAGAACAGACTAAGGGGCAAGAACAGAAGCCAGGGGACCAGTCAGGGGGCTACCGCACCATCGGGCGGGAGGTGATGGCGGCTTGGACCAGGGTGCAGGCAGCGGGGGAGGGGAGAAGTGGATAGAGGCAGGCAGGACACATTCTGAAGGAGTGAAAAGAGAGCTCACAGCTGTAGAGACTGACTTCCTCCCAAACGGTACAGTATGCGAAGGGAGATAAGAGTAATTTTGTAGTGGAGAGACCTGGTAAACACTGCCTTAGCCGGATGGTCAAGGCCAGCATCGTCGGTGGTAAGTCATGTTGACAGGATGTGATGAGAATGGAACTCTACCTCCATGGTCTTCCTCCCCAGATCCACAAGCCCAGTCTAACCATGAGAAAACAGGGGACAACGCCCAAGAGAAGGGCATGCTAAAATGTACTGACCAGGACTCTTCACAACCATCAAAGTCAACGACGGGTCACCAAAACTAAGGAACTTGTAAGAAACTGTCAGAGCCAAGAGAAACCTAAGGAGACATGACACCTAAATGCAATGTGGTGTCCTGGACGGGATCCTGGACCAGGAAAAGGACGTGAGGTTAAAAACTAAGGAAACCTGAAGCAAGTACAGACTTTCATCAATAACAATTCATTCATATCAGTTCTTCAGCTGTGATAAGTGCACCGAGGTAATGTACAATGTCGACATTAGGGGAAACCAGCCATGGGGTGTACCCTCTGTATTACCTTTGCAACTTTTCTGTAACCCTAATACTCTTCTAAAAGGAAAAGTTTATTATAAAAAAGAGACAGCATGTGCTGAGAGATCGGAGGTGGGACAGAGGCGAACTGAGGAGTAGAGGCTGCTGTTAGGCTTTGGATCTGAAAAACCGGGTGAACGTCGGTAACCATTAATAATCAGGAACACTGATGAGGGTGCAAATCTGGGAGGTGAAATTAAGAACTCTTCTAACACTGTCTTTCTATATCCCTTGGGGCAGACGTACCGAATGAAAATATAGATACAGTTATTACCCAATATTTATTTCAATTTTTGTAAAAACTTATTCTCGTGAAAAAAAAAGAGAAAGGGTAATTACGAAAGGGATGGAACATTTACATTTGCTTTTGGGGAAGACGCTAAAGTGCAAACTTACTGCTCTATTACTATGCATCTCAAAAGCAGATGTCTTTCATCTCCACGAGTACTTTTAGCCTTTGGCAGGAAAAAATGGCACCAAGCTCAATGCTTCCAACAGTGTCTTGGAAGAATTATTTTCCAATCCAAAACAAGAGAAAAACCTGCGTTAGCATAACTGCCTCTATTAATATGTTTGATATAATTAGTGTTAGGACATACTTCTTTTATCAAAGCAACAAACAGACATAATGGGAATGAAATAAGTATCTTAAATCTAGAAGCTTTTCTAATCATAATGATTGTGCCTTTTTCCCATCTATTTCATCTCCCTTTTCTCTCCAAAGTTCATAAATTTTTAATCTTCATGAATATTTTATTTTCATATGAACAACAAACCCACAGGGTAAAAGAAAAGGTGTTATTAATCCCACAAAAGGCAACATGAACAAACAAGAGAGCATCTCTGCCTTGGAAATACACAAATCTAAGTTCAAATTCTGGTTCTGCCTCCAGTGGTCTTGTGGCCTTGAACTACCAGCTGAACTCCGTAAGCCTCTGTAATACAGAGTGAATATCCATTTGCAGGGCTGTCACGCAGATCAGAAATAACAGTAGTAATAGCTAACCTGTACTGAGTGTATTCTATGCGCCAGGCATTTTACAGAAATTAACTCCTTTAATTATCACAATAACATGTGAGAAAAGTACTGTGCCCATTTCATAGAGGAGGAAACTGAGGCTCAGAGACATTAGGTCAGTTACTCGAGATTACCTAAGAAATAAGTGGTAAAAGCCAGGATTCAAACTCCAGCAGTCAGGCTCCAGAACCCATGCTTTCGGCACTAAGCAGACCACCAACAGTTGGTGCTGTTAGTTAGTATAATGACCTTCGTTTTGTAAGTGGCAACAGTCACAGCAAACGTTGCAGATGACCTGGGATTAGAATGCCAGCACCAGTGCAAGAGCCCTTCCGCTCGCTCTCCAATGGGGTGGTGGGGAGATGGGATAAGCCGCCATATAGGAGGGCAAGAGCAGGACCACCTTGCCCTTATCCTGCTTCCATCCTCAAAGTGAAGGGAAAGGACCGTGGGTTAGACCGAAGAGAAGAGAGTCTCTTGAACAAATGGAGAAATGCAGCTGGATGGCAAGTGGCTAGATGGGTTTACATCTGATCAAGTGGCCATAACTAAAGAAAGCTCGGTGGCTGAAGGGAATGTTATTTTTGGCAAGTGCCATTTCTGCATTTTGAATAAGGACAAATGAGTTTCTTAGTAAATCCACTGATAACCAAAAGCTGAGGGGATCAGGAAATACACTGCACCAAACGGTGAGGATCCAAACAGCATTTATAAAGGTACGACACGCAGAACCAGGAGGGTGATGGGCTCCCTCTGCTCCACACTGGTCAGACCCCACCTGCAGTAACATCTTTAGTTCAGAGCCTCACGTTTGAGAGGGATAAACCAGAGCACACACAAGGGAGGGAGACCGAGACGACGAAAAGACGAGAAAAGACGCCAAACGAGAATGGTCGGAAAAACTAAGAATGATCCAACAGGTCAAATAAGTCTTAGAGGGCATAATGGTCCCTATAACACCCAGCCCATTACTCAAATAGTCAAATATAAAGCATCAGTTTTCATGATTTAGGTTTCTAGGTTACTCACACCCAACCTCCCCCACCCCCAGCCCACCTCTGTGGATAAACTCCTTCCAGATTCCACTGAAATATCACCTCCTTCGTTGTTTCCCCAATTCCCTCGGGCAGAGAAAGTCGTTCCAACCACCCTCTGCACACGCCTAGCTCTCTGTTCAGATGTCTGTGGGGCTCCACCAGGCAGAGGCTTCCTAATTTGCCTGCCTACAGGATGGACTCCCCCACTAGACTGTTGGTTCTCCAAGGACAGCACCTGTATCCTACTCACCTTCATCCTCCCTGCTTCTATGACAGAGCTTAGCACAGAAGAGGACTGAGTAAAGGGAGAATGAACGCGTGAAGGGATGAATGAAGAGGAGGGATCAGTGGTAAAAGCTGCATGAAGGCAGAACTGTTCAACCCGTGGAAGAATCTCCCCAAATTCAGAACACCTGCACTCCAGGCACACTCCTCGGGATGCTGTCAGGGGTTCTCAAAGGGGACTGGTCCAGACGACCTCTGAGGATGCTTCTCATCCCGGTTCCTGAAACATGTACTCAAACTAGACTAGAGGAAACCACGTTTGGTTTTGAGTGTTTTTCTTCCTTCCTTATTATAAGCTCTCAACAAGACTACACATCAAAAGACAGTCAAATATTCTTTAAGAACGCGATTCCGTTCAGTGATGAGAGGAAAACATTGCCCATGATTTCAAGAATTCCTTCCAACCAGAACTCAACAGTCTGCCACTGCATCAGGCTCTGGGAGAGCCTATGTCACTGCTCCATGAGAAAGGAGAGGGCAAACGCCCGCGGCTGAAATCTCCACTAATGAGTAACTTGGGACAGTCTCTTTGTCAGAGACATCTAAAGATTCTTTATTAAACAAACCACTATCTTCCAGGTACAAAGTTTCAGTTAGGCAAGATAAATGAGTTCTGGAGATCTATTATATAGCATAGTACCTATAGCTAACAATATTGTATTGTATACTCAAAATTTGCTAAGTGGGTAGATCTTATGTTAAGCGTTCTTACCACACACACACACACACACACACACACACAAATAACAATAATGATAATAAAGGGGACAGGAGTAAACTTTGGGAGGCGATGGATAGCTTATGACCTTGATGATGGTTTCACACACTTATCCTGAACCTCAGTGAGTTATACACATTAAATACATATAGCCTTTCACATGTCAATCATATCTCAATAAAGTGGTTTTTTTAAAAAAACTATCTTCCAGATGGAGTCATTTGGAACGGAACCAAATCCACTCATTCATTCAGCAACAATTTACTAAGGGATGTCTATTGTGCCATGCACGAGGCCAGGTCAGCTCACTGCTAGTCTTCAAACGCCAAGGGGGAAGGGGAGGAGGTCTGTGATGTCCCCACGCTCTTACCCTGTGTTCATTGATGAGAAGGTCCCGAGCGGCATTAAATATCAGTGTGTGGAGGTGCCTGGAATAAAACACCAGCGTGTAATCATAATCAAAGCCATAGATTTCAATGTCCGACAGGCTCATCTCATTGTTTGAGAAGATGGCATCTGGATTCAACAAGTTGCTCATAATCGAAGGAACCAATTCTAGAAGTAAAGGGAAAAAATACGTTATACCCTATGATAAATAAAGGTTAGTATGATTTCGAAACAAAATGAGTAAATTAAAGTGCAAGTGTGATTAGCCTTCCCTTGAAAACGTTATGCTAAGTGGAAGAAGCCAGTCACGAAGGACCACATATTGTATGATTCAATTTATATGCTATGTCTAGACTAGGCAAATCCACTGAGTCAGAAAGTATCAATAGACTGGTGGTTGCCTAGAACTGGCGGATGGGGAGAAAGGGAATGACTGCTAATGGGCATAGAATTTCTTTTGGGGGTGATGAAAATGTTCTAAAATTGATTGTGGTGATGGCTGAACAGTTGTTTTGATTACACTAAAACCCACTGAATGGGAAACTTTAAGTGGGTGAATTGTATGGTACGTACATAACATCCTAATAAGACTGTTATAAAAAAAATATTTGCTTCAACATCACGAAAAGATTTGTTTTTGTTTAAAAAAGAATACACGCCAGTTAGAGATTTTAGTAGAGAAACATGTAGATAATTAAATATCACCCACTGTAACATCACCCAGAAAAAAACTATTAACATTTCCTGTATTTGCCGCCCATATTGTTCTGTGTATGTAGTCTACATAGTTGACCTCACACAATATACACAGCTTTGTGCTCCACTCTAAATTTAATACCCTATCATAATGTGTTCTATCATTACAGACTTTCTAAGAATATAAATTTAAATCATTATATAGGGCTTCCCTGGTGGCACAGTGGTTAAGAATCTACCTGCCAATGCAGGGGACGTGGGTTTGAGCCATGGTCCGGGAAGATCCCACATGCCGTGGAGCAACTGAGCCCGTGCGCCACAACTACCGAGCCTGCGCTCTAGAGCCCGCAAGCTACAACTACTGAGCCCGTGCACCTAGAGCCCGTGTTCCACAAGAGAAGCCACCGCAAAGAGAAGCCCGCGCACCGCAACAAAGAGTAGCCCCCGCTCGCCGCAACTAGAGAAAGTCCATGGGCAGCAACGAAGACCCGACACCGCCAAAAATAAATAAATAAACTGATTTTTTTAAAAAACCCATTATATAAGATTCTGGTATATTGTGCCACATCAACCTTTTACTCTATGTTACACACTTAGGTATTTTTCCTGTTTAAAAAAGAAAAAAAAAAACAGCATTAAGTACCTTCAGATGTTCATCTTTGCCTTTCAGATGATTTCCTTCAGATGGTTTGTTAGAAATGTGATTATCCCCAGGATACCATCAGGGTCCCCTGGATCCTATGTTAGTTTTGAACTTCTTTTTTGAGCAGTTCTGACTATTTGTGAGGATTGCTATTTTCATGATTTTTATTCTTTCTTGGAGGTTTTCCAAAAACTCATCCTACCTTACAACTTCCATGAGCCCACTGGATCCTTTTAAAAATCTAAGATGCAATATGGGAGGTCAGTGATCTTAGTTTCCAACATCTTGAAACATTTTGCTATTTTATCATTGCAGGCATTATTTCATCATTATCTAGCAATTATTCTCACCTATGATTTTAAAAAAAGACTAAATAAAGAAAGCAGGATATGACAGGAGATTGCCCAAGATGTTGCAATAGTGAAACAAATCATCGCTACAACGTCATCCTTCAGCTTCCTCATTGCCCTGCCCGAACTATCACATCATTTTCAGGAAGGTATATCAAAGAAGTCTGAAGATACCATCTCTGCAGTCATTTCTTTAGCTTTCATGGAACACAGTTGAGAATTCATAATTTTCTATTTTCCAGCATAAAACTGACAGAAGAAGACATTTCACAATTACTAGATGAGTCAGAAGATGAATGCTAAGAGATAGAAGGCAGCTCTCTAGAGTCAGGTAATGATAGAGATTGCACAATATATTTCTAAAGACAAAAAGGAAGTACAATATTCTCAACCAGTCATTTCACAGGTAGTCATTTAACACAAAGAATCTCATCGTGCAACATTTTGCAACAAGAACACAGACCTTCCCATTTTGCTAAGAGGATATGTAACAGCATTCTCTCACCCTTTATGATGTTTGTGCACCAAAATTTACCTGAAACAACTCATCAGTAAACAAATACTGAAGGCAGGTGACTTCCTGGAGATAGGTACAAAACGTCCTGTAACGCACGCACACGAAAAGTGAACTGTCCACATCTTACTACTAAAATTGAGCTATCTGTATTTTACTACTCTTCACGTTACTAAGGGCCACCTCCTGGCTCTGTCGTAAGAGCTAATATTTATTAAGCACTTACCACGTACTATATGCTCAGAAGCGCTTTCTATCACCTCATTTAATCCTTACGACAACCTCATGAGGCGAAGGCTCTACTATCCCCACGTGATGTATGAGGACACTAGAAGCACACAAATTATACAATTTGCTGAAGGACACACAACCACTAAGCAGCAGAGCTGGGATTTGAACCTGGTAAGTCTGGCTTCAGAATCTGCGCTCTTAATGATCTTCTCCAGGACTATGGGAATCAACAAGCATTTGAGACGGGGGCACTTATTTTCTCAATAAAATGGAGTCAATCCTTCCTCATTTCAGTGCTTACCATAGAGTCTACAATGCTTCCTCCTTACCTTCTGCTCTCTTCTTTCTCACATTATCCACTTCTCAGGGGCCACCTGAAATACCCAAAAAGTACTACTTTCACAAGGTGACAACTCCAATCGGGGCACCATGCCAGCCAAAAGACGTATTCTGAGGCTTTCAGAAGGCTCCTTATAGCTGTGAGGCTTGGATCCCTTTGAGAACCTAACAGAAGCCATAGAATCCTCTCCCCACAGAAAAACACAAATAAAATTTTGTGGAAAACTTCAGGAAGGTTGACCCCTGAAGCCTATTCATGGTCACCAGGTAAGATGCCAAGTTTCTCTCCCACTGACAACCTAGATATGACCAAGTCTACTGAAAATCCAAATAGCCAAGATTCACCAACAATTCCATTTCTTCTTAGTTTCCTTTGTCAAAATCAATGAGATGGTAACCTTGGGCTTTTTTTTTTTTTTTGCAACTAAGATCCATCTGAGGATAAGAAAGACAGTAACATTTCAAGAAACTTGAAGGCAGACAGTTCACAAGAACTAGTCCTCAGGAAGGGAGAAGCCAGTGGTCCTAAGCTCTTCAGCATCCAACACTGAAGACCATCTGGCCTTACATCATCAACGGGCCACCGAAGAGGATGTCATTTTCCGAATAGGACCACATGGCATTGTCTGTACGAAGTGAAGCGGGATCGCTTACAGAGTGACCAAAAGCTCTTCTTTCACAAATGACCTTTCCAAGGAAGTTCTCATGGCCTGTTGACCTTAGAAGTTTCTATTTAGAAAGGTGCTGACAGTGAAGTCTACGTCCCTTTCTGCTACCTGAGAAGTTGTGAAGCCCTCAAGAAACACGACTGTGCTGGAACATGGTGCTGACAGTCAGCACATCTCCAGAAGCTGCCCAGGAGTGTACTCCCCACTGGAGGGAAAGCTCAAGGTGTATCAATCACGTGAACATCATCACCGGAAAGCGTGCATGTTTAATTTGTCATCACTCGAAATAAACACAAGGAACACCAGCAGCTTAAAAGGATCTCAACATCCCACACAATCACTTCAAAAAAGTGCTAAGGATAAACGCGAGTCATTACAAGGCAAAAGGAAAGAACGCCAACCATTCAGGGAAATACGGTCTGTCTAAACTGAGGACTCCAAGTATAAACAGAAGGGCCCTTGACTAGTCAGTTATGTACTTCCCCAAAGCAGACACAAGAGTGGGTACAAATTTAGAGAGCGAATTCCTTTTGCTCCTAACGGATGATGGCAGCAAGATTACACGAGGACAAAGACATGGAGAGACAGCTCTGCCGCTCTGCCCAAAGCTCCGACCAGAGCTGGGTTCCAAGGCGGCCACCCTGAGCTGGGAGGTGAGCGCCCTTCCTGGGATCAGGCGGCAGACTGGGCGCCCCCTGCACTCGCACCAGCTTCCGGTTACCTGCTCATCCCACAGAGCACTAGGACACGCAGTGGACCCCTTACAGGAGACATCTGTAAGCTTCCTGGGATTCTGTGCTTGCTTATTTTTATTGTGGTAAAACACGCATAACACAAAATTTACCCATCTTAACCATTTTAAGTGTGCGGTGCAGTGGTATCAAGGTGATTCACACTGCTGTACGACCACCCCCACCGTCCAGCTTCAGAACTCCTTCCATCTTGCGAAAGTGCAACTCCACACCCATTCCATTAAACACCAGCTCCCCATTCCTCCTCCCCCAGGCCCTGGCAACCACCCTTCTATGTTCTGTCTCTAGGAATGTGACTCCTCTAGGTACCTCGTATAAGGAGAATCATACAGTATTTGTCTTTTGTGAGTGGCTCATTTTATTTAGCATAGCATCTTCAAGATTCATTCATGTTGGAGCACGTGTCAGAAGTTCACTCCTTCTAAAGGCTAAAGAATATTCCACTGTATGTATGTCCACATTTTGTTTATCCGTTCATCTGTGATGACACATGGACACTTCGGTTGCTCTCACCTGTTGGCTATTGTGAATAAAACTGCTATGCACGTGGATGGACAAATACCTCTTTGAGCCCCTGCTTTCACTTCTTCAGGGTATATACCCAGAAGTGGACTTGCTAGATCATATAGTAACCTGATTTTTAATTTTTTTTTTTTGCGGTACACGGGCCTCTCACTGTTGTGGCCTCTCCCGTTGCGGAGCACAGGCTCCGGACGCGCAGGCTCAGCAGCCATGGCTCACGGGCCCAGCCGCTCCGCGGCATGTGGGATCTTCCCGGACCGGGGCACGAACCCGTGTCCCCTGCATCAGCAGGCGGACTCTCAACCACTGCGCCACCAGGGAAGCCCCTGATTTTTAATTTTTTGAGGACCCACCATACTGTTTTCCATAGCCACTACACCATTTTCTGTTATGTTGGTTTTTCGGTGAGTTTGTTTTTGTTTTTGTAAGGTCACCACAGAAGAATTCCTTCCT